GGGGAAGGTAGGGGATAATAATCAAAAATAAAAATAGAAAATAATTCCTTTATTTTACTAAAAAATATTAAAAAGAGTATTAGAGAAAAGAAAAGAATTATTTTGTAATTTCTCTTCCGTTACCTACTAATCACTTCCTATTATCCACACACACATCTTTCTGTTTATCGCCTGCATAAACACTTATCAAAAATATTTTTGTCTTTATTCTCTTTATTCAAAATTCCCTTTTGCCCTTCCAACCCTCTTTTAAAATAAATTCAGGAAAATATTTTCAGACAATAAATAAAAAAACCTTTTTCTATTTTTTTAAATTTAATAAATAAATAATTACTATATTTTTTATTAAAGATTTTCGGAAGATTTTAAAAAAATATTTTACTGTATTGTTTGAGGGAGAAAAGAAGAATTACAAAAAAAAGGAATTAAAAATTATTTTTTTCTGAATTCCAAAGAAGAGAAGATTTTCTGATTGGCGTGTTACGCTTGAATAAAATTTAATACATAAAACGGCAGAAATATAAAAATAGACAGTAGTAGATTAGTTTTGCTCTAATTTTACTAATAAAAATAACACAGCTATATTTTTATTGAATATACTACAATGAATGGACAAAAAATAAAAGACGAAAGGCTAATTTAGTTCGCGAAAATATTTTAACAAAAGTATTTTGGCAAACTTAAAACGTTGTGAGAATGATTAAAAATTGGCCTTGTCGACAATAAACTAAATTTGAAAGAAATTTCTCTAATTGTTTCAAGTTGTACTAGTGCTTCTTTGGAGATTCTTATTCATAGTACATATTAGTGACGACGATAAAATGCAAGCCAATTTAGAAGCAAGTAGCTAAATAAAGCTACTTAAATGATGTAGTCCGTCACAAAAACCCTAGCCACCTCCAAATTTTCGGTAAATTATCAAATAGAGATTGATGCTTATTTTACTTTACAATAATTTATTTTTGATAATTTAGAAAGAATAATATCCCTTCATTTCATGTACGATTTTTCAGCACTTAAGAATCACAAGTCCGGTATGTAATAACTTCAATATTTTTTTCTTTAATTTATTTTCTCTAAATTTTTAAGCAAATCAACCTTCTCTCTTCAGTTTCCCTCATATTTTGTTTAAATAAACAAATGAAAGTGAAATTAATAATTAATTAGATTAAGAGATAATAAAGAGTTAAAAATAATTAAGGAAATACCGGCCGTCAAAATATGTAGAAAATAAAAAATGAGAGAAAATAAACAAATTTTCGAATTTAAAAATAGTTTGTTCTAAATTTGATTATGCTAATTTTAATTCCTTCATTATTTTTTAATTTAATTTCCTTCATTACCCCATAGTTAGTTTTCTATAGAGATAGTTGACCTCACTTATACGGAATTCTCTTAGACTCACTTTAACGTAAGATTTTTCTGCACGATAGCTGTCGTATAAGTGAAAGACTGTTTCAAATTAAAAAATTATTTTTATAAAAAAAAATTTATTTTATTTTTATTTCTCTTTAAATTTATTTATTTATTTCATTTTCTTCAACGTTTTCTTTAATTAATTTATTTTGAAAAAAATTTCAGACATTCCCAAATAAACAAATAAGAAGACAAATGAAAGAAAGATTTGAAGAGATGGCCAATATATTTTTAAATAAAAATGATCGAATAAATAAAAATGTCTCTAAAAATTGAAAAGAGATAGGGAGGGAGAGTTTAAATATTTATATTAAAATATTTTCTAGAAAAAAGAATTGAGGTCAAAAAGGAATAACAGAAAAAATAAAATAAAAAGAATGAAATTATATGAGTATTTTTAAGGTTAAAAATTCAGGGGAAGTTTGCGAGGTCAATTCTGCCAGAAAGTCAATGATGGGGTGAGGAAATTGCATTTTAATAATGGGGAGTGCCGTCCTTTTTTATTTTATACAAACAATAAATAAAGCATGAAGATGACAATGAAAATAGAATTTTTGGAAAAGCAAAAAGTGTGAAATTTGGAAGAAAATTTATAAAATTAAAATAAATAATATTTAAATAAATAAAATATAAAGATTTTAAACAGACTAAGTATGATTAAGGATCCCCAAAAATATGAGAATTCATTTTTTTGAAGTGATATGTAGAAGTCCGAATAAAAATTAAAATGATTAAAATTACTCAAGCAAATGTAAGGAATTTATTTTAATTTTTGTGGATAATATTGGTATTTAATACATACAAGTATATATTTATCTCTATTGTACTCCTTTTTTAATACAAGAATGTTTTAAATCTCGTGTATATACTATATTGGTATTTAAATATATATATTGGTATTTAATATTAAATATTGGTATTTAATACATACAAGTATATATTTTAATTTTTGTGGATAATATTGGTATTTAATACATACAAGTATATATTTTAATTTTTGTGGATAATATTGGTATTTAATACATACAAGTATATATTTATCTCTATTGTACTCCTTTTTTAATACAAGAATGTTTTAAATCTCGTGTATATACTATATCCAAGCAATAATCAAAACTAAATAACAATAAATTTATTAGAAAAATATGCTAATAAACTAACAAAAAGGATATACTTATTTTAGATTTTTCGACAAAAAAATAACTGAAATTAATTCAAAAAATATATATGTCGGCGGAAAAATTCAGATTTAGGAAAAATTCAATTTTTCCGGAAAAATTCAATTTTTCCGGAAATATTCAATTTTTCCGAGCATTTAGGAAAATTTCAGATATTAATAAAGATGTCAGTTGAGTCTGGGCTACTTTTATGTTTTTTGGTGTTGTTTGTGTTTTTTATTGTTGTTTTTGTTTTTAACTGGGTTATTTATAAATTTTTTGATTTAGACAAGATCACCATGTTAGGTTTGGATAAAGTTACGACACGAAAAACAACAACATAAACCTATGGAGAGTCGGCGAGACGCTTGTGCAAAACCCCGCGCTTCGCGCGGGGTTTTGCGGCACGCGTCTCGCGGGAGTCAACGGTCGCTGGGTTCTACACTAGTACCATAATCCTATTCCTTTTACCGATTTTCAGCATTGAAATGCCGACCTACCAATTTAGTTGTAGGACAAAAATTTAAAAAAAAATAAGAACAAAAACTAAAAAAAATAAATAAATATACTAAAAAAAGACGAATAAACCAAAAAACAAAAGAAAAACAAACAAGAAAAAACATACTCAAAAAACGAAAAACAAGCGAAATAGTGTAAGACAGACTATTAAATTAATTTAATATCTGAAATTTTCCTAAATGCTCGGAAAAATTGAATATTTCCGGAAAAATTGAAATTTTCCGGAAAAATTGAATTTTTCCTAAATCTGAATTTTACCGCCGACATATATATATATTAATTTTTTGAATGTGGTTAACATGCAGATTAAGAAAATAATTAGAATTAAAAAAAGACAAAAGGAAAGGATCAAATCTAAAAATTCATTGGCCCATAAATTTATAACAAAAAAAAATAAAAAAATAAAAAGAAATTTTGTATAGAATTATGTATATATTTAAGATTGAACAGAAAAAAAAGTTAGGCATATACCTATTTAGTGTTGCCAATGGGGACTTACATGGATTTTTGTGAAAAAAGGGGATAAAGAAGGTCTATGTCCGGTCGAGCGCAATCTCTTTCTTTCCTTTCTCGTTACTTGTCGGCAATGCCTGTAAATATATTGAGAAAGGATTTGAGAGATTTAAGCTTCTTCGTCTTTTCTCCTTATTCTTTTCTTTTATTTCCCATCCTTTCTTCTATATATTTTCTAATTTAGTAGATTCTACCACAGGTAATTATTCCCAAAGGGAGTAAAAAATAAAGAAAAGAAAAGGATCATCATTATCATCATGGCACACAGGAAAAGGACAATTTACCCGTTACCTTGCTAACAATGAAAAGAAATACTTTATTAAGATGGAAATGTTTGAATCAATGAAGCAAAATAAAAAAAAAAATTTTTTTAATTAAAATTATAGGAAATTTAAATTTGAAATTATAAAATTAAAAAAAATTAAAAGTTATGTAAATCTGTTAATTAATCTTTTCAAAAGTGTTAAGTAAATAGCTATTCTCTAGTTATAATTTTATAAAAAAAAATATTTTTACTTATTTAACTCAAAAGCTATACGTAAATTAAGGCAAAGTTAAATAAATAAGAAAAAATGAGATGTTTTTATTAAAAGAGAATTTTTAAAGTAATCCCTCCATTGTCAAATAGAGACATATTAAAAAGAAAAACTCTAAGACGAGAATTAATTAAACAAATACCAAAAGAGATTGACAACGAAATAAAGAATAGGTGAAAACGGAACCTGTGGTTGACAGGCATTAAAGGAATCTTACTTTAATTGAAAATTTTTAAGTTAAAGGAAGATAATATTAAATATAATATATTTATATTAAAATATTAAACTAAGACAATTGACACTCTAGATTAATAGATTCTGTTCCAAAATTAGCTGCAAACTCTGTTTGGAAGAAATGGCATTTGAATTCCAAAGTAATTGTTTGAGGTTAACTTGTTGTGTTTTAATCCTTTATACCCTTGTGTGGGTCAAAATATAAAATGATAGCTCATTCGATGTGTCATGAGAAATGTTAAAAAGGTGAAGTTATGCTAACAATGAGAAAAATCTGCTCGCATGATTTTGAGAAACCTAAATAAAAATACATTTTTGACCAGATAAATGGAGATAAATGTAATCCAAAAAAGTATAGTAGTTAATTGTAGAAATTTCACAACGAGAGCCGAAACGGCGCGCAGCAACAGTTTATGTCTTTCGTATGGCGCCAAAATCTTCTTTAAAAATTGGCACAACAGCTTATTTCCCAATTATTGTTAGAGTCAGTTTGGACGGCCTATGTTTGCTTTTTCCTATTATTATGCCAAGCTATTTGCTCGCTCTAATCAATGGTCATTGAATGATTTTTTCGAACGATCAATAAATACTTTCTAAAAAATATTTTTGTTTTTTAATTTTAGAAATGAACAGGCGTAAGCTTGGAGCAAAAATTTCAAAAATTGCAAATTTTACATTTCAACAACTTTCTTCTAATAATTTTAACTCTTCTGAAGAAAATAATAATAAAATTAATAATGGAAAAAATAACAATTCAAATCTAGAAAATAAAGTTACTACTAGTGAAAATAATAATATTGATTTGGATAAAGGAAAGAAAAGGCTTCCTTTGGTATTTTATTTTTATTAATTTTTCCAAAAATTTAATTTATATAATTTTTAAGGGAGAGGTTAAAGTAATTAATGCGGTTGGAAAAACTTGTGTTGCAGCACCATTAGAGAAAACTTCAAATAATCAATTAATTTCTAAAAAAAGAACGGAACGTTTTGAAGTTTGTTTGGATGAGGATGAGGACATAGATGATGATAAATCTAAAAATGATAGAAAATCAAGTAATTCTGAGGTTAAAAAGAGACGTGATTTGTCGGCTGATGAAAATAATGACGATTTTAATAAATTAAATGGAAAGTCGAGAATTGAACTGTTATCACCGGTATATAAACTTTTCAGTTTGAAATTTAAAAAAAAATTTTTATTTTTAGTTGCCAGGAAAGGAGAATGTTATGCCAATCAAAACTCCAACTAAACAAGACGAAAAAGAATATTTAACACATTTTGATACAGAAAGTATTAATAGCTACAATACAGCGCCTGAATCAGTTACTGAATGTTTGACAGCTAAATCTCAATTTTCAATTCCTCATTTAAAAGGACAATTAACTTTTGATGATCCATTAGTATATTCTTTTTTATTTAATTAAATATTATTTTTTAAGTATATTGCTTATGAAGAGGATATATATAAATGGATGTTGTTTAGAGAAAAGTCGTATAGACCAAAAACAAATTTTATGGATAAAGTTTGTGTTTTTTAAATAAATTTTACGTTTTCCCCCAAAATTTTAGCAAACACATATAAATGCGGAGATGCGAGCAATTTTAATTGATTGGTTTGTGGATGTTGTTGGTAATGATTTTTTGTCGATTTTATTAAATTTTAAATATTTTTAGTTGAACTAGAACTTAGTCCGGCTTCGTTTTTTCTTGCTATTTCTTTAACTGACCGCACTTTGTCCGTCATTGACTGCCCTAAAGAAAGACTTCAGCTCTTGGGTGCTACAGCTATTTTGATTTCGACTAAAGTTCAAGAGGTGTTCCCACCGCTGGTTAAAGACATTGGTATAAAAATTTTTTGTAATTACCTATAGTATAATAAGTACTTGAAATTTTTGGCTGTATATACATAAAATGAATGCCAACTTTATTTTTTCCTTCCTCAAAGGATATAATCCAGTATTGTGTGTATGTGTGGGGAATAGAGCGGCTCGCGTTGAAAATCCGATTCTTGTAAATTTTATGACCTGAGATTTTCCGCGTTGAAATGCCGACCTATCCCCGTATACCACAAAAACATTTTTGAAAAAAAATAAAAAAAATAACGTATTTTGATTGAATTCGTAAAGTTGAGTAAGGGAAAAATCAAAAAGGAAGTTGTTTCTCATGTGACAAAATTTTTTTTAGTTTTTGTAACTGATGATAGCTACAGTGAAAACCAGGTTATTTAAATTTTTATTGTAAAGTTAAGTTATTTTTAGGTACGAAATATGGAAAAAGTGATTTTACGTGTTGCCGATTTTCAATTAACTGTGCCATTAATCGATTCTTTTGCTCAACTTTTCGATCACACAGCCTCTACTTCTGCATTTCCTCTAAATCAAGTCTCACGAAATCTTATGTGGTTAGTTATTTGTTTCATTTTAGAGTTTTCAAACACATTATAGATTTAATTAAATCGAAACTATTAGATTAACACAAATCCAGATATTCTTTAAATCAGAAAATACAAGTGTTTCTAGGTATTTTTTGGAACTTTCTACACTTGATTGTTTCTGTGTTTGCATTTTACCAAGTCGATTGGCGGCAGCTGCTTTCCTCCTAGCTTCTTCATTTCAAAAACTTCGTCAAAAAGTTGAACCGATGTCGACAATCGATAAAGAAAAATGGAAATTATGGTCTGATGAAATGGTCAAAAGAACCAGAATTAAAAGATCGGATTTGCAAGAACCAGGTAAATTTAATCGATTTATTTTATAATTAATTTTAAATATTTATAGCTAAAATATTAATGAAGTTACAACAAAAGGCAGTCTCGTCAAAGTTTCAAGCTCTTTTCAAAGTAAATTAATTTACATAGAATTAATTATTCACAACTTTAAATTTCAGAAATTTTCTTGTCCTAAGCGATGCAAAGTTGCATGTCTCAAACCGTTAGAGTTCGAAGAAGTCGCTAGTCAATTCAGCGATTGATAGAAATATTTTTTTCTTTAAGTAATTAAGATAATTGTGTCACCACTTTTATTTAACCATTTTAACTTTAAACCCTTAATTTACATTTTTTGAAAGAATCTCCAAATTAATCTTCTAAATATATATTTATGATTCCAAATAATTTTACATCGAAAAATAATAATTTTACAAAAATTGTATCAAATTTTGGACCCTTTCGTGTTATCTGCCCCATTACGTCGATTTTGGTGTCTTTTATAATCTTACAAGGGAACATATGTTACTGTGAGTATGAATTTGATAAATTTTTTGGTACCATGCGAAAGAGGACCTTCGATTTACTATTGTAGTTTGCGGGTTTTCTTGCAAAATTAGTTTGGGCCGAGTTATGGCCGTTCAAAGTTTCAGTCCTTGGGATTGATTGAGTATAAGCAAGAGGGAAAATAAGCGCGCTATAACTTTTTTTTCACTTCTCTGCGTTCTTCACATTATTTTATAAAGAGGAAAAAAGAATGCAAGAGTCGCGAGGAAAAAAAAGGGAGAAAGTGTCAGACACAATAATCAAAGAGAAGGGGCGTGGCTTGTTCTCTGAGGATGAAAAATAAGAGAGAAGAGAGAAAATGAGCGAACTATGTCCTTTTTTCACTCTCTCTGCTTTCTTTATATTGATTTACAACAATGAGAGAGAACTCAAGAGGCGCGAAGAAAAAAAAAGGAGGAAAAATGTTAGACACTAAATAAAGAGAAGATGGGTGTGTCCGTTTTTTGAGTATGAAAAATAAGAGAGAAATTGTTTTCTTACCCTATAACTCCTGACTCTAGCGGTCTAACTTTGAACGGCCATAACTCGGCCCAAACTAATTTTGCAAGAAAACCCGCACATAACAATAGTAAATCGAGGGTCCTCTATCGAATGGTACCAGAAAATTTATTAAATTCGTACTCACAGTAACATATGTTCCCTTGTTAGGTTAGTTATTTGAAAAACGGGTAAGATAATGCGAAAGTACCAAATTTTGTTTAAAAATACAAATTGCTAACTTTAACGGGTACTACTCCGTTAAATTATAATCCTCCTTAATCCCTTCAGATCTCCCGATATCCCACCAAATCAATCGTTATTTTTTGGTAGGTTGAAGTTTAGTCTGGACACAAATTTAATCTAGTTTGATTTGTTGGGCATATTTAGGGAGAGAAGTAAAAAGGGCAAAATTTTTCCATAAAAAAGTCTGCAAAAAGCACGTAGGGATAACGAAGTAGTACCATTTAACGTTTTTTTCATTAATGTCAACGTATTATGGTGATGTTTCAGCTAATATCGCAGCCACCGTTACGGGCGATTGTCGACGGTTTCCCTGCGTTTGGGAGCGCTGTTGATTGTAAAATTGATTTTGTTGAAAGATTCTCTGCTGTTGAGATTGTACCGGAGTGGTTCTAATTGTATTTGTATAGGGCTGTTGTTGTTGTGTTGACTAAATATGTAGTTTGATTGGAAATCCTATGTATATAATTTTACCTCTCCATAAACATTGCCTCGGGGTTGTTCGTAAACTGGTTGCTGGAATTGCTGTAACGTTCCGACTTGTTGACTAGAGATATTCCCTCCAATAGGGACTGCACGAAGAGTTGTAACAGATGTAGTTGGGGTCAGACGGGTACCGTTCGGCTGTTGAACTTGAATGTTTGGCTGAGAATATGTGCCAGAAACTTGTTGTTGACCGGTTGGTTCAACCAGGTAGTGTTGAATTTCTGGTTGTTGACGGTAGAACTTAATATTATTTTTAGAATATTAAATAGCATTTATTAATACTGTTCGTCCAAAATTGTCCTGTTCATATTCTACTTGACACTGATTTGTTCGATAATTTGGTTGTTGTTGTCCAATATGTTGTGGTGGTTGTTGCTGATGAGTTACATAAATAGTAGTTGTGCCAGTATTATTGTTCTCTATTCCACCAATAGAAGAATAGGGATATGCAGGTGATGTCTCACTAGATGAATAAATTTGTTGTTGATCTGGTTGCTGGTAAGTATAACGCAAGAAGCGCTGAGGCCCAGCTGAAGTTTGTTGCTGGGGTTGTAACACTGGCGGTTGCTGATCAATCGGAGCTGTTTGGACATTTGATGTAGAATAGTAATGGTGTATACCGCTCCCCATCACGTGCTGTTGTTGCCCTTGACTATTCTAAATTTTAGAAAAAATAAGCGTATGTCTATAAAACGAACATCCGATACTGTAAACTGATTTTGGCGTCTATGTTGCTGTTGGATGTTTTGATATTTTTGCGGCGAATAACTGTAAGATGTAGGGGAAGCAGAAACTAACGTGACAGCAGAGGAATATGGCGAAGGTGGAGTAGACGGAGGAATTGGAGCTGAAGGACGTGATAAACGCGATTGTAAGGAAGTGGAAGATGATTGTTGTTGTGAGGTATTTTGGCGAGGAATTGCTAGTGTCGGGGTAATGAACGAACCACTACTTTGAGACTGGATTATTGAAACTTGTTGCTAAAATAAAATAAATTGCAAAGATTGGATAAAAGTGAAATGCTAACCGAACTGCCAACAGACATTGGTCTTTGAGGTGATTGTTGTGGCGAATAAATTTGAATCAGCTTTTGATGTTGGCCAGACGCTAAAATTAAAAAAAGATCTGAAAGAATTTTAATCAATAATACGATATCGTGATGGTGAAAGAGTAACCGCACCATGAGTCTCACGTAAATGCTGAAAATATCAAGGAATTAATTTATTGAAAAGTTTTTTGATGAAATTATTTTAAAATAAAAATCTAGTAAAATAACCAATATTGTTTTTTCACTCACAGTCTTACTTATTGTTAAATAAAATCATTAAAACTAGTAAAAATTTAAGGACATTAACTAAAAAATCAGATTATAGTCAGATGAAAAAACTATACAGGCATGAGGGTTTTTAATTATGAATAAATGAGAAATTACATTAATAAAATGAGAAATTACATATAGTTGATAATATTAAAGGGAGTAAAAAGGAAAATATACAATATTCTAAAGTTTTTGCAGAAAAAAAGTATACGACATTTAAACATTTCAAGACCTTGTTGAGTGATGTCAATGTTTTAAACACTTTGAATTCATTTCCAGTAGAAGCACATTGTTGACATTGATATTTACAATCTCTTTAAAACAAAATGATAAATTACATATAGTCAAATAAACTTTAATAAAGTATTTCCAACAGACGGAACATTAACAGGTAAAGAGACTGATGAAACTGTTGTAACCAAAAAAGGTGCTTCCTGTAACACAGTAATTTTTTGAGAAGTTGATGAGTCAGTAGTCGAAACAGAAACAGGTGAATTAAAAACCATTGAGGATGATAAAAATGGTGATTGACGTCCAGGAAATTGTCTGCTAAGAATTCCCTCTTCTGACGCACTCAATTTAGAAGACATTTGCATAGAATGTTCAAGTGATGAACTGTGAGAAGTCCGCATATGTTGTCTAACGATAAAAGTAAAAAATAAATTTTAGAATATAAACAAATTTTAAAGTTTTTTTTATTTTGTTAAAATAAAAAGGCAAAAGATTTTTAAAGTTATAAAAATTAAAAAACCTTAGTCCTTGCTGATTTTTGTAAGTTTTTGAACATCCATCAAATGCACATCTATATTTTCTTTCCTCAAACCCACTTAACAACTTAAACATTTTAATTGAAATATTATAATTATTTAATTAAATTAAAAACCTGCTGTCCCGGCGATTGACATCCACTTAATAAATCTGGTGTTACACAACCTAATTAGAATCTATTTTGGCAACAATTTCAGAAAAATAATACCGCTAGATGTAGAAGCTTCTCTTGGTCGATTGTGTTGATTTTCAGGCACACGTTTAGAAGAAATCGTAGAGAGAGAATTTGGATCACTTGTAGCCAATATTTCAGAAGTTAAAGATGAAGCTGTTGTTTGCACAACTTAAAATTGAAAAATTCATTAAAAACACTCAAAAAAAGCATTAAATCTGTTTAAAAATATTCACACAAAGTAATAGTAAAAATAACATGAGATTTCAAACCAAAGGTATAAGTAAACGTACCATTACTAACTACAGAATTCAATTGTTGTTGAACAATTTGCTTAGGTTTATAATGACAAAATTTAAGTGTTCTTTGCTTTGGAGTTGTTATTGGATGAACTTTATGTCCTTTCGGAAATGGCTTCAATCTTAAATTCATTTATATAAAGGTGTAGTTATCTAATTAGAAAATTTTGGCACCAAGGATTTAGAAAAATCCACTGTTAAACTGATGACTACTTGAATTTAGGGGAGGTAAACTGCATAAATGCACAAAAATTAAAACCCTTATGCATCCTTATTAGAATAAACACAATAAAATACAAAATTAAATTATATACCTGCAAACAAGTGAAAGAGGTACAGGTTGGTTAAGAGAGGCATTGTAAGCCTTTTCGTATTGCTCAGGGTCATCAACAAATTGTTCACGGAGTCGCTTTCGCTCAGCAATTTTGGCATTTTCAATTAATGCTTTAAAAAGAAATAAAAAGATAAAAATTAAAATATTTACGAATATGCTCTTCCTCTATATGATGAATTAATTCAAGCAAGTTTTTGTAATAAAGGCCACATTTTTCACCATGACTGCTAATCTGACCATCTTCAATTTTTGCAAAGGAGCAACAATTTTGATTTAACATCCTAAAATATTGCCAGATTTTTTAACAGAATGATAAATGTTAAAGGTTTTTAGTATCGAATATGCTTGTCAGATCTGCTGCTTGTTTAAGCTAGAAATTAAACTAGAAATTAAATAAATTAAAAAATACCTAACAAGCCTTGCTACAAAGTAGACGCGACAATAGGCTTGTGATGAAATGGACTTCTCACTCCGCTAAAAAATGCGCCAAAAAGATCTTTAAAAATCAAATTTGTTTGCATATTAGAAACCGGCGCGAGTCGGGATCACGCGCGAGGTTTTGCGGGATACCGCTCCCGAAATCACTCGTTTTTTTCGATTTGCGGGAATATTCCCGCGGCAGTTTCTTACGAGAATTTTTGAAAGTTACTCACGCATGCGGGATCCTGCAACTGTCTTTTGCAACTTCTCTATTACATACAAATATTATTTTGTTTACGCATTTTTAATTTTACTATTTTTGTTCCGTCTTAGTTTCGTCTTTTTTTCCGTCTTACTCACAATTGTTTTTCTTTTAGATTTTATTGATAATATTCAAGTTATAATTGAGATAATGGATGAAGAATCGGTAAAGCCTAAGCCATTGTATACGTCGACACCATTAAATAAAATGGATATGAAGAAAAGGCAGCTCGATAGGGTTATTTTAAAATTTATTTCAATTAAAAATTAATTATTTAGTCTGGCACGCCACAAAGTAGTATTTCTCTTTCGTCTCCGTTACACAAAAACATGAAGGCTTCGAAAAAGGGGAAAGACAGTTCAGACGTAGACGATATTTTTGCGTTATACAGCGATAATGATGATACCAATAAAACTTCTAATGGAGATGCGGAATACAATCTTTCTAATAGCATGCCTGATGTTGAAGAAAGTGCGAGTAGTATAATTGAGAAAAGTACCCATAGTACTGATAAAGATGGTAATGAAATCAACGAAGAAGATATTGACGAAGAAATCGATGATGGCGTCGACATTGTTCAGGATTCTATTTCTGAGGTAATTACTGAAGAGAAGAATGCAATGACCAATGCCTTGAATGACTCACAAGAGCCAGCACAGATTAACGAAGCAATTCAAGAATCTCAAAGCGAAAGTCAGATTGTGGCTGACAGCTTTGAACCAAGTCCTATCCAAAAGTCAAATTCTACTTCTAATGTTATGGATAATAATATTGCTGAAAGTGGGCAATCGAAGGATATTTTATCTGAAGAAAAAATAAATAGTATTTCGAATGATTTGGAAAAGAATTTTGATGGGATCGAATTATCGAATAATGACAAATCTATGAATAAAGTAGAGAATGAAGACTGGCAAAATGAAGATCCTAAACTTATTAATAGTGAAAAAGCTTCTGAAGAAATTAACGTCGAAAAAGACTCAACTTATGAACTTTCTAGTAACAGCGAAGCCATTGAGGAAGACGCCGAGCAAGATATTATTTCAGTTCCTGCTGTTTTAAGTATGTGCAATTAATTTTAATAATTTTGTTTGGTTTTTATTCGAAATCTAATTTTAATGTTTGATTAATTTAGAGAACAATGCTCGCGGTCCGCCAGTTATCACTCCACCACAGCTTAATCCAGAGAAACCGTTTGTAGCTCATTTGCCAATGCAACGTAATTAGTTATATCTATTTTTGGAAATTTATAAACTTTAGCTCCCGTCCAACATGGCCGTTTATTTGGCGGTGCAATGACTGATGAGAGAATGTTAAAAATTCAAGGCATTTCGAATGATGTTGTCACCGCTATGCATTCGTTAGTTTTGACTTTTAATATTATTTTTATAAAATTCAGATCGCTTTCGTCTATCCCTGAAAATGCTGTAACCGAAGCCCCTCGCGGATTGCGTATTGATCTGTTGCCTCATCAAAAGACTGGTCTTACATGGCTGCTATGGCGTGAACAACAGATGCCCCCAAGGTATTAATGGTTTTCTTATTTAAAAGTATTTTTTCAGTGGAATTCTTGCTGACGACATGGGATTGGGAAAAACTCTTTCTCTGATTTCTCTCATACTTCACAAGAAAAATGCTCGAAAAACTGATCCGGCAGTTGTTGAACGAGAGAATCACTTACGACGAAATTGTGTTTTTGGTCTAATTTTTAAAATAAAATATTAAAACGTTGAAATTTTTTTTCAGAGAGACATTTGATCCCAGCAAATTCAACTCTTGTAATTGCACCTGCTTCACTTATTTACCAATGGGAGAAGGAAATTATGGACAGAGTCCAAGAAGGTCTCTTAAGAGTTTTTATCTTTCATGGTCCAAAGAACAAACGCGAAATATCTGCTCATAGGTAGATATCAAAATAAAAATATTTTGATCTTTGTCATTGTATAGACTCTCCAAATATGATATTGTTATCACTACTTATGAACTGTTGGTCTCAGAGTTGAAATCTAGAACTAAGCTTATTGGTCAAAGTGATGATAGCGACTCGGATTCTGACAACCCGTCTCGTGGGAGAGGAGGAGTTCGTTCTAAACCTAAAACAAAAAGTCTCAAACCAAAGGTTTTAACTTTTTAATTTTTATAATTTTTAGTTATAATTTCTTAGGCTTCACATGATTCTGTTCTTATGGATATTGCTTGGGAAAGAATTATTTTGGATGAGGCACACGAAATAAGAAATAAAAATGCACAAAAGTCTCGTTGTTGTAGTAGACTTGAAGCAGTTCATCGATGGTGTTTAACTGGGACGCCAATTCATAACAAACTTTGGGATTTATATTCTTTGATTCGGTTTTAACAATTTAAAGATATTAATCAAATTTCTTTTCTCATCTTCAGATTTTTACGTGTCACTCCATTTTCAGAAGAGAAAATTTGGAAGGAGTTTATTGACAATTCTTCCAGTTTGTTTTTTATTAGAATGATTTATATTTATCTATATTTGCAGTGAAGAGTACGGAACGCTTAAACACTATTGTTAAGAGTATACTTCTGCGACGTGCTAAAAATCAAATTTGCACGATTACAAACAAACCAATGGTTATTTTTAAACTGCAATGAATTTCTTACATTTGTATTTTAGATTGAGATAACTGCTAAAAAATGGGAGGTAGTGAATCTCGAGCTTGGCGAGTGGGAGAGTCACTGTTATTCAATCATGTTCGAAGCTTCAAAGTAAATTAGTTTAAATTTTTTGTTTATTTCTTCTTTTTAGACAAAAGGTCTCAGATATACTCCAAGATGCTGGAATGATTGCTCGTCGTAGAGGTCGAAAACCGTTGAAGGAAAAGCCTGTTAATCCATTCAGTAAATTTTATAGTTTGATTAAAATAAAGTACTGGTCCTAATAAGGAAATAAAAAGGCCTTTTCAATGTTTTAGTATTTTGTCAAGAGATAATCGAGTGCACTTACCGAGTCCGAACATGACTCTGTTGTGTAGTTGTGTTGCTAGATAAACAGATCTACTTCATCTGATCAAGCTCCTTTTTCACCTTACACGTGCCTACTTTGTTACTTATTTGTAGTTGTTTCTTTCCAGGAACCAGTACTTTATTTTTCATTTTATTTATATTTTCAAACTTACATTTCTTATATTTAGTAGGAGGTGGTGCCGGCGGAAAGATTGGAGAAGCGGAGTATTTCAAAGTTTATTCGTGTATTCTTGTGCTGTTGCTTCGTCTCAGGCAGGCCTGTGTTCATATGTCTCTTACTAAAGATGTGAGTTAATCTTGAAGGATTAAATGCAGTATGTTTAATTTTATAGGCTATTGACATGGACGCTTTCAAAGTTGATGATGATGAAACTGACAAAGTAATTGCCGCGGAATTCGAGGCATCATTCGCAAATATGTCTCTCGACGAATCTGGTCTAGTCGATGCTTCAGAAAATACAGGACAAAATAAGCTAATCGAGAAAGTTTTTCAGCGTGAATATGCGAGCACAAAAGTTGTTGCCGTTCTTGAACGTCTTAAACCAATAATTGAAAATGGTGATAAATGGTAATTTATAGAATTTATAATTTTAATTAAATATATTTTTAGTGTAATTGTGAGTCAATGGACATCAATGCTAGGTATTATTGAATATCACTTGAAGCTAACCAATACGAAATATACTTCCATTACTGGGAATGTAAAAGCAGAGGACAGGTAAATTAAAATATGGATTATCTTTATTTTTTGTTTTAAGGCAACATCGTGTTGATAGCTTCAACAAGCGTAATTTTGGTCCAAGCGTAATGCTTCTTTCTTTGACTGCAGGCGGTGTTGGATTGGTTAATTTTGTTTATTTTTTATTATAATCTTTCATATTTTTAAAGAATTTGACTGGTGGCAATCATTTATTTATGGTGGATTTGCATTGGAATCCTGCACTTGAACTTCAAGCCTGTGACAGGATCCACCGACTTGGGCAAACAAGGAATGTTTTCATCCACAAGTAAAAATGAAATATTTCAAATATAGTTTCACATTCATAACTAAAAATGTTAACTTTTCTAGATTTGTTTGCTCCTCAACAATAGAACAACGAGTTTTGCAATTACAGGAAAAGAAAACACAATTAGCTACATCAGTCCTCGAAGGGTAACATTTGATGACTAAATAGTATAAAGATATTCTATTTTAGAGCTGCTTCAAAAAAATTGACGAAATTAACAAAGGATGAGCTTATGTTTCTTTTTGAACTTGACAAACCTGCACCTTCGACGCAAAAAACGAGGGCAGCTACTGCCTTGGCAAATGCCAATTCTCAACCAACTACAAGTTCGCAACCTACAGCTTAAATGAACCTTTAATACATACATATTTTATTAACTTGAGTACGAAATTATTTGCTGTATAGAGATTTTGGACATTTTATCTTACTGTCAAAACTATAAGGTATTTGAATAAAAAATTTACTCTTTTAAGACTTGAAAAATATCTCTGGGCTTGGAAGGTTTGTAAAAATATTAGCGAAGTTTTGAGATTAAGCTAATAATGTGATAACTAGCAGAGAGCTGCTACTTGTACGGTTGGCTTCGATCGATTTTCCAGCTGCCATCTCAAATTGTAGGCGATTATTGAAGATCACCTCACTTTTATGTGTAGAAGCATTTCTCTTTTCTACTTCGATTGGTCTTTTTGAGGTGACACTTTGTCCTTGACATCGAAGGCAGTCGTCAATAATCCCTGTATGTTTTCTATTCGATCATTCCTTTCATCATTTGTCCTCCGTTTTTGTTCAACATACTACAGTCCTTCAACTCATTTGCTCCCGCCGGCTATTTGTTTGAGTTGTAGCTTTTTTAAAGAATTTTTTGTGTTGTGGCCATCAGTGACAGCCGTAAAGCCACTACTATATTTGTCCATTCATTCAACCGATTCTCGTAAATTTTCAATTTCTGAAATTAATCTTTTATTTTACTGCCAATGTCTCTTCATATTTTTGAAAGTTTACAGATTCTCATTTAAAATTTAAGATTATTTTTAAACTATAATTTGCAAACTTTAAAAATCTTTATTTTAAAACCTTTAATTCTTTCTTAACCAGTGTTTCACTTAAAATTCTTGTAGTTTTTTAAAGAGAAAAGTATTGAGTACAAGCGCAAAAGTGGGCGAAATAAAAGAAAATTGATAGGTTTTTGTCCTTTTTGTTTCTTTTTCTATGTTTTATTTTTTTCTGGATTTTTCCTTTTTTTCCAGACAAAGTTTTTTTAGTTTATTTACCTATTAAAATTAAGTAGGTATATTATTTTTTCAAATTTCTTTTACTGCTTAAAACCTTAAATTGTAAGAACTAGAGTTGGACAAGATCGGTTAAGCTAATTTTTTTCTAAATTAAATGGTAAACGAGCATCCTAAAACGGTGTTTTTAACCCTTAAAGTTTTTTGGAAAATAAACGATCATTTAATGGGGGGGGGGGTTAAATAAACGAAACAATATACTACGTGTTTAAGAGAAATGGTACATATAAACAATAATGTTTAGAGGGAAATTAAATAGTTTTTTATCCAACTTTAATAAAAATATATAAAAATATTTTTATGTCATTCCACTTGGCAATTTATATTTTTGTTTGGGATGTGACAAAAATACATATATTTTCTAGCAATAGCGTGAAAGCACAGGAGCGGAAGTGTGAAAAGCAATCAAATTTTCTCGAGTTGGCTAATATAAAAGGATGAGCATAAATAAAAAAAGGAAGAAAAAAAAGCCTTTTCTTTTACTTAAAAATATTTTTACTTTTAGCCAAAATTTTATAAATAATTATTTTTATATAAAAAATTTTAATAAAAATAAAATTCACAAAAGCTGATTTGAGCACACCTGCTACCTCTTTTTCTCTTCTTTTTTATTTTTTTTAATTTCCGTTTCCCTACTATTGATATTTTTATTTAAAACTTTAAACTAATAATTTTTTCTCTAAATAAATATTATTTTTTAACTCAACCATAAACAAATATCTCTGTCCATTTACCCAAAAATTCGCATAAATAAGCTTTTTTTATTTCCGGGTCAATAAAATTATTTTGCTGAAAATATTCTCTTAAATATTTGGAAAAATATTCTTTTTTAATTTCCGATTAATTTAAATAAGTCGAATCTCGATATACTTCCATTAAAATTAGTATTTGTAACTTTTTTCTGTACACTAAAAAGAGTTTTTGTGCTGTTTTTTTTATTTGGTTTCCAATATTTCTTATTCAAAATTCTTCCATTATTTTTTATTCTTTTTTTTTTTCAGTCTTTTGCTCTTCTTTCATTTTTTATTCTACACATATTATTTATATAGTTTTGTTGGTCTCAAAAACTAAACAAAATATTTCTTTTGTTTACAGACAATCTTTTGTGTTTATTTAAATAAATAAATATATTTTTAAAAAATATTTTTAGTTCTAAAATGATTTGATTTTTAATTTATTTTTATTTCAGAAAGGTATTCCTTCTTTAAAAATCTGGAAACAAAAATAAGCCAACAAAACGTTAAAAAGCCTAATCAATCGACAACACACTCCTCCTCATTTCTTTCCTTAAACAATTTTGTTTTTTAAATTCTTTTCAAAAATTATTTTTTAATTTAAATAATTAACTAAATTAAATCGTTCCACTGTCAAAACCATTCCCCCCCCCCTTTATATTTTTTATCCTCTTTACATTTATTTAAAAAATACTAAATAGTTGCACAAATAATTAATTAAAAACTGACGATTAAATTATTTTTTTTTTGTATTTGATAAAAATTCCTTTCTTCATTTAAATAAATTAATTTTTGTTTAGACTTTCTACAAAATAAAAATATAATAAAATTAATGTTTTGTAATAATCTTCAAAAAAATTAAATGTCAATTAATATAAAGAATAATTCTGAGGTAAAAATACCTAACTTTTATTTAAATTATTTTAAAAATTTATTTTGAAGGAGTTGAAAGTTGAGAATGGATTATTTATTCATTCTTCATGCCCTTCATCGAATAGTGGAAATGGTAAATATTTTATTATTGGTAGGATCCTGTTAATACATATTTCACGCTCAGGACCGAATTTAGTCGGCATATAAATGAGTGATTAAAGGGGGAGTTGTTGGGAAGGGGGTTTAATAATATTTAAGATAACTGCATATAAATTAAATAAATTTTAATTTTTAAAAGAAAATAAAATATTAAATGAATTATTCCTTCCCTCAATTCATTTTTTCTTTTTTAGGTCAAGATTTATTATTAAATGTTGGAAGTTTACAAAAGCCAGATTTAGAATATCTTGGCCAATTAATTAAAGACAAAAAGCAGCTCTCAGCATTTCCAAATGTTTTTTCTCACGTCGAAAAACTTTTGGACGAAGAAATTAATCGTGTTAGAATTGCAATATTTCAATGTGAATTTAGTCACGAGCCTTTACAATTACCTGAAGCTATAGGAGAAATAAGTACTCATCAAGAGAAATTATATGTTCCAATAAAGCAATATCCAGATGTTTGAAAAAAAATCTTTTTTTTGAGAAAAAATATTTTTTAATTAAAGTATAATTTTGTTGGACGTATTCTTGGACCTAGAGGAATGACAGCAAAACAATTAGAAACAGAGACTGGATGTAAAATAATGGTTAGAGGAAAGGGTTCAATGAGAGATAAAAAGAAGGAAGATTTAAATAAAGGAAAACCAAATTGGGAACATTTAAATGAAGATTTACATGTTATAATACAATGTGAAGATACAGAAAATAGAGCAAAAATTAAAATGTCTAGAGCAATTGAAGAAGTAAATAAATTATTAATTCCACAACCTGAAGGTGAAGATGATCTTAAAAGAAAACAATTAATGGAATTAGCTATAATAAATGGAACATTTAGAAATGGGGGAATAATGCCTACAACACCTACAGCAACAAATAAAAATAATAATTCTTTAATTCGTAAGAATTTTTTGGAAGAATATTTTTAAATTTTCTTCTTTATTTTTTTAGCTTTAGATCAACGTTTATTAATTAATTCATTAAATAATTCTTCAAATTCTTTGGGATTAGCTGGTGTTCCTTTAATGATTGCAGCACCTTCCCCTTCACAATTAATTAAAGGATTACCTCCTCCCCCACCTCAACAACAACCAAATACAAACAATAATTTATTAAATAATCAATTAGCAAATGCTTCAATTGCTCAAACATTATTACAACTTGGAGGAATTTCAAATAATATTTTAAATACTCCAGGTCCATATGGATTAGCTTTACCACAACAAAATAATGGAAATTCTTCTTCTTTAGATTTTTTTGGAACAAAGTTTTCTTCTTTTTAAAAAACTTTAAAAAATTTCTTTTAATTTTTTAAAGTCAATATCAACAACAACAAGACCAACAACTTTCATTATTACTTCAACATCAACAAATGGCTTTACTTCAACAACAACAAAATAATGGAGGAATTTCTTTTGGAGAATATACAAATAATTTTGGGGGAACAGATTCTGCCGGTCAGTTGTTGATCTCTTCTGTATTATAGTAAAAATAAAGAAAAAAATATTTAAAGTCTAAAGTCTTTCACAAAATTGTATATAAATGGGAAAATATTTAAATAATTATTTTTGTTATTTGTAAATTTTTGTCAGTTAATTATGGTTTAACAATTTTTTATAGAGATTTAAATATATATTTTATTTTTTAACAAATTTGGGTTTTATCTTTAATTTTAACTATTTATTTTTCTAATTTAAATTTAAAAATTCTTTGGCATTTCCAACTTACAAAAATTTAATTAATTTTTGGTTAATTAACTTTTTCTTCAAATAACCAAATAACAACTAAAAACACCTTTCAGGCGCAGTACTTTCTGGACAACGACGTTTTGTTGGACATAGTCGTGATGCTGCATTTCCGTATGGGAAATGATGGAGAAATTCTTTTAAATTCAAAAATAATATTCGTAAATATTTAGTAATGCCTTTTTGTGTTTACGCTTTTCTCTTTCCTTTTAACTAAAAAAATTAACTTTCTTCTCTCTCTCGACAATTTCCTACAATTTTGCATAATTGTGCCTTATTTTTTAAAAAAATCTCTTTTCAAAAAATGCAAAATTTTTATTTTTATTTAAATATACTTTTTTTTATTTTAATCTCTCTAAAACACTCATAATAATAATAGAAAATAAAGCCTTAAAAGTTAATTAAATACTTAAAATATTTTGTTTTGCGGCTTTACAATTAAATTTATAATGCAATTTATTTGTTAATAATCTCTCTTTTATTTCAAATAATTTCTAGTTTTTTGTTAAATTTAATAAAAAAGAATTGTGCCTTTTTAAATGAATAAATATATTTTTGTTAAATATTTTTTAATTAAAAGAAATTTCACATTTTTTTAATATTTTCCTTCAAATTTACGATTTAGTTTTGTTGACCCATCTCCGGACTGATCTTCAGGTGGAAGCCAAGTAGCATACATATCTGATAAATTGTTTTGAATTTGTTCTTCCTTTTCTGCTTTGATTTTATTTTCTTCCCTCTAAAATATTAAAAATTAATTTTAAATAAAAATATTTTTTTTGATAATTATTTAATGGAATTAAAGAAAGATTGAAGGAGATGTAAATTTATTAAAAAATTTATTTAAAAAATATTTAAATAAAATTTACTTGATCCATAATTCTTCGTTTCTTTTCTAGCAAAGCTTCTTTATTTCCTTCTTCTTGTTTTTGAAGTAATTTCATTTGAATTAATTCTTGTTTTGTTAAAACACCAAAACGAGGAGTAATTGAAGCAATAACCGATTTTGGAGGCATTGCTGGAGCATAAAATTTTGGTTCTCTTTCTCCTTTTTTAGTTTCCTCCTCTTTAATTTGTTCCAATTCTGATATTTTTGTTTTTTCTTCCTTTTCTTCCTCTTTTATTGGTGATTTTAATATTTTTGCTTCTATATTATTATCTTCTAACTCAATTATTTTCTCTTCTTTAAATTCTTCTTGTTTTATATTTTGTTCTTCTTTTAATTTTACAACATTTAAATTATTTTTCATAAAAATATTTTGTGCAGGTTTAGTAATTTCCACCAATCTCTCAATTTTATTCTTCTCTTCCAATAATTTCTTTTCTTTACTTTTTAATTGAGAAATTGTCATTCTCATCTAAAAATTAAATTAAAAATTTTTTTTAAAACTTTATAGGTACTATCGCAATATCCGTAAACATTTTATTTTTTCTTTTTCCTTTCCCGAAAAATAAACGCAATGGTCAAAAGAGAATATTGTTAAAGGATTAAATTAATTTGGAAAAACTAATTTTGGGTCTGTAGTTTGCATGACAGATTGTGAGTTTAGTGTATTTCTATTCCCAAAAAATCCAGAATTAATTTAAACTTGACAAAAATTAACCACTGATCCAAAAAACCACAGATCCGTAATTAAATTTTCCATTTTTTCCAAATTAATTTAATCCTTTAACAGTATGCTCTGTTGTCCCATGCATGCATTTTTTAAAGAAAGGAAACGGAAAGCAAATGAAAAATAAAATGTTGACGGATATTGCGATTGTACCAATTCATAAAATTAACCGAAAAATTTCGTTTAATTTCTTTTCCTTCCTCAACAAAATCTTCATTTTTTGTAGATTCGCTGCTGCCTTTCCCAACTAAACGTTCAATTTCCGATTGAACTACCAAAATCTTTTCATTTAATTCTTCTAATTCATTTACTAAATCATTATGGGTTTTTGCTTTGTTAATTACTCCAACATCTCCCTTTAAATTAAAAAAAATTTTAAAACTAAATTAAACCAAACCTCATACCAACGTTTCCTTTTTTCTCTTTGTTCTTCTAGTTGCCCAGTTCTATCGTAAAAAATATCTTCATCCTCGGCATAAAAATCATTCTCGGCATATTTCTTTCGTTTATTCCATAAATTTGAAATTTGCAAAAGACAAGCAGCATCAAGTCTTTCACATGCTAATAATGAACATTGCAATTGTGCCAGACGCTTCGAAGGTGCAGAGGCCGAAACTAACGTACTTCCAGTTAGAGAAACATCAGAAATAAGCCTGATTGTGAATTAAATTACATAAACTTTTTTGATTGAATTAAATTACTTCTCAAAAAAAGCAATGTAAAAAGGAGATTAATATTTTAAACAAAAACAATTTAAAATTGGAAAAGTTCAAAATTTTTAATTTAAACTAACTCAATAGAGCAAATCCATGTAGAGCTTCCATCGTCTTCCTTTGATCCTTTTGCCCGAGATTTTTTAGATTTTTCGCCCAATCCCAAATCATTAGCTTCAACAGTTTTTGTGAAACGAAAATCCATGGATGCTCCTTCTCGCTCAAAATAACGTTCCAACCAATGAATTGGATCTTTTTCATAATAACGATAATTTAACATTTCTGTATCTTCATCTTCTTTTTTACTTGAAGCATCTGATTTTAATTCGGAATTATCTTCTTTTGTGGTAAATACTTCAGAATTACTTTCATTATCGTCTTCATCTTTTTCTTTTAGACCACCACATAAAACAAAAATCCTTGAACTCGCTGAATTAAATAATGAAAAATTATATTTAAAACTAAATATCGACAAAAATATTTAAAAAAACAAAAGTTACCGGCAATTTGGAAGACATAACCAACAAAAAGAGGTACAAATGTTGATTTCTCAATTCGTTTTTTATTTATTCGAACGCCATGTGTACTATTCATGTCATAAATAAACCATTGGGGCTTTCCCCTTACATGTTCACCATATTGAAGAACAGAATGAAAGCGAGAAACCGAAGGATGCTCTAACTAAAAATATTAAAGATTACTTAAATATTCTCTAAAAATATTTTAAACCTTAATTTCACAAGGATCGAATCGACCAATTGTTAGATAAGACTTTTCTCCACTATCACTGTGTAAAGAAATACGTTCAATAACGGTTCCATTTTTAATTACCTAAATAAGAAATATTGTCAGAATAATTTAAAAATAAAATTAACAAAAAGTAGAATATTTAAAATTAAAGCAAAAAAATAAAGAATTACTTCAATATAATAGCTATCTTTGCTGCAAATTGGAACTCGCGCCCAAATCGGCTCAGTATAACGTGTTTCTAAATCTTGCTTGCTAGGAACTTTACATGCAGTAATCTCCTCGTCTTTTGCATCTTCTGTTAATTCACTGTTTTGAACTTTTGGAACTTCCATAATTTAGTAGAAATTTTTTGATGCTTTATTCTGAAAATTAGAAATATTACTTATTGTTAGATATACGGGGTCACGGCATATGTATTTTTCAAAAAATTTAATAAATAAACTAAAAAGGCTGCACTCTCACATGGGACAATTGTACGCTAAAACGTTAAGGACAATCAATGGGCGGTTTTTTTTCACATTTAAAAATTGAACGGTTTCCTGAACCAGAAACCGTTTTACTTGCGGCCAGAATTTTTTTTGCAAATTAATATGAGTAAAATAAATTAGGCAAATTTAGAGATGGGAATGAAATTCTCCAAGGGGAATGAAATTCTCCAATAAATTCAAAAATTATCTACATATGTGATTCTTAATTTATGGGATTTCTATTACCAGAATATCAGTTCTGGTTCACCTTTATACACTAATTAAGAAGAACAAACGATTAGAAAAGCTAGAATTTAAAAAAAATTTTGAAGACGTGGTGAGACTCAAATGTTCAAAAACCTAAAGGTTTAGGCTTCAAAAGGTTTAGGCTAAAAGTAACCAGGTAACGAAAGAGTCTTAAAATATGGCAACAAAACGAAAGTTTTTGGGCCATAACTTTTTTGTTTTTAAATCAATCCAAATAATTTTTGCTTTAATTAAAAGCTCTGGATGTGCTGGTTATTTTTTCCAAGAAATTGTTTAGTCTTTACCGTGTTTCAAAAAAGTTAGGAGCCGTTAACTGCGACTAATCGTGATTTAACATACTTAGGCGGGTGTAACTTTCTAAGAAATGATCGGATCCTTTCATAAAGTTGATAAAAAGAATAAAAACAAATATAGATTCTAATTGATTAAGAAAATTTCTGGAAATGATCGAAATAAAAAAAGTTATGGCATAGAAAAAGGCGTTTCGATGCTAAGTCGCCGAGACTCTATTGACAAGCAAGCCTAAAGGTTTAGGTTTGTGCTGAGACTGAAAATAAATGTAAAGACAAAAGAGTCTTGCTGACTTTTTGACATAATTCAAGTCAATTAATTGTTTTCATCTACATGTTAAATACTATTTATTTTCAGAGTTTCAAATTAAATTATGAATGCTAATAAACAAGCTGAAGAGCAGCCAGAGGAGGATGCAACAGAATTGAAATTTCCCAAAGGTTAAATTAATTTGAAATATTTTTAACGGCAAAAATTGTTTTAAGATTTTGAAGTTCCTGGTTGTGATGCTTTAATGATTTCAGAAGTTTTTCTTCTCCTCGATCATAGACGTAAACAATCGGAACAAAAAGAAGAAATCGAAGATATAAGCGAAGTTTTCTTGAAAACTCTAAACTACACTCGAAGACTTTCGAAATTTAAAAGTCGTGAGACAATTCGTTCTGTTAGAGGGTAATTTTAAAAATTGAAAGAGTTTCTTATAAAAAATAAATTTTAGAATATTTTCTGGAAAGTTAAATCTACATAAATTTGAAGTTGCTCAGATTGCTAATCTTTGTCCTGAAACATCTGAGGAGGCAAAAGCGTTGATACCTAGGTTGGGAATTGTTGAACTTTTAACTTTATCTAATTTATTTTTTTTAAGTTTGGAAAATAAAATGGAAGATGAAGAATTAGATGAATTATTAAAGGATTTACATGCGAAGAAAACATTCCAATAAATTGTTTTTGTAATTAATTATATTTTGGATTGGAATTATTTGTTTAAATAAAAAATTTTATTTTTAGTTTCTACTTTATGTAGTTAAAACATTTTAGTATCTAATGTTTGTTATGTAGAGGTCATTTAATTATTTTAAATTTAGTACTTTATTATTAACAAATGGAAGTTGATGGATGTACAATAGAAGAAATTTCGAAGGCTGTTGACGGTTATTTATTGTTTTTTATTTTATATGTTTAGTTTATTTTTTTAGTTGGGAGTTTTGAATTTCGTCAAATGGTTGGTAGATTGGCGAGTGCTTTTGGACTTGTTCAGCATCCTGATCCTCTTATTACACTTAAAGCTATTGAGGCGCGAATGTCAGCAATTAATGAACAAAAGATACATTTGGATGAACTTAAGAAAAATGTTTTTAAAAATAAAAAATTCTAAAAAATGTTTTTATTATTTTAGCCACATCAAATAAATCCTTTGAACACCGTTCCATTAGGTAAATATTTGAAAATAAAATTTCAAAATAAATTTCATTTAAAGGAACTGAAACAACTAATTCACAAAAAGTGGATGATGGTGTTCGTTTACTTCGATTATTACATGGCGCTAGAATTAGAGAATTACAAACAAAAATTAATGAATTAATGGCTGATGTTCAAAAAGTAACTGCAAGTCCTCGTTGTGATTTGAGTCTTGGACGTGTTGGACGTTAATTTATTTTTAAATATTTATTAATTTTGTTATAATTAAATATTTGACAACGATGTTAGTGGACCCCTTTCGTTGTATATTTTTTAATTTTAAATAAATAAAATTAGAAATATTTAAAATATTTTTGTTTTTTAAAAAGTTATTTTAACTAAATTTTATTTAATTTATTTTATAATCTTCACAATGATCGTTTAAAAAAAGATGAAGCGATTTAAACCAAATATTTTAATTACTGGTACCCCTGCAACAGGTTTTCAATTACTTTTTAAAATCTTTTTTCATAATTTGTTAATTAAGGAAAGACGACTTTAGCCAAAAAAGTTGCTGAGAATTTGCCTCTTAGTTTTATTGATATTGGGGAGACAATAAAGTAAAATTACTTTTTTTTCAAATTTAATAAATTTCAAGGAAGGAGAATTTCTTTGATGGATATGATGAACGTTTAGAGACGCATATTTTGGATGAAGATAAATTACTTGATCATTTACAGGTATTTTAATTTGATTTTTAAATTGAGGGGGGTTTGTAAATTAATGAAAATTTGGGTAAATATTGGGTTTACTGGTTTCTATAAAAAAATGGGGAAGAAGTGCATTTTTGAGATTTGCCGGTGCTAATTGAGTGTGCCTAATGGCAACCCTCATAGACATTGAATAACAACCTTTTCTTCATTTTTTCCAGGGACCATAAACTCTACATTTACTAAAATTTGATTTGATTAAGTCTCCTATCGTAAAGAATTTTTTGATTAATGAAGGTTGAAATCTGAAAATTTTTTAAATTCTTTCCGCAGCTTAATCTTGATATTTAAATTTCACCTATAATTTTAAAGGAGCGATTAGATTCTGAAGAGGGTGGTTACATATTAGACTATCATTCTTCAGAACTTTTTCCTAAACGTTGGTTTGATTTTATTTTTGTTTTACGATGTGATACTCAACAACTTTTTGATCGACTAACTGACAGAGGTTATTCTGACGTAAAAAGAAGAGAAAATATTGAATGTGAAATTTTTGGAACTATTGCTGAGGAGACACGGGAAAGTTATGATAAAGATATTATTTTTGAATTAAATAATACTGAAAAAGAAGATTTGGGAAAAAATATTTTAGAAATTACAAAAATTGTTGGAAAATATATTTAAAATAAATAAATATATTTTTTTGTTTAAATTAAATTATTGTTTAAATCATTCTTTATATCTACTTATATTTTTTTTAATTTTTTAAAGCAAGATTTTTAAATAGAAAAATGGGAAAGGAAAGACTCGATAATGCTGCCCCAGGTATTTTCTTTAAAAAAATATTGTGAAAATTTTATTTTTAAGTTATTCATGCAACGAAAGTCAGACTTGTAGATAATCCTAAACTTTATGATGAAAATATTGAGGACCCAATAGATGCTCAGGAGGTGTTTGACTACATAAAAGATATAAGCGATCCTGAACATCCATATACTTTAGAGCAATTAAATGTTGTTCAGGTATTCTTAAATATTTTTTTCGGTTTTATAAAAAGGTTTAGGAAGAACTAATTTATGTTGGTCTCGATCCTTTGGACCCTTATGTTGATGTTCGTTTTACTCCAACAATTCCGCATTGTTCCATGGCTGCATTAATCGGCCTTGCAATTCATGCAAAACTTAAAAGGTAAAAGAATTTTTTAAGCCAAAAAACGTCTGTTTAAGGTCGCTGCCCAAAAACATGAAAATTATTGTAAGAATAACCCCAGGTTCACATAGCACAGAAGAATCAATTAATCGACAACTTGCCGATAAGGAGAGGGTAAGCTGTGAAAAACCATTTACTTAGAAAAAGTTTTTATATTTTTTCAGGTTTCAGCCGCGATGGAAAATATTGGCCTTATGCAAACAATAAATTCATGTTTGAAACCGAGTGACAAATAAATCCTTTAAATATTTTCTATGAAGATAAATTTTTATTTCGATTATTGTTAATATTTTATATGAAAGGATTACCAATATTTATATTACTTTATTTATATACCTAAATTAAATTGTTTTTTTCATAAAAAGATGTGTCGGTTGTGGGGCAGAATCCGATATGGTGTTCATTGGGATAGAAAAGAGCAAACTGAATTAGCGGTAAAAGCTTTAAATCTTCGAAAAGTTCTTTCTGTTCAACTTTCTATGGATCCTTTTTCTGGGGACAGCACTGCGTTGAGGTAAAAAGTTTTTTTAGATATTCTTTGTTTTTTTTTTCGCGTCACCTTTGTATAAAATGAAATTTTTTCAGACAGTTATGGTGCAAACTCTCGGCACCAAAGGTTCGGGCAACGAATCCGAGAGTGCGTATTACTCACGAATTGCGTGATGACGGCAAGCCACCTCACTTTCTCATGCATCTTGGTTAAATTTTGACTAAATTATTCCAAAAACTATAAATTATTTTAGATGATGGCAAAAAATTAATGTTCAAAACAGATGGTTTTCACGTTGCTGACCTTATCATGCGACTTAATCGTCTACTTGGAAATCCTGAATTGGCTCCGAAAGGAATTCCTTTTGAAGAGGACGAGGATGTACCGGATACCGAACTTGAGGACTGGCTTAGGAATCGCAGTCTGAAGAAAACTCCATCAGATTTTCTCATCTGAATATTGTTATATTTTTAGTTTTTAGACTAAAACTTGAATTAAAAACGAGGAAAAAATAAAATTTTATTTATTTAATGAGGAATGATATGATGGGGAGAAATTTACGTATTGTTAGTAGTTTTTAGAAAACAACCAAAATGATTTGGCTGAATAAATTTGATTTGAAAAAACAGACTAGATATAAATACCTATGTAAGAGAATATAACAGGAGTAATAAAAATTGTAATCAAATACTTTAGAATTCAAGCAAATAAACTGACATTAAATATTAAATAGCATGTTTCTAATAATCTGTTTGGAATGCATAGCAAAAGAATAAAATTAATATTTTAAAGTTTTGCAAATAAAATAAAAATTGATGTGAGCATTTTATGATTTAATGAGAAATAGTTTTGCCTATCTTATTATCAAAATTTACATAGGAATAGCCATAAATTGAAGTAAATATCTAATTTAATTCCTCTCCAAAGTCAAGAATTTTTGAAGAGGAAAATTTATCAAAAAATAAGAAGGGCAAAAATATTTACATTTTACTTATTTAGAGTACCATAGTTTTCTGTATTATGTAGATTTGTATTTACAGAAGTGTTTTCAGTTGGAGTTCTTATCGAAGTTTGAAAGCAAGACTCTTGTTTATTTGAATGAGCACTAGTATAAGGCGAATTATTTGGAGTATCTAAAAATTAAAATTTAAAAGATAGACCAAAATTTTATACCATTTTTTCTGGAAATTAAAGGTGAACAACTTGTTTGATCAAGTTGTGGATCCATCTCATCATAGGTGTGTCTAAATTAATATTTGTTTAAATTAATAAAAAAGATACAATAAAGTATTCAGATCAATTTAAGTAAAAATTTACCTTACTTCTTCTATTTGTCCTCCTGACAAGTCTGTTATATGACATCCAACTGTTTTTTTCTTTTCAACTGAACACAACTTCTCACGAGGTGTTGGCCTTACAGTTGTGCAAATGCTATAAAAGAAAATACAACATTTTTTATATTAAAAATAATAGCAAACCTTTTAACAACAAAATCAAATAAAAGTGTTGTTAGTGGAATAAAAACAAATCCAAGCCAAAAATTTGGGCTTGTAATCATTATTTGATACATACCTTTCATGTCTGAATTAATAGGTATTAAAGGCCAAATCTTTAAAAATAATTTATTTTAAACAAATTTTTATTAAAAAACCATTGAATAGAAGGCAAGAAATACAAACCAAGAAATGATTGAGCCAATACATAAAACTATTATTATAAAATTAATGGAATCACATTCTATGAGAGCCTTTAAGCAAACAGTAGTAACAACATACTAAAAAATAAAATTGTTAAAAATATTTTTGCGAAAAAATATACAGAATAAAGTGAATTTCCAAACATCAGCCATCCACCAATTCTTCCCGATGACCAAAGGATAGCATCTCCATAAAATCCATAATTAAAGAAAAACAATAAAAGTGAGTGCCACAACGACAAAGAAACCCATAGCACAAATCTCTAAAGTTTTAATTAAATTAAAAAAGAGTTGAAAATTTACATAATTGGAAAAGGCCATTTTCTGAAAGCTTTGATAAAGTCTTGGATGCTTTAAAATAAGTTTTTGTGAAATTGGCCGGTCAAAAAGCCCAAGAATGATTGGAGGCCAAGCAGTAAAGAACATATTGAACGAAGCAATCGACCAGCGTTCGAAAATTGTAACACCAGAAAATGCAGAGAAAAAAGCAAACCACAATTCAATTATGTAAAGACAAATATTTTTGTAGAAACTATATAGAATAACTTTAACAGTCCTTTCGTAGTTCCAAGTACCTGAATAAATATATAAAATTAAAAAAATATTCTGTTTCACCATGGATGAGAATGAGACGTGTTAAATATTGAAATTGTGCAATTGAATAATCACTTGCAGAAGCAGCCTAAATTTAAAGACAGATAATAGTAAATTTATTTAAAATATTTAAATAAACCTGTAAACCTTCCACACCAGTTATTCCAACTCCAACATTGGCAATTCGAATCATTGCTACATCATTTGCCCCATCACCTACGGCTAAAACAGATCCTTTAAGCACTTTAACTATATGAACAATTTCAGCTTTCTTCAAAAAATTTAAAAAAATTTTAAAAAATCCATTTATTAACCTGAATTGGTGTCATTCTACAACAAATAACCGCTTGACATTTACCAATTAATTCTGAGAAGAAGGGGCGGGCTTCGCCAATAAATGCATGATGTAAACTCCCGCCATCAATAACTAAAGCAAATTCAGTTCCAGATTCAATATATTGGTTGGCCTTTTCAGAAAAGTTTAAATATATATTTTAATATTTTTTTAGAAAACCGAATTAATAAAAAATTTAAGTTTGGCCAAAACTGCTTCGAATGATTTCTCAACAATTTTCATTAATTTTGTATCTTTTGAAGTTATCGAAGAAGAATGGGAGATTTGAATAGCCGTTTCCAATTTGTCACCAGTAAGCATCCAAATAAAAATTCCAGCACTTAACAATGTACGAATAGTTAATGGAACATTCTAAATAAAGAAATTTTGTTAGATTTAAAGATAAAATTATTTCTTAAATTTATCCCATATTTTTGATTTACCTCTTGTAATTTATCTTCAATAGCAGAAACTCCAATTAATCGCAAATTACATTCAACTCTCTCTGAAACTGCTGCCAATTTTTCTTCTCTTTTTTCCAATGATGTTGAAGATGTTTTAAATTCCTCTATCCAATTTGAATAAAATTCTGGCTCAAGCTCTCTCATTCCAAAACAAAGGGTTCGATACCCTAAAATAAAAAATAACTTCCCAAATATTTTTAAGCAGTTACCTTTTTGAGCATAATCATTTAATGCCTGAGTCGCACTTTCCAAAGAATGAGCTAAATTTAGTTCAGAAGAAAGACGATCAAATATAATATTATCCTATAGAAATATTTAAATAAAAATTTAAAAAAAATTTATTTACAGCTCCTTTGCAGTAAAGTTTAATTTTGTTGTTTTTATCCTTTAGAATTACACTCATCCTCTTTCGATCACTTGTAAATTCTAACACATTTAATAAATCAAAAGATTCCAATCCATAAGGCTAAAGAAAAATAAAGAATTTTTTAAATAAAATATATTACCGTCTGAACAAAAATTTCGGTTGGTCTACGCTCATTAAATATAAAAGAATTATTTGCTGCCATTCGAACAAGAGCACCTTCATCAGGGGAAGTTGCTTGAAAATTAATTTCGCCATTCTCTTTATGTTCAGGAACAACTGAAAAGAAATAAAAAAATAATTTTTAATTAAAAAACCTGTATGACAACAAGCTAACATCAACATAAATTCATATATTAACTCGGAATTTTCCTTAATTTTTTTAAATTAAAAGTAAATTTTCAAATTAAAAATACCTTTCCGTCAGACAAATCTTTCAAAAGATTACCATCAGAGAATTCATCCTAAAAATAATCAAAAAATATTAAAAACAAAAAATTAAAAGAACATGATTATCGTCCCCATAATCTATCCCACCAATTTGACATCTTTTAAATTTCATAACATTTCTTGTCAATGTTCCAGTTTTATCTGAAATATTCTTAGAAATTAAAAGAAATCTAAAACCCATACCAGTCATTAAATATTTGATTTGGCCTAATTCTTCATTTAAATTAGAAGTTCTAGCATTAGCAGGGATGTCAACATTTTCATCATACATTTTTAAATCCTAAAATACTTTTTATTTTTATTTAAAAATTATTTTAGAAAACCTGATTAATATATCCGGCTTGGAAAAAACGTACAACTTCTAAAGTAACTTGAAGACTAATCGGAATAATATTATTGTAAAGTATAAAAAATGTAAGGGCATTCCAAAGGAAAGACCAACGTTCAAACATATTAATATAAAAACTCTTGCCCAAAATCCAATTAAAAAATTCCGAACCAATAACACTTTAAATTTTAATAAAATCAAATAAAAAAATAATTAAATATTAACCTCACAACAGTAATCATAATTAATAAGAAAAAAAGAAATAGAATCCTTTGATTTGTTAAAATATCAATGCCTGACCTAAAAAAAAGAAATAATTATTATTTACAAAAATCAAACGTTTTTATGGGAGCTGCTGCTGAATTCATTAAAAGACGAGATTCATGGCCTGTATAAACTACAACCCCACAAACCCATTTACAGTTTTTAAGTTTTGCTCCTCGCAATAAAAATTGAGTAATATCTTTGAAAAAACAATTTAATTAAAAGAATTAATTTAAACAACAAACTTAGAGGTAATCGATCATTCCCAAAATGTAATGTCCCAATAAATTCATTAACTTTTCGATTTGGATGTTCACATTCTAATTCCAAATTTAAATGATTCATTCGTTCAAAATCGAGCAGAGAAGTTTCCGGCTTTGCCTAAAAATAAAAATTTATTAAATATAAAATGACTGGCAAAATTTAAAAAAAAAAGATAAAAAAGGCAAAGAAAACATAGAAAATGTACAAGAAATTAAAATTTAAAAAATTAAAAACCTGTCTAATTTTTAGATTAGTTTCGCCATCCAGTTGTGCAGTTTCAATATAAGCTACAAAAATGCTAACATCATTTTCTCTTTAAATAAATATTTACCCATTCCCAAAGGTTCACTCGAAGACAAAATAACAATATCAGCAGGGAAAGGCCTTCCTTCATAAACCTTTACTATTTGTCCAACTTTTAACTATAAAAAAATTAAATTTAGAAAAATTAAAAACCTGTTTCCATCTACAAATTTGGAAAGTATTTCCAATAAGCGTTTGAATTCGATAATTATTTACTTCAATATCCATTCTATGCCTTTTCTTTAAAAAATAAAATTTAAATAAAAATTAAACTAATTTATTTACAATATCTTCAAAAATCTCTTTAATAGCAGAAATTGAAAGAATCATTAAAAAAGGTATTCCTGTTGTATATTTACCTATACAAAAGTAAATTTAAATAAAAATTAAAAAATAGAATTGTTAATTAACCTGTCGGACTAACTTCCGGAATTTGTTGTAGGATAGCAATACAAAGAAAGAAAATATTTGAATAACGATGAAATTGTTCAAAAAGAAAAAGTGGAAGAAAAGTAAGAATATTATATTTGCATGTTCTGAAGAAAATTTATTTATTTTTAAATTTAAAAGATAACCTAATTTTATTTCCACAATATTTTTGACGTTGATGTTCAGAATTAACAACAATAATTCTTGGTATTTGTGGCTGTGCAGAATGTGAAGATATTGACGATCCTAATGAATTAGCTCCATTAATTGGAGAATAGGAGAGAATAGTTGAACGAATCCAATCCATTATAATAGAAAGTTTTTAATCTAAATTAATAAAATATTTAAAAAAGTAAAAAAAATATCAAAAATTTTAAATGTGAATTTAGAGAAAAGAGCCTACTAAGGGGATATAATAATTGCGAATAAAAAAAAACAAAAGTTTTCAACATCAATTTACAAAAGTTTTCAACATCAATCCAGAAATCGTTACTGTCTGGGTCAGCTGGCATTACAACTGCCACCCTGAAACAGGCTGTCAATATTTTTTTATTCACAATTGTCAAATCGGAAGTCGTGGCACCTTCCTGATATCACATAAGGTACACCACAGTCACGCTGTCAGTACCGTGTGGTAAAATTCGGGATAATAATTTTAGTAAATGATTTGTATGTACGCCATTAATGATAAAAATGAAATTAAAGATAGAAAAACATTAAATAAAAGTACAATAATGGATCTTTCTTTCTATTTTAACTAAGAACTTGCTCTTTTTCTTAAAGAATTTCTCTCTAATTTCTTCAGTTACCCTTTATTTAAAAAATTGAACAAATTAGAAGTTATTAGAGTACACTGATAATGAATGAATGATTCATTTTTTTTTGTCTTTAATTAAAATAAAAATTTAATAAGTGGAGTTTTTTTTATCATTTAATGTTACAATATCTTTCATTATTCTACCGTATATTTTAGAGTTAGTTACCGGCAGATTATCGCCTTAAAGAAACTTAGAATATAAAATTTAATCGAATTCCACATGGCCAATAATCGACTAAAGCCTTTCGATTATTGATTAATGCCACATTGAATTGCCATGATCAGGCAATTCTTTAACATTAATGAATTCATTTATCGTCAATGTGCGACCAAAAAGAGGAGGAAGAATTGAAATACCATCAAGAGTTTAAGGAGGAAGAGAAGAAAGAAGTTGTTGAAGAAAATCAAGAAGAGGAAGAACAAGAAGTTGAGGAGGTAGAACAACAAGTTGAGGAAGAGGAAGTTGAAGAAGTAGATGATGATTACTCTTCAATTTCTCTATTTCAAATTATTATAATAGCTGTAGCTCTCTTCTTGGCTACAAATGGCCCTACTAACTACCCTCTTCTTTGGAATCAATTGACTAATCCTCCTGCTGATTCTCGTCATGCAATTAGAAATGGCAATAGTGGAACTATTCCAGTTAGTCCACATACTGTCTTAATACCTATTCAAACAATCCAAATGAGAGAATATGCCCTTGGAGTGCAACAATCGTTAGAGACTAACGTAGCTAATGCTGAGAATAGAATTGCATTGGTAAACAGAATGTTTGGGGATTTGGCATTGGATGATAAAAAGTCTGGTGAGGTAAATAATGGGGAATATTTTATTTAATTAATTTTTATTCCTTTAATATTTAGATGGCAGAATTACTTGTTGGAATGAATATGACCAACGTAAAGAATTACTTCCTTCAGTTGCAAGATTTTTCCCTTAAAAATTTTCGGAATGAAGTTGGTGGCAAAGAATTACATGAAAAGATTATGGAACGTTGGATTAAATTTGTCGATAACATTATACACATTCATAAACAATTGTAAATTTAACTAAAGTGTATTTCGAGATTTTCTTTAAATGAGTAAAAATGTTTAGTTATGTATTAGTAATAATTAAATTAGTTAAGGTGTAATTAAAATAGAAAAAAACTTATTAAAGAATATGTAACACTTAATTCAAATTCGAGAAAAGTTGGAGAATCTAACTATACTAAAATTTATTTTTAAGAATGCAGTCTTATAATCCATCAATATTTATTTAAGAAAAATGTTATAATTAATTAAATTTTTTAAATAAAATAATTAAATATACAATAAAATTTCAGGCAAAAAATATTTAAAATTATTCACAATTTTAATCATTTTGTGTATTATTCTTTTCTTTTAATTTCTTCTCAATTTTGTTTAAATCATTCATTAACCAATTAATAAACATATAAATTGTTGAAAGAAGAAATAAACTTTAAAGAAAAAAAATTAATTTTCAAATTACTAAACATTTATTTACCCTCCACTAATTGTACAAAAACCAACACCAATACCAATTGAATAACGCAAAAAACTTGGCTTTGCTAGAATACTGAAAATTGAAAATAAAATAATTTTTAAAGAATTTAATTTTAAAATTTACACAGTAACACAGTCTTTGACCACATTTTCAACAGTTGTTATTTCTGAATTTATTTGACTTTGACCAATAACAACTCCAATGGCAGAAATTAAGAATGCAAGATAAATAAATACAGACATTGTTTTTGAAGATTTTTAATTCTTTTGTACGATAAACATGAATAATAATAGACATTTTTGTTTATATAGTGTAAATATTTGAAAGTTATCACTAAAATTTTAACAAAATTTTGTCAGATTAAAAATCATTATTTACATTTATTTTTCTAATTTCCTCTGGTACTATTAAAGAATAAATGGCCATTAATTTAATTATTTCACTAGCAACTGTTTAATCTAATCTAAATCCTCAAGGCAATTAATAACGGACAGAGTAAAGGCCAAAAGGTTCTGAATGTGAAAGTATTGGAGATTGAATAGCAAAAAAAGACCAAAACATAAATAAAGGGGCATAAACATTCACATCTGTTATTGGTTTGCTGTTGGTAGAGAGGCCCGTTTAAAGTGTCTAGCGTCCAAATTCAATTTTTTTTAAATAACTTTCCTTTTTGTTTTTATTTTGATCTTTACAAAATTTTAAATTTTGCACCTGTGAATTAAAAACATTTTAAATGTTTGATTACAGACAGTTAATTTTTACAAAAATATTTCTATATTCCTCCTCATTCCAAACTTTTATTTATGTAAAACGAACAGCAACTCTCCTACAATTTCCCATAACTCCTCTAATCTTTATTATTATTATTTCACGATAAAAGTACATAGTATATAGTGGTGGTCACTCAATTTTTCTATTCACTCATCTTCATATTCTTCCATTTATTTTTTTCTTCCATTTTTATTCAACAGATTCATTTTGGCTTGGGCAGTTAGTTACCCTCACAGAAAGAATTGACCCAAAGAGAGTTTATTAAACACACAGATGAACACTTTTCTAAACATACTTTTTTGTGACTTAGGGATACTAAAATTGATGTTTTATTGGGAATAAATTCCGATCGGGAATCAGTCCAACCCTACTTTATACAGATAAGTACCATATATTTCCTCTAAAATAAGTAACTAAAAAGCATTGCCCAAATTTTAGAATACATTCTTTTAGAACACTACATGTTTAATCTTTTTGCTATTCTAACAATTAAACTTACCGTATAAGCTCTAATAATTACTCTGGGTAATTATTGTTTCGGCCTCTCGCTGAAGGGTGTAATTAATCGACGAGGGGGAATTATTTGAAATTATTTTAGAAAGGCTAATTCACCTGGATGGTCTAATTATTTGAGAGGGGATAATCATTATACGGGAACTCTGATAATAAATGAAATTATTTTAGGAATGAAGTGGAAAACATTTCAAATAAATTGGCCTTTAATTCTTTTTATTTTTCAATTCTTTTTAACCGCAAATGCACAATGGAACAGCTCTGCAGGACCATTAAGTCCAATTGCCTTTAATTTAGCAACAGGCCGTCGTATAACGGCTAGTTCAACTTGTGGAGAAGTAAATGGAAGACCAACTAGAGAAATATACTGCACAATTGCTGGTGATATTTAATTTAAAAACGGGGATATTCTAAATTATTTACTTAGGAGCAAGTCCATATTCCCCATACAATCAATATACTTTTACAACAATATTGGATGAAAGGCGTAATAAATATAGAGAAATGCGGGCTGAAGCTGGTTCTTTTATTCAAGATGGGCAAAATTGTGATTTTTGTGAGGCAAATACATCCTCTGCTCATCCAGCATCAAATATGGTAGATGGAACGCCATTATGGTGGCAAAGTCCTCCACTTTCTCGAGGGAATATGTAATCTTGATTTAATTTATTAAATTAAAATAAAATATTTTTTACAGTTATGCCCAAGTGAACATTACAATTTATTTAGAACAGGTAAATATATTAATTTACCTAAATTATTTATACTCTACCTTTTTAAAGCCATTTTATGTTTCGTATGTTTGGGTTCAAATGGCAAATAGTCCTCGACCAGCAACTTGGGTACTTGAACGTTCTGCCGATTTTGGCATTACTTGGCATCCATGGCAATATTTTGCTTCGTCTCCTGCTGAATGTTCTCGTTTATTTGGACTTGCCTTCCTTAGACCTATAATGGAAGATGATGATGTTATTTGTACTAGTGAATTCTCGAAAACTGATCCGATGGATAATGGAGAAATTATGTAAATAATTTAAATTTAATTTGTTTTGAGAATTTCTCTCTCTTTTATTTAAAAATTTCTAATTAAATTTTTAAAATTTCTAGGCTTAATTTACTCGAAGGAAGACCTTCAAAAAATAATTTTGGTGGCTCTAAAAAATTGCAAGACTTTGTTTTGGCTACAAATGTTCGTTTACGATTATTGCGACCGAGAACATTGCAGGGATATTTGATGGATTTACATGGGACACAAGACCAGACACAAGATGTTACTGTAACTAGAAGGGTGAGAAATTGATATACCTATATTAAATAAATAAATAATATTTTTAAAGTATTATTATGGAATTAAAGAAATTTATATGGTTGGAAAATGTATTTGTAATGGACATTCTGAACATTGTAAATTTTTTAAAATTAACAAAAATAAATTTAAAAAAATGTTACAAAAAAAAATAATTTATGAGAAATAATGTTTTAATTACAGTAAAGTTATTTACAAAGAATTAGTTAAAATATAATTTTTTCCATCTCTTCTTTCATTGATAATTTTTTAAAAATGAAGGTGAACCATGGGATCCAGCACGTCCTAATTTATGGCTCTGTAGATGTGATGTAATTTAATAAATATTAAAAATATTTTTTAAAAAAATATTTTTTAAAGCATAATACAGAGGGGGATAATTGTCAACGATGTAAACCTGGATTTGAACAGAAACGTTGGAGACAAAGTCATGATGATGATCAATTTGTTTGTGAACCGTGTAATTGCCATGGACATTCGAATGATTGTGTTTATGAAGAAGAATTAGATTTACAGAGGAAAAGTTTGGATATTAATGGAAAATTGGAAGGAGGGGGACGTTGTTTAAATTGTCAACATAATACTAAAGGAATTAATTGTAATGAATGTGTTAAGGGGTATTTTAGACCAACAGGAAAAAATTGGAATGAAATTGATGTTTGTCAACGTGAGTTTATTTTATTTTTATTGAATTGTGAGAATAATCAGGGATTGTAGAATAAATGCAGGATAAGGAAGCCAATTTGTTAATTAACCAAATTTTGTAAGATAAATTCAATACTTCGGCCTTGTTTTGTTTAAACCTAAATACGGAGAGTATGTAATAATAACTGAAGAATATATATTTTAGATAATGTTATTTTTAGAGTGTGGCATTTGACGGAATCTCGTTCCGAAATCCCAGGATTTACAGAATTAATTCAGCGTGATCCTGTCTCATTCAATTTTTTAATTTCGTTACGGGATCCCGGATGCCGCACTCTAATTATTTAGCTATACCCCCTTCTTCCCCTCCTAATAAATTTAATACTAAACAAATTTTAGCTTGTATTTGTGATCCTCTCAAACATGGAGGAAGTTGTGCAGAAGAAACAGGTCAATGTGAATGTTTGCCACAATTTACTGGACCTAATTGTGATCAATGCGGTAATTTTTATATATAAATATTTAAAGAAATTTTTTCAATTTAGCTGCTGGTTATTTTCATCCCCCTGAATGTCGCCCTTGTGAATGTAATGTAAATGGAACTGTTGACAGACAATGCTTGGTATTTAATAATATTTACATAATATTTAATTTTAATTTTTAATTAAAGCCAGATACACCAAACGGGCAATGTCCTTGTCTTCCAAACTTTAGCGGCCGTTTGTGTGAAAAATGTGCTCCAAGTTTTAAGAATATAAGTGCTGGCTGTTTAAATTGTGATTGTGATCCTATTGGCTCAACGAGTGGAGAATGTAATTCTACAACTGGACAATGTCAATGCAAAAGCAGTTTTGGTGATATTAAATGTGATAAATGTGCTAAAGGATATTATAGAAATAAAGAAACTAATGGTAGAAAATGAAAAATAAAAATAATTTTTTAAAAGAAAATTTAAAGATTGTGTTTATTGTGATTGTGATCCAAGCGGTACAGAAGACGAAATTTGTGATGGAAGTAATGGACAATGTCTTTGTAAGCCTGGTTTTGCTGGAAGACGTTGTGACAAATGTGATGACCAATTCTTTGGATATCCATCTTGTAGAGAATGTTTTTGTCATGAAAGAGGCTCTAAAAGTTTAGAATGTGATAAAATAACTGGGGAATGGTAAATTAAATGAAATAATCTTTAAATAAATAATTTTTCAAGTCCATGTTTTGCTAATTTTACTGGCCGAACTTGTGATAAATGTTCTGCTGGTTATTATAGATTCCCAGATTGTTTAGTTTGTGGATGTGCTTCTGCTGGATCTAAAGGATTGACTTGCGATATTGAAGTGAATTTAATTTTAAAAAAATAAAAAAAATATTTTTTAAATAAAAGGGGCAATGTTATTGCAAACAAAATTTCCAAGGAAAACAATGTGATCAATGTTTAGCTAATTTCTTTAATTGGCCTCTTTGTGAAGCATGTAATTGTCATCCAGCGGGTGTTGTTCCTCAATTTGCTGGATGTGATAAAGGTAATTTAAATTAAAAAAAAAAGTAAAAAATGAATTTTTTTTAATTTTTTAGTGCCCCCAGGCGAATTATGTACGTGCAGAAAAAATGTCCAAGGAAGAACTTGGTAAAAAAATAAATTAAAAAATATCTAATCTTTTTAAAATAAAGTTCTGTTTGTAAACCAAATCATTGGGATTTACAGTCACACCATCCAGAAGGGTGTGTAGACTGTGCTTGTAATATGACTGGAACTTTGTCTTTATCCAATGATTGTGATCAACTTAGTGGGCAGTGCCAATGTAAAAGATTTGTGGATGGACAGAAATGCGATTCTTGTCAAGAAGGATTTTACAATATAAGAGCTGATAGTTAAATTAAAAATTATTTTTAATTAAAAAGAAAACTTTAAAAAAAGGTCATGTTGGCTGTGAGCCTTGTAATTGTGATATTGGAGGGGCTATTGGTATTGGATGTAATCAAATAACTGGACAATGTAGATGTAGACCTCGAATTGGGGGACTTAAATGTGATAGGCCTGTACAAGATCATTTCTTTCCAACATTATGGCATTATAAAGTAAGTGAAAAAAGGAGAATTTTAAATAAATAAATTGACAAAAATGAGGAAAAAAGAAATTTTTAAAGTAAAAAAATGTTGGGAATGTTTTTAATTCTTTCCTTCTTATTATATTCTCTTTTTTATATCTCTTCTTCTTTTTCATCCCTATATTTAATTAGAAAAAACTTTAATTAAAAAAAAGAAAACCTTTTAATTACAAACAAAACAATTATAGCAATAATTATTAATAAAATTGCACTCATAACACTAACTACAAATGCAACAGCCATTGAACGTACACAATTATAAGCTGTTTCTCTTGTTGGATCTATTTCTGTTAATTCAGCAACCATTTCTCCCTTTAAAATTATTTTTAAATCTTTACTGTTATTTCCTTGAATAATTACCCTGGGGGTAATTATTGTTTCAACCTCTCTCTAGAGGGAGTAATTAATCGAAGTTATATACTCTTTTAACTTACTCTTTCCAATGCTTGTTCATCACCAAATTGTTCACTACTTTCATATACTGCATCCAAAATTTTTAAACTTGTAACTAAATCCATCTAAATATTTTTAAAAAAATTATCACTATTAAATATCCGTATATTTTTTACCTTTTCATTTAGTTTAAATGTTTTTGGTAAACTTTCATTTCCGTTTCTTTCAATATTATTATTTCTTCTTCTATTACCATTACGTCTATTATTTTTATTTTCATTATCAAATATTCCTCTTTTTTGTCGTCCACAAATTGGCGGAGTAAGTCCATGACATTCATCTATTGCTTTTTTACATAATTCAACAGAACATTGATAATTTAAAACTGTTGTGTCACTAAATTTATATCCAAATGTCTCAACATAAGCCTTTAATTTTGATATTTTTTAAATTCTATTTTCAACTAACTTTATTCTTTTCTGGAGTATATTCAACATCTGGTTGAATGATTGGGTCTATAGCACATCCATCTACGTCTAACTATAAAAAATATTTTCCTTTTAATTATTTTTAAATAATTCTCGCCAAGTCAAATTTTGATCCTTTTCCATCATCTACTGCACATGAATGAACTAAGAATCCATAATCAGAATCATCACATTCCCACACGTGATAGACTTTATCTCCAACCTTCCCTAATTGAAATGCTGGCCCATCAGGAGATTGAGCATGAATTGAGTAATGACAAGTTGGTGTTTTTATTGTATCCATTAATTCTGTTGTCCCAACCATATTCATGTCAAGAATATTTGTCAAATGTTTAATATTTCTGAAGAAGCACATACAATGAAAAGCTCGATCAGAACGAGTAACAAATGTTCCATGAAATGAAACTACTACAGTTAATGAAAGCATCATTCCTTCTAATGGCCCTGTTACTCTTTGCCTTTGCACTTTAAAATAATAATTTTAGTAATTAATTTTCCTTTCTCTTTTCTTGACAAACTTGTGCAATCTCCATTTTGTATCATCATTGAAAATTTTGATTGATCTGCATTTGAAGCAAAATTTTTTGAACATCTTTCATCATCTGCCATTCCTTGAACATAAACACGTCCATTAAAAGGCTTTTTTGTTTTAAAAGTTAAAGATATCATTGTCTCTTCGCATTCAACAATTGGATCGTCAAAGAGTTCATTGTCTGTTGGTAAATTTCTGTTGTGATATTCAGAAATTTCAGAATTAGAAAAAATGATTAGAGTAGTTAATATTGTTAGGAGTAATTCTAATTTAATCATTTTTTGATTATTTATTCTAAATATTTAATTTTCTATTTTTTATTTAAAAATCTATTTAACATTAAATTCTTTAATAAATAAAATTAGGTAAAAATCTCTAATGATGAAGCCAAACCAAAAAGAGAATTTTCAAGACCACCATTGACGATGAAATAACTCAAAGATTTAACACTTTTTCCATAACTATTTTTTAATTTTCTATCCAATATACTTAAGAGATATAATCAAATGGGTCATCTTTGAATTTTTTGTTGTTGCATTGCGCAACGAATATTAAAAAAATAAATTTTTGGATTTTTTAGAAGAGAGGGATTTTAAATTTATTATTTTAAATTTAAGTATGAGGCGGAAGATGGCCATCTTCCAGATGGAAAGAATGTTCGTTATGCCATCAATAAAGAACAATTTCCAGACTTTTCTTGGAGAGGATTTGTTGTTTTCTCAACAATCCAGGAACAAATTAATTTGGATGTAATAATTAGAAAATCAGCTGTCTATAAACTTCTTGCTCATTATCGTAATCCTACAGAAGTTGATGTTGAGCTGGAAGCTAAATTTGTGCCTTTACAGACACAAACTAGTGGTAAATAATTTTTAAAAATTGTTTTAACAAAAATTAAATTTAAAAACAAAACAGATTCTGAACAAACATCCAAAGTTATTTTACCGCCTAGTGGTGAACTACCACAAAATGCTTTTATTCAATCAAAACCTGACCAACGTCCATTTGTGTTAAATCCAGGCCGATGGCAACTTCAACTGAGTGCACATAAACGTCTTTTTCTTGACTATATTGTGCTTGTTCCGTCAGAATATTATTCGGGTTCACAACTTTCTGAGCATATTCTAGAACCTTGCAAAGCTGGCCAAACTCAAAATTGTATTGATTTGCTTTATCCACCTATGCCAATTGTGGCAACAGTCAGAGCAGATACCGGAATTACAAAATTTGAGGAATTAGTTCCTGGAACTGATAGAGTACAGACAATACTTAGTCATGTATGTTTTGACTTTTTAGAAAGATTTTTTTCTTTTTAAAGTCTCCGGACAGTCTTTTGCCACAAAAAGTTGGACAAGGAGCTCTTGTCAAAACCGAGGAACAATCAAAAGAAATTCGTGTTGGGATAACTGTTCCAGAAGATGGAATTTATTTATTAATTGCTGATTATCACAGTCAAGAGCCAAATTCTGTTCCTGTACGTATTAAAGTTGAACAAGGACAAAAACCTTCTGAAGAAACTCCATTAGTGGCTTCGCCCTCAACAATGGCTGATGGCCTTCTTTTAATTAATCATTGCCCTTATGGTTTCTTTTGCCGAGAATTAATGTCTTCTGATGGAAGGCCTGCAATGTTGGGATTACATAAAAGTCCACCAGATGCCCAAGTAATTTTATCAGTTCAACCAGGACGTGAGTTCTCCCTCGGAGCATTTACTTTGGTCAAAGAAGAAAAATGGCATGGAGATCTGTTAAAACAGGTAAATAATGTTTATTTTAAATTTAAATAAAATTCTAAAAAAATTTAGAAGTCATATTGTGTAAGGAAAGGGGAAAAATGTATTGCCCAACAATTCCCTCAACCACCAAAATCTATTAGAACAGAAGCTGAATCTGGAAGTAATTTTAATTCAAGCATGTCTGCAGATAAATTACCTTTTCAAATTGCTGGTGAACCTGCGGAAGTTAGATTAATGTCTTTGGATACTGTACAAGTAGATATATATTTTTGTTATTCATTGAAGCCATTATTGAATTTTAGAGTACTTTGGAGATTGAAGGATTTGTTGATTCACCTGGACAATATGTATTTGTAGTTCATTATTACAGTCCAGATAATCCACCTGTATTTACTGATGTTCTCGTGCAAAATGATTTTGCTGATGCTATGTTTCATTATTGTCCAAGTATTAGTGGATGTAGAACTATTATAGTTGAGTATTTTAAAAAATTACATTTATAAATTATAATATACTGAGTACACTATATTTAAAACAAATTTTAAAGGTTGATAGAAAAACAGGACTTCAACAATTTCGAATAGAAGATAAATATTTATTAACATTTTATGCCAACAATACGTTCCAAAAAGGTCCAATTTATATTGACTATATATTACCTGTTCCTTTTGAATCTTTTACTGATTCTGTGCTTAAACCTTTACCTTTGGGTTTGGCAGATGAATTTGTTGAAGAATGTGCTGCTGAAAATTTTGGAAATCGGTGAGAAAAAAGATCATGAATTTTTAAAAATAATTTTGATTATAAAATTATTTTATTTTAAGTCCAGAAAATGTTTCTGATTATTGCCGCTCAAAAATATTTTCAATAACTTCTGAATTCATCGGTGCAGCAATGGCTTGTGATTGTAATCCTCAAGGAAGTTTAGATTTTGCTTGTGCTGATTATGGTGGTCAGTGTAAATGTAAACCTAATGTTATTGGAAGATCTTGTGAAAGATGTGCACCTGGATATTATAACTTTCCTGATTGTTTAAGTAAAAAATAAACAATTTAATTTAATAAAATTAAAATTAAAACAGAATGTAAATGTGGAACAAAACAACAATGTGATGAACGTACAGGCCAATGTTTTTGCCCTCGTTATGTGGAAGGGTTGGCTTGTGATAGATGTGTTCAATATGCCTATGGATTTGATCCTCTTATTGGTTGCCAGCTTTGTGGATGTTCTGTTAATGGTTCTGCTGGTGCTGAGAAGAAATGTGATCCATTGTCTGGTCAATGCCTTTGTAAAGATAATGTTGGGGGAAGAAGGTAATAATGATTGGAAGTACAGTGTGTTAATTTTTTAATTTATTAAAGATGTGAAAAATGTTTGCAAGGCTATTGGGCATTTCCAGAATGCAGAGAATGTGATTGTCAACAAAGTGGAACTACAGATGATGTTTGTGATGATAGAACTTCAAGATGTCTTTGCAAAAAGAATTTATTAAGTGGAGGTCGTTGTGATCGTTGTAGACCTGGAACTTTTGATCTTCGAAAATCTGACCCTGATGGATGTTCTGAATGTTTTTGTTTTCGAGTAACAGATCGTTGTCGTTCTTCAAATTGGCCAATTCGAGGACTTAGAGTTTCTGATAAAGATTGGAAAGTTGATGATCCAAATGGGACAGTTTTGAGTGATGAATTTGGAAGAATTATTTATGAGGCTGGAAAGGAATTAAATGAAGGAGAGAAAGAAGAAAAGCAAACTTCAGTTTATTTTGAAGTAGATTTACAGCCTGGAGTTGATTATACACGGATGTATGGATTACATCTTTCTTTTGCTATTTCAAGCTTTCCAAGAGATGATAGACCAAGACCAAATATGAAGGCTGACGTTCGTTTGGTTAGTTAAAAGTTATCTCGTAAATTAAAAAGTTTTGTCAAATTTTTTGTAGATTGCTGGAAATACAGTACTTGAGTATTGGGCAACAGAACAACCAAGAAATGCCAGTCAACGCTTTAATGTTGTTGTAACTCTTTTTCCAGAATTTTGGCTTGAATTACAGGGTTATTATAGAAGGGATATTAAAATAAAAATATTTTTATTAAAGGAGTTCCAGCAAATCGTGCTCAATTAATGTTGGCACTTCTTCGTCTTCAACGAATTCAAGTTAAGGCATCCTACTATGAAAGACCGAGCAAAGCAATTCTTGAACATTTTCAACTGGAAATGGCTGATACTGGTGCTCCAACAACGGTGGAGAGAATTGAAAAAATATTTTATTTATTTTTTAAAGGATGAGAATGGAATAGATAGACCAATGGCATCTTCTGTTGAATTGTGTGAATGTCCATCAGCATATTCTGGTCCTTCATGCCAAGAATGTGCACCTGGTTATTATAGACTTCCAATACAATCTGGTCAATTACTTGGATCTTGTGTTCCTTGCAAATGTAATGGACATTCTGGAAGTTGTGATCCTTCTACAGGAGTTTGTCTTAATTGCCAACATAATACTGAGGGAGAACATTGTGAATTTTGCCGTGAAGGTTTTTATGGAAATGCGACAACTGGAAGTGCTGCTGCTTGTTTAAGGTTAGAAAATGGATAAAATGAATATTTCCTTAAAATTATTTTTCTGCAGATGCCCTTGTCCACATCCAATTCAAAGCAACAACTTTGCTCGTTCTTGTTCCGTTTCTGAATTGGGAATTCTTGAACGTTGTGAATGTCATAAAGGTTATATTGGAGATAGATGTGAAATGTGTGATACTGGCTATTTTGGTAATCCAATTATACCAAATGGAGGATGTGAAAATTGTGATTGTAATGGAAATAATGATCTAAAAAATCCTGGTAAATATTTACTTTTAAATATAATTTCCATTTTATTTTCCCTTTAAAGCTGCTTGTCACCCACAAACTGGCGATTGTGCTCTATGTGAAAATAATACAGATGGTCGACATTGTGAAATATGTGCTCAGTGGTTTTGGGGGGATGCTGTAAGTGCAAAAAATTGCACAAAATGTGAATGCCATCAATGTGGAAGTTCTGTTTGTGATCATTATACTGGAAAATGTCAATGCCATCCACTTGTTGAGGGAATACGTTGTGACCGTTGTGTTGAAAACGCTTGGGGAATTGATTCCTGCCGAGGCTGTCAGCCTTGTAATTGTGGATTAGCTGTTAGTTATTTTAATCCTTCTGTTAGTTATTTTAATCTTTTTTTTTAAAGGCATCGAACTCTCAGTGTGACTTAAAAACTGGCCAATGTGCATGTATGCCTGGAGCCGCTGGACAATTTTGTGAACGTTGTGACCATGGCTTCTGGCATTATAATTCTCAAGGTTGTCAAAAATGTGATTGTGAGGCTGATTTAAGTATGGGAACTGTCTGCGATGTAAATACCGGTCAATGCCATTGTCAAGAAGGAGCTACAGGCTCTAGATGTGATAAATGTTTAACAAATTATTTGCGAGTACCTGGATATGGATGCCGTCTTTGTGATGAATGTGTTTATGCTTTGGTTATTTTTCTCACGTCTAGTTCTCACGATTTTAATTTTCTAGGCTCAAGAAACTGACCAAATGGAATCAAATGTTGCCCATCTCCGATCACTTCTTTCAAATGTTTCCAGTGAAACTCTTACAGGCGCTCGTCTCAATCGCATCCAAAAACAAATTGGAGAATTAGAACCAGCATTGGAGAGTGTTATTGCATCAAATTCCCCAGAGGCCGAAGAAATTTCCTCTCAAATTGCACCTAAAGCACGTTCCTTAAATGAAGCAGCTTCTGCTGCAGCAATACGTTCACAAAGAGCAACAGAGCAATTATCTACTTTAGATAAAAGACTTGATAAAAGTTATGAACAACTTGGGGAAATCCGTACAAATGCTCAACAATTATTGGAGATGACTAGATTAACTATTGATAGAATTGGAAAACTTGGACGGCGTTTTGAAACACAAGCTCCATTGGATATAAACAGAGAAGAATTAAGAAATCAATCAGAAGCAAAACTGAAAATGATTAGAAAAGTGGATGGTGGAATTGAAGAAGCACTTTCTGAAGCAAGAAAACATCTTACAAATGTTATGGCAACACAAGAAAGAATTGGAGAATTAAAAGGAAGAAATGATGAATTAAGTAATAAAATTAGTGAAGAAAGAGGACGTTTGGAAAAATTAAATGAATGGAGAGAAGCATTTGAAGATGAATTAAAAACAGTTAAAAGTTCATTAGCTGATATAAAAAATGTAAATTAAATTAAAATAATATTAATTTTTATAAAGAAAATTTTAGAGTTTGGATTCTCGTTCAATGTTTTCACTACGTGCTCTAATTGATGGAATCGAAAAGGATGCCAAAGCACTTGAACGAAGCAGTTCTGAACAAGAATCTCATTTAGGCAATGTCACAAATTTACTTGAGGAAATAACTAATCAACGGGCAATAATTGACCAACTTTTGTCAGAACTATCTGAATTAAAAAATCAACTTCCTCCAATTGATGACAGCACTTTTCGCATCCGTCGAGAATCAGAAAGAGCAATTAAACAAAAACTTCAACATAAAGTTGCACAGTTGGAAATAGAAGCACAAAAAGTTGTTGCGATATATGATGCTGCACGTTTAGAAGCTAAAAAGGCTATGGAAGCAGCAAATATTTATAAAGAAGTAATTGAAGGAATGAAACAAGCAAGAATACAATCTTTGGATGCCGAAAACAGAATGCGTGAAGCTGGAGAACTTATTCGTTCCCAAAATGGAAATGCTAAAGAAGCTAGGAATAAAAGTAAAATATTAAAAGAAAGAAGCTCCTCGAGTGTAGAAGCCCTTGGAGAAGCAAAGGCAAGAGTTGATGCTCTTACTAAAAGAGAAGAACAATTGGCTCCTTTGATAACCAAAATTCGAAGTGATTTATCTGAAATTAGCCAACAATCACCTAAAGGAGGTGATGAAAACCAACTAGATATTGACACAATTAGAGACAAGGCTGATCAATCACAGCAAAGAATTGAACCTTTAAATGAAAGTTTCCAAAATATGGGTAAACAATTGGAAGATGTTGATAAAAAAGTTCGGGAATTGGTGGATTCGAGTGGTAAAGCTTTTGAAGATACTGCAACTGCTAGAAATCAAATACAGCAAGTAAATTTCTTAAAGCTTAAAAAATTTATAATAAAATCCATTTTTAAGGTAATTAAATCAATGCCTGAATTAAAAGAAGAATGGGAAGATTCTCAAAAAAGAATTGAACAAACGATAGCTAATGTAAAAGAAACTCGTTCAAAATTAGCACTTTTAAAAGAAAAAGTTATTCTTGCAAGAGACAAGGCAAATCGTGTTAAATTGGGTGCACATTTTGAGAGGGGAAGTTATTTGGAATTGCCACTTCCCCAAACTTCTGATGATTTTGCTGAAGTCACAGATGTTCGATTCTTCTTTAGAACACGCGAACGAAATGGTAGAAAAAGAAGAATTTTATTTTAAATTTATTAAATTAAATTTAAAAAGGTTTTCTTTTCTTCCTTGGTTCTTCTAATGCTCAACTTGCTGGAGAATTTTTGGGAATTGAATTGGAAAATGAACGGCCAAAAATGACTTTAAATCTTGGTGGAAAAGCAGCAAATCTTTCACATTTGTCTACACCTGTTAGTGATATGAAATGGAGAGAATTAGTTGTACAAAGAAGAGGAAAACGTGCTTTAATGAAATTAAGTAAACCTGGAGGAAATGTTGAGGATGGACCTGATGAAGAAAAAGTAGATTAAATATTTAAATAAAAATAATTTTAATTTTTTAAAGAATATTGAATTAATTGGTGGAAAGTCTATTTTAAACTTTTTTGACGATTTACGTCATTTATTTGTTGGTGGTATTCCACCAACTTTTCTTTTACCGTCAGCTCTACAACAAAGACATTTTACGGGTGATTTAGATAAATTGAGTGTAAATGGAGAATTAATTGGTTTTTGGAATTCTGAAAAGTCCCATGGAGTAAGTGGATCTGAAATGCGTCAATTACCCGATTCTGAGAAGATTGCTGAAAATGAAGTTACTTTTAATGGTAGAGGATATTTACAAATGGATGTTGGGCCTTGGAATCCTCGAAAGAGAACAGCTATTATTTTGTCTTTTTTGAGTTATTCCCCGGATGGTTAGAGAATTCTTTTAGAAATTAAATTAATTAATTTAAAAAGGTTTACTCTTTTTTGTTGGCAAAGATCGAGATCAATTAGTACTTGAATTGGTTGGTGGTAGAGTTAGTCTTCTTTTTGATTTGGGTTCTGGTCCAGCTAAATTAGTTAGTAATGAAGAGAAATATAATGATGGAAAGTGGCATTTGGTTGAAGTTGATAGAAATGAAAAAACGGCTAAATTGCAAGTTGATGGAAGTGATAAAGTAAAGAGAAAAAAATTATTTTAGAAAAAATAATTCCTTTTATTTTAGATTGAAGGTGAATCCCCTGGTTCTCTTTTTGAAATGAGCGTTTCTGATTCATTTTTCCTTGGCGGATTACCTACAACCATTGAAACAACGTAAAATATTTTTAAAAAAAATTTATTTAAAATTTTCTTTTTAGTCGTTTTGCTGTCCATCCATTCCGTGGCTGTATTCGAAACTTAAAATTGGATAGTGATTATATTTCATTAGCTCGTCCAAAAGCATCAAAAGGTGTTCAATCCTCATGTGTTAATCGAGATGTTCGTGTTGGTACTTTACTTTCTGAACGCTCATTTGCTCAATTTACCGGCCTTTCACTTGACGGACAATTAGAATTATGTTTCCGTTTTCGTCCATCTATTTCCATAAATTCTCAACAAGAAGTTCATTTACTTAGTGTAATGGTTAATAATGATCAAGAAGAACTTCTTCGTGTACATTTGGAGGAAGGAGGACGTTTCTTAGCAATTCGGCCAAACGGGGATGATACAGGATTGATTAAAACAGAATTAAGTCATCGTTTGGCTGGTGGTTGGCATCTTTTGTGTGTTCATCGAAATTCTAAAATAATGCATGTTTTTGTTGATGATGCTATTGATGAACAAACTCAGGCACCAATTGAAGGAATTGATTTACTTGTAAATAATTATTCTTAAAAATATTTTAAATAAAAATAATTTATTTAAAGAATTCAAAAGATGTTCTTTTGGGTTTTGGCCGGTTAGAATCTTCCCCTTCATTCGTTGGATGTATTGGAGATATTCTTTTTGGAGGGCAATTACTCTCTTTGGCACAAAGTAGTGCAAATGAATTAACACTTTCTGGGTGTTCAATTGCTGGATTAAACGAATTTACATCTTCAATTGATGAATCTTTGCCTGATCTTCCATTACCCGCAGTTAATGCTGAACGGCAAACACAAGAAGAGAAGAAAACGGGGGAAATATTAAATGAATCTAAAATTATTTGTAAAATTTTGATTTTTAAAAATTAAATTAATTTTTAAATAGCCTCAACAATTCCCTCTGCAAAAGTTCGTCCAGAAGGTGAATGTGCTTTACCTTTAAAACCTCATGGAGAACGTGAAGATTCTTCTGGATTACGTTTTGGTCTTTCCCCAAATACTCGTTTAGAATTTGATGTTGGGGAAATTACTGGATCAGATTTAGTATTTACAGTAGAATTGAGGGCTACAGCAGCAAATGGAATTATAATGTTTGTGACAGATGAAAGACATAGTCAATTTGCTGCAATTTATTTATTAAATGGAAAACCAGCATTTTCTTCAAAAAGTTCTTCTTTTGGACAAGTAAAAAAGAATAATTAATTTTTAAAAAGAAAATCTTTATTTCTAGTTAACAATAACAAGTAGTCAATCATTATTAGACGGTGAATGGCATTCAATTCGTGTACAACGTGAAGGTTTAGCTTCTGCTTTATATATTGATGGACAATTAAATGTCCAAAATAGAAGTGAAGAATTATTAACAAATTCAATAAATACAAATGATTTACTAAATTTGCAATCCCCTTTATTTATTGGGGGACTTCCAATTGAATTAATTCCCTTTTCTGCACGTTTTTTGTTTGGTGTTAAATCAGAATTTGGTGGTTGTTTACGTAATTATGCTTTTAATGATCGTCAATTGGAAGAATTACCTTTAATGAAAGAAAGTGGGACAGTCCCCTGTTCTCAATTTAAAGTAGGGGGGAATTAAATGAATTTAAGTTTAAATTAATTTTTCTATTTAAAGGAGCCAGGTTTATTTTTTGGAAAAGAAGGGGGATATGCTATTTTGGATAGACAATTAGTGGTAGATAATTAATTTTAAATTCAAAAAAATATTTTTTAAAAAAAGGTTGGAACATCATTTAGTTTAGAATTAGAATTAAAACCTCGAACAAAAAATGCAGTTATTGTGTCTGTTGGAGTTTTGGACTTTTTAAGTTTACAATTGTTAAATGGAAGTGTTAAATTTTCTGTTGATAATGGAAATGGTGTTGAATCAGTTTTGTATGAGCCCCCAATTGGGACTTCTCTTTGTGATGGGCATTGGCATCAAGTGAAAATTTATAAAAAGAAAAAGCTTTTAACGTTAAATGTTGATGGAAAAAGTAAGGAGAGAGATGAAAGTAGAAATTAATTTTAAAAAATAATTTAAAGGTAGTCTTCGAGTATTGGGGAAAAAATCGGCATCAGAAACGAGTACACACGATCCTTTATATTTGGGTGGAGTTCCTCGTGATGTTAAATTAAAAGGATTGGATACTCAAGGTATTAAAATAAGTATTTAAATTTAAATATTTAATTTTAATTTTTAGAGCCATATGTTGGTTGTATTCGTGTAATCTTCCTTGGGAAAAAGAATCGGCGAAGAAATGTTCCAGATGAAGTAGCACAAGAATTGGAATTGTTTGGGTCTGTTGACAGAAATTATTGTCCATTAAATTGAAAAAATAATATTTACTTGGAATTTGTTTAATTCTAATATTTTTTTAAAATTAATTTAATTTTAACTTTCTAATTTTGAAATATTTTGTTTAATTAAAATGTGTAATTTTGTTAGGTAATAACGTAAATAAAATATAAATATTCAGAATCATTTATTGGTCAATTAGGGTAGTCAAATGTTAAATCCAATTTTTATTTAAAAAAACATTTAATTTCCGTGTAATAATTAGAGGTTGGTTGTCCACACACATTTAGGCCCGAGAGTTTTGCTTTTCTTTACTCCAAAAATAATTCGTTTCTTATTTCAAAAAAGATATACCAAGCAGGGTCGGGCGCATTACTTTACGTTAAATTTTGGCCTTTCTAAATTCAAAAAATTTTCTCTTGCACCCGCCCCTGATCCAATGTATCAAACTTTTCACCAATGGCTACCCTTCCTTTCCCCAGATTTTCTTTTTTCAACAAATTCTTCCTTATCTTTCTTCTCAATTATTTCATCTTCTTCCTTCTTTTCTGTTTTAACTTCAATAATTTCTTCTTTTTCAATAAATTCTTCCTTATTTTCTTTTTTACTCCATTCATTATCTTTTTCTTAAAAGAAAATAATTTATATACGTTTAAATAAACTTTAATTAATTAATTTTACCAAATTTATCTAATTTATCCAAATTTTCACTTTTTTCATTTGAATCTCCTTTAACAAACATTTTAGCAACATTTCCAATTCCATTTAATATTTTCTTCCACCAACAATTTCCCTTTTTTTCTCCATTATTTTCATTTCTATTAAATATTCCTCCCCAAGAGAACCTTCCATTATTATTTTCTTCTTTTTTATTCTCCTCCTCATCTACTTGAACTTTTTCTTCTACTTCTTCAATTGTCTCCTCTTTATTTATTTTTTTCATTTCATTTTTATCTTCAATTTCATTAAATCCCTTCCAATATTGTCCATTTATACGAGGTAAACCATTTATAGGAATAAAAAAATCTTTATTTACATAATTTTCATCTTTCCACCAATCATTATCTAAAGAATATTTTTTAAACAAATTTACTTGTAAAATAGGTAATTATGTACCAGGGGTTGGACTGATATAATACTTATATTATAGTGCAAAAATATTATTTATCAATATCGACATATTAGATAAAAACAACACAGGACTTCAAACAAAAATCTCGATTATCGAGCTGAATTTTAACTGAAAAATACTTTCTATTTCAATTACTCTTGTCCCCCCATCTTTTTGTCCATTTAAGTTCGCACGATTTTCCGAGATATCGCGAAATATTTTTCGATATTCCTTGTCAATCCATTAATTTTTCTCCAAAACTTTGTCACTAATTTATGTAGATAATAATATATTTTCAAGTCCATTCAATTCTAATAAATAATGTTTATTTACCTATTTTCCATTTATTTTCCATTAATCCATTCCAATTAAATACTTTATTATTACTTTCTTCTCCATCATTTTCTTCCCTTCCCCACATTTCCCACCATCTTCCACCACCCATTTTTGGCATATAATTTTCTTTCCATTGCCAAAATTTAAATTGACCATCATTATTATTATTCCAATTATTATTTTCATAAAAATTATTAAATAAATTTGATTGACTTCCATCTTCTCTTATTTCTTTTCTCCTCTCCTCCTCTTCTTCCTCTCTTCTTCCAAATCCTTTATTTATTACCCAATCTTTTTCTTCTCCATTATTTTCTTCCTCCTCCTCATTTCTTTCTTCTTTAGCTTTAACAAAAGAAAATAAACTTTTCTTCTCTTCAAATACTTCTTTATTATCTTCCTCACCATTTTTTGCACTTTTAAACAAATCATCAACATTCTTTTCATTTTCACTCCTCATTTCATCAACTTCACTCCATTTCTCTTCTTTTATTTCTTCCCTTTTAAAAACTAAAAAATATTTAAATTATCTTTTTTCTTTGAAATTTTAATTTAATAAAAGAATTCTCGATAATCTCCTTTATTTCTTAAATAATTAATTACTTTGTTCATTGTCTGTCAAATGAGCTTTAATTAAATTATTAAAATATAAAAAAATAATTAAAATTATTGGAAATTTTGAGGAAAATTTTAGAGGAGGATTATTCATTTAAAATTTTATTTTCTTTTTTGAAGAATAATGAATGAAACTTTTTGAGAAAGGCCAAAGTTTTATGTATAATAAAAGCTTTGAAGTCATTTAATTAAATTAAAAAAGCTAAATAAATAAATTTTATTTTAAATATTAATCAAAGGTATTTTTCTTTTTTTCTGTTTTTGGGGGTATATTCTCGTGATTAATTTTAATCCAAAAATTGCTTTAAGGATAAAAATAATTGATTTTGCTTATTTATTTAATTAAAAAAATTTCAAAAAAAACTATTTTAAATACCATTTAATTAAAGAAATTAATAAAAGTCAAGAAAAAATTGTAATAAATTAACTTCTAAATTATTTAACTATTTATTTCTTCATTTTAAATTTATTTTTTAGACAAAAATATTTTTAAAAAGATTTTTGGAAGAGTTTTTGAATATAATCAATAAAGAATTCTTTTAATTTCGAAAAAAAATATTTTAAAATTAGGAGGAGATCGGGAATTGTATAAAATAAAATAGTAGTAGACATTTTAATGAAAATATTTATAAGTAAAAAATATACACACATAAAAATTTCAAAAAATATTTAATTTTTAGAAAATTATTTTTTAAATATAAATTTAATAATTTTCTTTTTAAAATATTCTTCTTTCATTAAAAAAATATTTTTTTATTCTCGAATACAAGGAATTTGTAGTGATGTTACAGGAGAGGTAGGCGAACAAGTATTTCTCCGAACACAACGACCACCACCCCCAAAACCTAATTTAGGTGAAAGAGAGGGGGAACGGCTAGCTGTTGATCTTTTAGAATTTAAAATACTTCCATTACTTTTTGTTGAAGATACACGAAGTAAACCATTCGAAGCTGAACGAGGTTTATCTCCAACATTTGGTATATCATCTAATAAATCCAAATATTGCTCTGATTTTAAAAACCTTTAAAATTTAAAAAATAATTATTTTTTCCTAAATTTAAAAATTACCTAGAGTAACTATCTTTAGACATTAATTGTTCAATTTTGTTTTGTGCCAAATTAAAAATATCTGTTTTTAATGGAATACTTTGTAATCCATTTTTTGTTTTCATCCTTGTTTCACTATCCAAATTTACCTAAAACAAAAATATTTTAAATTAATATCAGGTAAAATAATTTTCCTGGTCAGGACAAATTTATGATTTATTACTCTTCCCGGATAAAATCTGAGAGGAATGGTTATGGTGAGGCAAAAATTTTAAGAATTTTGGGAGGCCAAGGAGCCAGATTTCTTCCATTTTTTGCCCTCGAATTAGATGTTTTTTGCGTTATTTTCGTTGAAAAAATGCAAAACGCAACGCTACGATTTAACGCAAATAAAACAATGCTCCCGTCCACATTCCGGATATAAAAATATTTTTCAAGAACTAACAACCCTTATTTTAAGAATAATTAAACAAAAGTTATCTATCATTCATTTAGAAGGGTTATAAAGAAATATATTTAAATTAAAAAATATTTTTACTTCTTTAGGTGCCAATTCTTTAATATAAGTATCATATATTTGTTGGGCTTTTTGTAAAGTTTGCTTTTTTGAATCCTTCATTTGTTTAAAGTTTTCAACATCCAACCAAAAATCCAAATTTTCCTCGCTAAATTCGCTTTGAAGAAATTCCCGAAAAAGCATACAACCATCTAAATTAAATTAAATATATTTAATTTAAAATTAATTAAGTACATTTATGGCTAAGTAAAGTAAAGAAATCTTCTTGCCAAAGACGGCATTCTTCTTTTGATGGACATAAAACTGAAGCAGATAAACTAAAGTCTAATTTACTTTTTAAAAAATTAAAAGTTCTTCCAAGCGGCCCTCTTTAAAGGAAAAAAATAATTTAAATTAATTAATTATTTATTTACAATTGGTTTTTTCTTTGTAATTTATCAGTTAAAGGGGCCGAATTAGTTACAGAATTTCTTTTAATAAATTGTTGAGGTTGTTGAGAATGTTGTTTATTTAATTCTTCTTTATTTTCTTTTTTATTTAGAGGTAATTCTGTTGTTGAAGTAGAAGTAGAAGAATATATTTGTTGTTTTTGTGAAGGTTTTGGTGGTAGACAAGAAGAGGAGGAAGTAGAGGAAGAACAATTATTATTTTTATTTAAATTTTCAATATTTCCACCACTTCCATTAAAAGAATCTTCTTCTACATTGTGAACACCCCCGCCATCAATTGAAGAAGTTAAAGAAGTAAAATCAGAACTATCTGTATTTATTTATTTAAATTAATCTCTCTCTTTTAAATATTTAATTACCAGCCATCATTTGCCTTCTTTTGCAATCAACACCTGATTGAGAAGAAGAAGAATTTGAACAATTATTTGTAGCTGCTATTTTCTGATTTTTACCAAAATTTGTATTTTTAAGAAAATTTGTTCGTCCTAAATTGGGGACTAATGAAGGCGCCCATTCTGGTTCACTCATCATCTGAAAATATTTAAATTAATTTTTAAACATTTTAAAAATTTTAAAAGAATTTTAGCACGGCATTATTTTTTTAACTTTTTTGCAAATAAATTCAATAAAGGGTGGGAGACATTCCCGAATATAAAAAAGGAATGAAAATTGGCAAATAAAATATAAGGGCAGAAGAGAACCACAGATGTTCTTCTTCCCTTTTTTAACTTTATATAAACAAAAAATCCCTTTAAATTTTCCCATTTAAATATTTATAAGCTTTTTTCTAGTTAAGCCGATTTTTATTTTTCTTATTCCAAACGGTTAGCGGCTTTTAAAATCTTTTTATGGACACTAAAATTAAAGGAAAATGAATTGAGGCTAATGAATTAAAAAGGAATTTTTTGTAAACGAGGAGGGGATTGTAGTACAAAAAAGGGAAAGAATAAATTAGTTAAATTGATATATAAATTAAATTTAAAGAAGAATTAAATTAAAATAATTATATATTTTAATTTTAAATTAATTTATTTAAATTTAAAAATATATTTATTAAAAATAAATATAACAAAATTTATTTTTAATAAAAGAAACCATGAAAATGAGGAAGGAAAATAAGAAAAATTAAAAGGGAATATTAAAATAAAAAACAAAACAAAAAAAGATTAATAATAATAATTTATATTTATTTATTGCAAAATAAAAATGAATATATTAATTTAAAATTAATTTTATTTTTTAAAAATATATAGGTAATTTAGACAAAAATTATTTGATAAATAAAATGAAAGTCTATTTATTTTATTTGATATAATAAAAAATTAAAATAATTATTAGGTAAAGAAATGAGGTAAAATAAAATAAAAATTAAGAATTAAATAAGGGCAGGTGAAGTTTAGAAAGAATTTTTTTTCTTTTTACATTTAAATCTAAAAATAGTAGGGGTTTTTAAATATTATATAGACTCTCTAGAGGGAATAGGGGGAGGGGAGGGGGATTTTTTATAAATACAAAGATGGATAAGGAAGCCTTTAAAAAGAATGTTTTATGTAAAAGATGAGACCCTAGAGAATGTCAAAAAATATTAAAAAAGTTTAAATATTTAAAGGTACAAAAAAAGACTATTTTTGGATATTTGATAAATTGAGGGGAAGTTAAGAAATAAATATTAGAGACTTCCAAGACCGAAACTTTTCCAAGACTCAAGACCAAGACCGAAAAAGTAGGTAAGGGAATGAGGAAAAAAACATTCAAAATAAAATTAAAAATATATTTACTTTTCCAAAATTTAATAAAAAACATATTTTTTTAAAAAACTTTAAAATCCTCTTGGGGGGAAAAGGAAATGATAAGAGGAAAAAGTTTATTTGTCATGTCTAGTGAAGTTTTTCTTTTTAAAATTTCTTGGCATTTTTGCCTTTCCTTTTTCCTTTACGTCAGAAAAATAAATAAATAAATATTGTTTTTGAAAAACAAAAGGAAATAAATGTTTTTTTAAAGAAATGAGTGGGTGGTGGAAGCCAAAATTGGTTAAATTGATTTTTAAAAAAATAAAGTGATTAATTGGAAATTAAAATATTTAATCAAAATATTTATTAAATAAAATTTTTTTTTGGATTTATAAACAAATATTTTAATTTTTAGTTATTAAATTTTAAATTTAGGGATTGGCTAATTTGCCGTAAATTTTGTTTTTGCCAAAAATAATTTATTTTTTTTCTACTAAACAATTTATTGATATTATAATTTAATTTAACAAAAGAATTTAAAAAGAAAAGAGAGACAGGTGCTTATTTTTTAAAATTAATTTGTGGTTAATTTTTAACTGTCAAAGATTGATAAAAAAAATATTAAGAGAAATAAAAAAAATTATTATTTTTTATAAAAAATATTAGAGTGGGAGATGACGTAATTAAATTTATAAAAAATAAAATAAAAAAATATTTATTTATTTATTAGTTCCATAATTTTCTGCACCTTTTAAGGAAAGCTTTAAAAAAATTAATCATAAAAAAACTTTAAAAGAACTTTTTTAGCCATTTATTTTTTTAAATATTAACGAGTGGGTGAAATAAATTGTTTAAAATATTTTTTTGAATGTTAAATTTAAAAATTAAAAGGGGGAAGGAAAGAGAAAAAGAGAGGAGAAATTTTGAAATGAATTTTAAAAAAATTACTTTAAATGGTGATCCAAAAGAAGAATTACTCGAAATAGAAGAACACCCAGTAACACCAATTTCGTCATAATATTTTTTATGAAGTATATTATTTTGACTTAAATGGCTTTGTTGTCCAAGTCTGTCAGGTAAAAGGAAAAACCCTCCTTCACAAATCTTTAAAAGAAATTAATTTATTTTTTAAAAAACTTTTTAAAAAACCTGAATGGATTGTTGTCTTCCATTAATTAAATCATTTTGTTGTTGTTTAGCTAAACGGAAAAATTTTCGCAAGGAAAAACTCATTCTTCCCAATAATTCGGCAGCTCTAAAAATATTTTTTTATTTAAAAATAAAATTTAAAGATTTTTATCTAAATTTAAAATTAAATTTCAACAAAATATTTAAAATAATATATCTTTTTTTTCCTTTCTTTAAACTTTTTATTTAAAAAAATTTTATTTTAAAAAAACCAACGGTGCAGCAGAAGGTAAAGAAGTAGAAGTAGAAGATATATTTGTTGGTGTTGTTGTAATATACAAAGATAACCCCAATTTATCTCCATATTGTAAATTAATTGGACTTATTTTAAATTGAAAATCATCAAAAAATTCAGGCCAATTACTTTCCCTAACTTCGCTACTTAATTTTGAACGGAAACGGTGATCGTATTTTGAACGTTTTCTGTTTGATGGACTTCGACGAATCTCCACCTTTTTTAAAAAAATAATAATTTTTTTAAAATTATTTCAAAACTACTTTAACATAACAAGAAGAAGGACAATTCTCTAAAAACAAAGCCCCATTACGGACATGAACAATTAATAAAGAATTCCCAACAATGGCTATTTGAATAAAAAGAATTCCTTTAATTCCAAAACTTTTTGCTAAAGCAGAAGGCAAATTATATTGTTCGGGGCGAGCAGAAATTGTTGTTGATGAAGAAGAAGATTGTTGAGGAAAAAAAGGATCGAATAAACTTCTGGGAGGGTCTAAAGGAATTACTTGAGGCTACAAAAAAGGAAATTATTAATTTAAATTTAATTAATTAATTTCACCAAATTATTATTAACAATTCCCCCTTCATTCTTTTTTTGTTGTCTAGGATTTGTTCGAGGTAAAAAAGAATGTAGATTAGCCAAAGTAGATGTTTGTATTGGACGCCATTCCCTCCCAATTGACTGTAAAGGTCGGGGTAATGGAGGGACATCAAAATCTTCATCATTTAAATTTGGACGGGGCAAAACTGGGGATATTTCCTTTATTGAAATAATTATATTTTAATTTAAGTCCAATTTAAAATTACTTCAACCATTTCAAGTGCCGGAATTCTTTGTGGGGTTTTTTGTTTTTTTAATTTATTAATTAAATGATTGTGGCCATTAAATTCTTTTTTATTTTTAATTAAATAATTTGTTGTCATTTCTGTCTCAGAATCACTTAAAGTTAATCCCCCTCCCCCTCCTTCATTATTGTAATGCCTTCTTGTTGTTAACATTTCTTTTTGTTGTTCAGAATCATCCAAAGAAAGAGAAGAATTATTTGGATAAATTGTTGATAATGATGGAAATTTGCCAAAACTTAAAAAAAATTTTGTTAGTTTTTTGATCAAAAAGGGTCCATTTAAGTAAAAATAATTTTGGTTAGAAAAATAAGAGAGGCCCGTCTTTAAATGTTTTTTGAGTGGCCGCGCAGTTATTTATTTTTGTCTTTTTTCGGTTAGAATATTTTTTTAAATAAAGGGTCATAAAAAATAAAGTTTTTATTGGTTAAGAATAAATTTAGATAAGAAAAAAAGTAAAAGAGGAAGGAAGTACCCTTTAAATTAAAAAAAAAGATAAAAAAATAATAATTTAATTGAGAAGTCATTAAATTATTCTTAATCTTTTTTTTTAATTTTTGAAGTTAAAATGAATGAATTATTAAAAATAAAATTAGAAATATACTTTTTGTCCGAATAAATTTAGGGAAATATTTTAAAATGTTTAAACAGGCATATATTTTTATGTAAAAGAATTGTTTAGCACTAATATTTATGTATGTCCATCTCCGCCCAAAATCACTCAAAAAATAAATAAACTCTTTTTATTTATGGCCAACATACTATTAAACTATAAAAATATATTTATCTTTATTTAATATCAAAGTTTGGACATCTGCGCTATACAAAATAATTTTTAGTAAATTAAATACTCAAATAAATTAGCAATTCAAGATTTATTTAAAAACTTACTTAATCATTCCTCCATTAATTCCTTCATTTATTCTACCACCTCTATTAATAGAAGAATATTTACAAATTTCAGAATCAGATGTTGTCAAATCCTCAGAACTACTAAAAATCATTAAAGAAGTTTTCTTCTTTTTATTTTCATTATTTTTCCAACAAAAATTATTTAAAGATCCATAAATTAAATCATCAAATTTAATTGGGTTTCCACCATATTTAAAATGATTTGGGGGAGGTTTGGAGGTTTTGATAAAAGAATTAAATCTTCCTTCATTATTTATTTCCTCTTTTGGCCAATTTTCTTTTGAAGAAGACAAATTTTGAACTTTAAAAAAAGAAAAATAAAATATAAGTTTAACAGACACAAACGGCTAATTGGAGGGGGACCAAATTCGAGACTTATTGGTTGAGAAAGAGAGGAAGAGGCAGTTCCAGAAGAACAACAATAAGGAGGGGGAGAGTCCATTCTTCCCTTTAAAAAATGTTGCCGATTATTTTGTTGTGTTTTACGGAGAGAAAGTTTTTGATATTCTCGCATTTTTAATAAATAAATTGTTGTTAATTTTTGGGGGAAGGAAAAAATAAAAATAAAATAATTTTTAATGTAATCTAAAAAAATATTTTAAATAAAATTATTAAAAGTTAAATAAACAAAAAATATAATTTATTTATTAATTATTTTTAGTATGAGAAAATAAAAATATTTTATTTGAGCTAATAAAAAAGCTAATTTAAATTTTGACTTTTTTTTGTATATAAATAATTGTGAATGTTGTTACACATCTTGTCTCGATTCTCATAAAAATAAAAATGTTATTGAGGAAATTGGACAATTTCTCGTATTTTAATGAAAAATAAAATATTTTAAATTTTATTTAAAAACAATTAATTAAATAATAATTATTGATTTGAAAAGTTTAATTTTAAATTTTAGATAAAAAATAAATAATAATTATGTGTAAAATTTAATTAGTAATATTAATTAGTAATATCCATATATTTTGGATTTTATGAAGCGTTGCAACCTAATCTGAGTATATTTTTTAATCTTTTTGTAATACTTAATGGAAAAGAGGAAAAAAAGATTAGCAAAATATAAAAAGAGCAAGGGAATTTTTGGACAGTTGGAGAGGGAAGGGGAAAGGGATTATTTAATAGAAACAAAATGTTGTTAGATTTTACAAATTTGGTTAAATCAAAAATTGTTTGTAACAATTTTTTGATAAAAAAATTGTTTTCCAATCTCTCTATTAGTTCTACTTTTAGTTTTAGCCTCGTATTTTGTAAAATCCCCATTTTATATATTTGTATTTTTTATCAAAATAATAAGAATTTAGGAAAACCTGAAAGGACTGTTAATTAAAATAAAAATAAATAGAAGATTGTTTTTAAAATTTAATTAAAGGAATATAAATATTTGAACACAAAAATATATTAATTTTTTATTTAAAGATTTCCGCAATTTAAAAAAGAGTTTTTAATATTTTTCCAGTTAATTAGAAAAACAAAATTAAAATATTTATTTTAAGAAAATAATTTAAAAAGGAAAAGTTAAAGGAACATAAAAAGGTAAAATAAAAATAATTTTAAAAAATATTTAGAGAGGAAATATTTTATAATTTAATATTTTAAAAGCAAAGACGTTCAAAAATAAATAAATGGGCAAGAAGAGTTTAAGGAAAAATGTTTTTTTCTTAGACAGTTCTTCCCTCTTCCTTTTTTCATCTTTAAAGTATTTTTATTAGTAAAAAAAGAAGAAGAATTCTGTGCGCAGGTGCCGGTCTCTAATAAAGTGTAATAAATAGTAGATTTAAATTGGGGGGAGAGGGGGGGGGTTCTTTCTTTATTGAAAAAAAAAGAAAATTTGCGCTTAGGGAGTAATTTTATTGGGAGATTGAACAAATAAATTTTGGATATAAAAAAAAGATTATAAAGCAGATGGCCAAAAAATAAATAAAAATTTAGAAAAAAAGACAAAGAATCGATATAATTTATTAAATTTAAAAAATAATTTTTATTTTTTTTTGTTAATAAATTTAATTAATTAAATTTATTTATTTATTTATTTATGTATTTATTCCCCTCATTAATTCCCACGCAATTAATTTTTAAATAGGATAATCTCGTAAAATGGAAATTCTCTAAATTACTTATAGCTAGATTATATTTAAAAAAAAGTAAAGAATAAAAGATTTAAAAAATAAAAAGAAAAGTATTTTTTGGCTACAAATGACCAAAAATAAATTTAAAAAAAATTAAAAAGAAAATACCGACAAATATTTTTTAAATAAATTTCTTTTTTTACTTAAAATATATTTTCTAAAAAATATTTCTTTATAAATTTTTTAGTTTTTAATATCCCAAGAGAATCTAAATTGAATTTATTTTTTTATTTTGGACTTTTATTCTTCCGTTAAAAACTTTTACAAAGAAAGTTTTTTTACTTTTTTTATTAAAAATGGAAAAAAATCTTTTTAATAAAAAAATATTTTGTATTTTTCTAAAAATATTAAATAATTAAACTTTAAAAACAAAGCTCTCTCATTTGTTATAAACCGACCTCAGTACGAAATTAAAAATGAACTAGGTTAAAAATTAAATTTTCCTTAAAATTCTCAAAATTTTCGCCTGCTTTAAGTCTTTTTGAGAGAAAAATGTAAGTGTCTTGAACGAGAATAAATTTTTTAAATTTTATTTTTGCCCCCCTAGGTACTTCCAAATTAAACTTTTTTGCTTACACTTAACATTTCTCCAATGAGAGCCCTGCTTTAAAAAAGTTAAATAAGAAAAATATTTAAAAAAAATTTTTTTTACATATGTAATTTCTATTCATAAAAATTTAAAAAAATTATAAAAATCCAAAAAAATTTTTATTTATTTATTGACTTAAAAAAAGAAGAAATTCTTTTCTCCCTCCTATAAATCATTAATTGCTGCTCAAAAGTAATTTATTCCTCTTTAAACCTTTCACTCCCCTCTCCTAGTTTGTTGAGGAAAGGTTACAATTAAAAAATTTTTCAAAACAAAATTACTCTCTTTTTTTAGTTGAGGAAGCGCAAGCGAATTTGAGGATTTTAATGAGTAATTAATTAAATCAATTGGTTATTATCCCCTAAACTATCCAAAAATCGATAAATGAAAATAAAAAATTTATAAAAAAAGAAAGAACGGGAATAGTATACTAATTGAAAAAAAACTAAAAATTCTTCAAATAAATAAACAAAAAAAAGAAAATGAAAAAACAAAGACGGGAACAAAAACAATTAAATAATGAAAGCAGTCTACTCCGCCGCAAAAGTATAAAGTACTTAATTGTGGGCCTATTTAATTTTTAAAAATTTTTTAATGTTAAATTAATGTATATTTTCGAAATTTGGTATGTATGTTAATACACTAAATTAAACTGAAAAGAAATTGAAACTTTTTCTATCCATGTATCTAATAATTGGTAAAAATTAGTCTCGATTGGAGCATTGTAACTGGAAGAAAATAACTGGAAGAAAATATAATATTGAAACGGAAAATATTACTTAAAAATTAAAAAAGATATAAATTTATTTATTTATTTATTTTAATAAAATAATTAAATGCATTTTTAAATTATTTTCTGGAAATTGAAAAAAAATTTTTATAAAAATTTCTTTGCGTGTTATAATTAAATATGTACACAATTTTGTTTTTTTTATTAATTTCAAATTATATTTATTTAAAATAACTCTTCTTCAATTTTTTGTAAAAATAATTGTCAATTTCTTTAAAAAAAGGAAGAATGCAAAATAGAATAATAATAATTTTTGCTTATAATTTAAAAGGCAATTTTTCATTATTTTTTTATTAACAAAAGAAGTGTCAAATTTAAATTATAATATATGAATATTTTGTTGTATTTATTTTTATTTAAAATTAAAAATATATTTAGGGATATATTGTTGTGTATTTGGAATATAAATTAATTATTTAGACTAGTAGAGTTCGTAATTTACGGTTAGGGGGGACGTGGATATCCTTTACCCAAGAGACGGGGAATTGTGAATTTTTAAAAATATTAATACTAAAAATGAATAATTATCAGTAATAATTAGGTTAAATAACCTCTAAATATTTTTGAAATAAAAATTAAATTTAACTAAAAAAGTAAAGAGAAAAAAATATTTAAAGAACAAAGAATTTTATATAATAAAAAAAAAGTGAAAAAAAATTGCCTTATTCTAACCGTCAACTGTTTGAATAAATTGAATGACCACACAATGAGTAAATTTATAGGCAAAATAAAAAATAGGTAGGTACTTTTTTGTTTAAATTAATGATTGTCTTTGTGTTAAATATAATAAAAGTATATATATATATATTTATAGCTATTTTGTACTTTTATTTTTTTAAAGAAAAATATTTTTTGTTTTTTTTAAAGTATTTTTAGAGAATGATAAATAAATAAATTTATATTTAGACAAAAATAAAACTAAAAATTGATAAAAAGAAACAAAACTTGGAGATTTCCGATTATTTAGTAAATCTATCCATTTATTCCTTCAATATTTAGATAAAAATTATAAATTTTATAAATTTAGGAATTAATTTTTTTAATTAAAATTATAATTAAAGTTTTATACAAAACTTTGTTTTTTATTGAAAAACGGAATTTTGACGTAAAAAATTTATTTAATTTAATAAATTGAAATATTATTTAACAATAGTAGATACAGTATGAGAAAAACCAAAAATTTTTCCTATAGTCGTCATAAATTTTGCTCCCTAAAAATTAATGGTATACCGGTTTTGACATGCATAATCTCTTAATAACAGAAGTATCGGAAAAATTTTTATGGATATTATAAATAGATTAACTACCCCCTTAATATTTAATTTAAGTACCTTTTCTTCCAGCACCAACAACCTTTTGCACCTTACTGTAAATGGGTATTTTAAGATTTTTTTGGAAAATGAAAGGACAAATTTAAAAGATGATCGAGAATGTCGAGATATTATGAGAGAATTTTCCTTCGCTAGACTCTCTCTAGAAAAAAATCTAAGGTGTTTGCATATTTCCCAACCAAAAGGGAAAGGAAAGAACGGCATCGGCATTAACTACCTTTGGGGGGTGGCCCCATTAACTGCTCGTCGGCCGTTTGTGGCGCCGTCGCCCCCTCAAGCGGTAATGGCTTGGCTTGGTATTTGAGTTCGTTTAAAAATTCCCAAAAAAATTCCTAGGTCAAATATATATTCAACATAACCTCCCCCATCCCCTCACACCCAATTATTTTTAGTACTACCTTCTTTTTTCCTCCTTTTTATATTCCTTTCACTTTTTAAACCTTAATTTCCTCAATCCCACTCATCAACCCAATTTCCTTTTTCTGACACTTTTTCATGCTTGAGGCTCAAATAGTTTTGGACCAAAAAAGTATATAATTAAAAACATAGTACATTATTTGACTGAAATCGAAAATCACGAAAAAAAATACAAAATAATTGCATTTTATGAATAGAAACGAGCGTGAGTGAAGTGCTGTAGAACTGGCCTTTTGCAGTCAGTCAACGGAAGTGAAGGAATTTTTGGACTTAGTCAGTAAAAACTAAAAATACCCAAAAATAACGACCACACACACACAAAATGAGCTACCAGCCAAAAATAAATTTGGGTTGGAGTTAATGCCAAAATGCGTGCAAATTGAATTTTTGTTGCCAGCCAGTCTTTGGACTATCTTTACAAATAAAATTATACTAATTCCGATAGTAGAAGGGGCTAGAAAATACATAAGAGAATTGCGAAGAAAAAATTAATTAAAAGAATAATTTAAATAATTAAAATAAAAAGATCGGGAAAAAATAAGCTTTGATCTATTTAATCTAAAATTTTGTTTATAATAATGTGATCAAGAACTGCTCTTAGAAAAAATCGAAGTTTTTACAAATACAAAATTAAAATTTCTAAGAAAGTTTCAACCTTTTAGCGACTCAGGCTTTTTTTTATATTTTTTCATGCCTTTTTTTTAAAGATATAAAAAAAATAATAAAAAATAATTTCTCTTTATATGTAACTTTCTATCTTGTAAAAAAATCAAGAAAAATGGCAAAATTTCAAATCCTGTTAAGAAATTTGCCGAAGTCGAAGCCGGGGCAAGATTGGACTGGATTTAGAATGGATAAGGATAAGCAGGACTGGATCCAGCCAGATTTTTCTGGATTAATCCTGTCCGGAGACAATCCAAAGATCACGAAAAAACCCTAATTTGGAGATCAGGTCCAGCCGGCCATTAATAATTATTTAACTCAAACAAAAATAGTATAGCGAAATTAATTGGATTATTTTCCATATTGGGATTATTTTACATGTTTATTTATTTCCACAAAAGCATGGAAAGCTTATTCTCGATGTTTTAACTATTATTTTAAAAGAAAATAGAAAATTAAAAGAATAAGAAAGTATATCCCCTCCTCCAAACCTTTCCCTCTTTTCTATGCTTTTTGAAAGGCAAATTTCCTGTACCAAAAACATTATTTTGTTTTGGAAATGTTTTGGTATATATTTTTATTTACATACTATATTATGTATAGTCAATCCAATTAAAAATAAACCAGGAAATCTATTTTTTAAATTTTTCGAAGGAATTATAAAGAATAATAAATTCAATAGGGGGTTTAAAATCTGTTTCGGCTATTTTGCATTTTTCACATTTTTCAGCGCGAAAAGTTTCGCATTTCGCTTTTTATTTTTAGATCGAGATTAGGAAACCCTGAGATTAGGAACTGACGTATAAAACAGAACATATCTGTCTCGCTCGGTTTCGGACGTACTCTAAATTACCTTGATTTGATACAGATTAATTATTAAAAAACTAAATTCTTTTTCAGCTTAAATTAATATTTTTGTAATGATATTCAATTCTTCTTCTGAAGATGAACAAATGTCAAATGATGGACAATCGTATATATTTATTTTTTATTAAAATTTATGAAATATTTTTGGTAAATAATTTAGCATTAGATCACATGTTTTTTCTTTTTGGAAAAATAGATTAAATTTACTTGACCAAAAATTTTAACCTTTTACACACAAATCATTAATTAATTATTAATGTTTTTAAAATTTCTTTTCAAAATTTTAAAATACAAATTAATTAATTATTTAAGATTACCTTCACCTCAAACACCACTTCAACCAAATGAGGATATGGAAGCTTGGAGTGATTCTGGACAGAATCGAGGAATTAATCATGAAGGATCTATTGAATTATCACGTTTTAATTTTGTTTAAAAATTATTTTCTATAATTTTTTTAGCAATTTATGCTGGTACTGATGCTTTTCAAGGAGAGATTTTGTCAATTTCTGATGCAGAGGAAGCTGAACCAGTAATTTTTTGATTTAGACTTTTGATTTAAAAGCAAATTTTAAGAGAAATGATGGGACACCTGGGGGGTCTATGCAATCTTCTTTTTCAATAACTGCTGCGAATAATGAAAATTTGGTTAATTTTTTATCATATTTGGGTATATTTTAGTCATTTTTGAATATTTCCCACAAAAAATACTTTAATTAATCCTGCTTTTTAAAGTTCTCTTAGCAGGCCCGTAACTAGAGGGGAGGTCGGGAAAAAATTTGGGAGGGCCAGTTGAGAAAAATTAGGGGACACAATCATAACTTTTACCTAAATTTAAGCGTAAACAATCTCCTCAACCAGCTATATTCGAACCATTAGAATTTTTTGAAGAAAAGCCTCCACTCGAATTACCTACAAAAACTCGTCTGAAAATTAAAATAAAAAGATTGAAATTAGTCGGTGAATGGCGTTGGATGGATGGAAAGGGTGATAATTGTGGAATTTGTAGAACTTCCTTTGAGACTTGCTGTGTTGATTGTAGATTTCCAGGGGATGATTGCCCATTAGTAAATTTAATATTAAATAAATCATAAAAATAAAATTTTTAAGGCATTGGGTTCATGTACTCATGCTTTTCATATGCATTGTATTGTAAAATGGACAAATACTCAAAATGGACAAAAATCTGTTTGTCCTCTTTGCAGACAAGAATGGAAGTTTGCTAGTTAATTTTTACACAAAAAATCTGTTTTTTTTTTAAATTTTTCTTAGTAAATCAGGAAAGGGTATTTATTTAATATTCTATCCCCTATCTGAGCCGCGGATTACTCTTTCCTCTTTACTGTCAATCATTTCTTCAAGCTCTTATGTAAAAGTAACAAGGGAAAATTTCTAAATGTATGTAAAAATTTTGTATTTTTTTGCACCTTCGTGTAGAGCAGGGAAAAACGAACAAAAATTTATAATTTAAAAACCGATATGCTGAATAGGCGATACATTCCCTAAAAAAATACCGAGGAGAATCCAACTATTTTTTCATTTTAGATTAATCTATATCTCGTTTTTCACTATTAAATTTTTCTAAATGAGAAAAGTCGAGTTGTTGTCACTAAATTCCAATTTTATAAAATAAACCTTTAAATCGCTATACATAAAATTTGTTTATTTATATATATATATCTACTTTTAATTTTATTTCTTTAATTCTTGTGTTAACTCCGGAATTGCTTTGAACAAATCTGCTACAAGGCCGAAGTCGGAAACCTTTTAAGACAAGTTAGGAATTTAATTTTAACTAAATCAAACTTGAAAAATTGGGGCATCTTTGTCCTTGTTAATTGCTACAATTACTTTGCTATCCTTCATTCCCGCTAAATGTTGTATCGCTCCACTAATACCAACAGCAATGTAGAGTTGCTAAAATGTTATTTTATGCATAATTATTATCTTATTTTAATAAAATTTGGCATTAGTGTACTTTACCGGATAATCTTGATTTGCTTTGGCCCAAGATATAGGGCTCGAAATGGTCAAAAATCTTAGTGGGAGTAAGATAATTTCTGGCCTAAAATTAAGTCCTACATATTCTTTACTATTATTCTATACCAAATTAATATCAATTGTCCTCAAAAATTGTGCCATGATCTTTGGATGGTTGAAATTTTAATGAAATTAACCAGAAATATTACAAAAATTGAGGTTTAAACAACGTCCAATTAATATATTTTGTAATAAAACATTACCGGTGCAACGACTTTCCCTGTTTGACCAACTTGCATATCGTTTGGCACAAATCCAGCATCTACAGCAGCTCGACTAGCACCTACAGCCGCACCAAGAACATCAGCCAATTCGTAAAGGATCTTGAAATTATCTCCTGATTTTAGCCCTCTACCTCCAGATACAACAATTTTAGCTCCAGCAAGTTCAGGACGTTCAGATTTACTTAGTTCCTGACCAATAAATTCGCTGAGTTCAGTACTTATTTCTATGTCAGGCACTAGAAAATTAATATTTATTTTAAGCTATAAGTAGGAAGAAAACATTTTTCAATTGTAGCTGATCCACCACTAGAAGGAGAAGCTTCAAACGCTGTTGCCCGGATTGTTATCAATTTTATAGATGCTTTACTTTTAACCTTAAATTAAAATTAGAAATAATAAACTTATATTAGTTTCTTAGATACATGAATAAAATTCTCATAAAATTTATGCGGTCATTTTATTTTTGATTAAAAATATAAAAACCTTCTCAATCGCATTTCCGGCATATGTTGGTCTTGAGAAAGAATCATCACTATGTACTTGTGTTATTTCCGATATTGGAGATACATTTAGAATAGCCGCAGTTCTTGGTATAACACCTCGACTGAAGGTAGAAGCTCCGGCAATAATGTGTGTAAAATTAAATTGTTTTTGGACAGCTGAAAGAATTGTAGAAACTCTTTCAGGTAAATTAGCTGTCAATTTTTCATTTTGAGCGAAAAAGACACGCTAAAATAATTTTTATTGTATTTAATAAAATTTTAAAAAACTTTTATATCAGATATTTTTGCTGATTCTTTTGCAATTTCTTCAGAATTTTTTCCTGTTACAAGCATGGAAATTTCATGACCAATTTTTTTTGCTGCAGTGACTGCATTTAATGTTAAAGGATTTAACTTTTGATCATTATGCTCAGCTAAAACAAGAGTACTTGCCAAACGAAACTAATAAATGAAAGGAAAAATGAGAATTAGTTTTTTAATCACTTACACTATTCCTATAAAGTTGAACGTTCTTTAAAGGAAGAATATTCAGATACATGTCAAACTAAAAAATACTGAAAAATCTGAAAATTATAAATACAGTGAGGTGCAAAAGTTTGGAACATTTTGTTGTAAATTAGTTAATCAATAGTTTTTCGCTCGTTTCTCAGTGAATGGTCTGGATTAAATTTTTTTAAATTAACTTTAAGTGTCCTCTATAAATTGATGATAAAAGTTTTTGAATATCTTAGATATACCTTATCTCACTATGAAATTTTTTCTGAAAAATTATATTAATGCCACTTATAGCAAATTTCAAGGGCTTTAAGATAAGCCCAAAATGAAAATTCAAAACTATCTATAAGGGGTCGAAAATATTTTTTTAATATGAAAAACTCCGATTTACGTTGATTTTCAGGGTAGAGAGATCTCGATACGGAAATGAGATATGGGCTTAGTTCTTTTTTATTTTCCCTTATTACCGATCTATGTGCCTGCTCGAATTTTTATAAATTTTTTTTGTTTTGATTTTGGCATCAAAATAAAGTGAAATCAAAAATGTTCCAAACTTTTGCACCACATATTTTTGGGTATAAAATGTAACCAGGGCAAAATATAAAAATTTGTCAAGATAATCAGATACATTTGGTGTCATTTTATAGAGAACACTTGTAGTTAATTTTCAAAAATTTAATCTAGCCCATTCATTAAAAATTTAAAGAAAAATTATCGATTTACTAAAATAAAGCAAAATGTTCCAAACTTTTGCACCTTACTGTAAATAAATAACAAAAAAAAGAGTTTTGCTGGCTACATGCCTGGGCAAAATCGCATTCCCGTGAACCTGGGATGGATTTTTTTTCAAAATTATGAACGGGGATCCCGCGGGATAAATCCCGTAAATCCCGTTCGCGCCTAAACCCCGGGATCCCAAAAATCCCGTACAGGATCCCGTTCTGTGCCGTACTCTTTTTTGCCAATTGTCAAATGGCGAGACTCAAACGGTCTGGTAGGGGCTCAATGGTCACGTTCCGTTTAAATTCTGGTTCAAACGATTTTTAGTAGTTTTCGGCAACAATGTGTTTTTTCCGGTAACAGATGCCTAGTTGGCGAGTTCTGATTTGCAAGTTATGGGCAGCCATAGAAACCGGAAAAATTCAGCCGTATTCTTCCGGCATTTTGACTTTATTGTAAAGATTTAATTTTTTATTTTATTATAGATAATCCAAACTTAATTATTTCTAATTATTTAAATCACATGGCCTTGAAAGAACTTCCGAAAGAAATTGTATTTAATTTAACCAATTTCAACAATATTCTTTTTTTTTTTTCAGGGCAATTACTATGTTTTACATGAAATTGGCCATGGCGGATTTGGAACTGTTTACCTTTGCAAGGATAAAACTCTTGGTGATTTATGTGCCATCAAAAAAATTAAGGTAAAAAATAACACTATCTGAATTAAGTAGATGACTTTCCTATTTTTTCCGGATGTACCTTAGCCGGTGGCCGATTTATATTCAATTTATATGTCGTTCGACTCGGCGAGCTGAGTCGAACGGTACCACTCCACCACCGGAAATACCTTCGGCCCGACATATAGGCTTAGAAAAATTGAAAACCATAGCGGGGAATAAGTTGATTTTTTGCGTGAAAAATTTGAATACGCAAATAATAGCTCACTTGACTGACTTTCTAGATTATTTCTGGGTTTGTACTTTATTTTTCCATTCAGGCCGTTTTTTAACAAAAAGAATGAAAAATATTTAAGCCATCTATATTAAAATATTGAGGAACTCTTCATTAATTTTTTAATTTATAATTTTTTTTCTACACCTTTTTTAGGAAAAGTCAAGGATTGATCCAAAAACAGAAATTGCAATACATACAAGGCTAATGCACAAACGAGGCAGATCTGTAGTTAAAATCATTGAACATTTTGAACTTGGAGGATTTGTTTATATAGTTATGGAATATTGCAAAGATGGGAGTTTGCGAGATTATGTAAAGAAAAACGGGCCAATGGGAGTTCTTTTAGGTTTTTATTTTTCATATTTTTAATATTTTCTAATTTCAAGCAACTGATATTCTTATACAATTATGTGAGACATTGAAATTAATTCATGATGAGGATATCGCACATAGAGACTTGACACCAAGTAATGTTTTAATTTGGGAAATTAAAAGAGGAAGAGATGGCGATGTTAAACGAATTCGTGTGGTAATTCTTATTTTGAAAAAATTCAATAAATTATTTTTTAGAAAGTTACTGATTTTGGATTATCTAAAGAAACACCAAATAACAAACAAGGACTTTTTAAGACAACACTTGGAACTGAACCGTTTATGGCTCCGTTAGTTTATTAATTTAAAGATTTTCATTCAAGAAAAATTTTTAGTGAAGTTCATGCTGGGAAATATACAAAAGCTGCAGATGTTTTTGCACTTGGCTCAATATTTTATTTTCTTTTAACAGGAAGTTATTTAACTGATAGATTCAATTCTGATAAACGTTTGAAACTTTCAAATGCTTTGGATGGTCTTATAAAAAGGAATTCGATAGCGAAATTCGATTCAAATATTCAGAATAATTTGAAATCATTTATGCATGCAATGCTTTGCGACGAAAAATCTAGAATTCGTTTAGACGGTAATATATTATATTTAAGTAGTGGCGACGATGAAATATTTGGGATTTGAGCTTAGGCGCATGTTAGAAAAAACGTGTGTGAAAATATGAAGAATAATTAAATAAAACAATTTTCGAGTTTTTTCTTATATTAATGCTTAAAATTTTATTTTTTTAAGAAATTAGACAAGATAAATTTATGGAATGGTTTTATGATGAACGTTATGAAATTGATCCAGAATTAAGAGAATTTTGTTCACACTCACAAAATGGGCATTTGAGAAGTAGAAGTCAAAGTAGAGAGTCTGAAAGAAAACCGTTAAAACAAATTAACAGACAAGATGTACAAAAAAGATCAAACAGAGATTCAGCATTTGGAAGTGACGTATGATGAATGAAATTTTGATGGGGAAAATTACAAGCTTTTAATTTAAAAGTTTTAACGTATAGGCAAATTTATTAGGTTAAGGAAATATTTGGATTAAGTTCTATTCTGTTTAGAGACTTTATTTAAGGTCAAGTAAATTTACTCCTATTTTATATTTTTATTTCAAAATTATAATAATTTAAATTTTATTTATAAATTTAAAGCAAAGTAATAGTGGAAGTGGTCGTTGTCGTCATCCAAAAGTCGATGAAAATACTGGCCGTTGCTTAACATGCCCCTTTAAGTTGGTTATATTAACATTTTAAATATTTAAATTTTATTTTTAGAACCAATAAATCACATTTGAGTGAGCCACCAAAGGTATTAAAAAGGAAAAATATTTAAACATAAAATTTTATTTGAGAGAAATATTTTTCCTGGCGATTCCAATAACATCATCAGAAATATACAATCGAATCCGACACGTCCGCAACATGCCAGTACATCAAAAGATAAACGATTCGAACCAGATCTTCCAGCTACTAGTTCAAATGAAGCAACAATTTATGATTTAAAACAGGCACCATGGCCACTACCAACAATCATTTATACTTACACAGCTGTACATCAATCAGGAAGAGTATATTTTATATAAAATATTTTTCTTTAGAATTCTTTTTAGTGCATTTTTTATAAATATTCACATGTAAGAGGACAATTACCATTAGTTGCTGTACTAGAAAAGACATCGCCTAAAGATGATCAAACAATTTGCAAAATTTTTGAATTAAGACAAAATGAAAGGGAACAAGAAGTAAATGCATTTTATATGATTTAATAACTCAATTTATAACTTTAACTCAGTTACGAATATTACAACCAGAAGGGAAAAATGTAAGAAAACCTGAACGTAATGGGGAAAGAATTACAGATGCACGAGAATTGGTCCGTCTTAAAAGGTTATTTTAATTCAGGTTATTAAGATAACTTTCTATTTAATAGTCTTGCTGAATTTCGAGATTGTAAAATGGCAAAAGATGGATATGAAACACTGTGGGGGTTTCTAAAAATGGCTGCAAGTAAAATTGTTCAGGCATATTGCGAAGAAATCATAGGTCACCACAAATATAGAATAGAACTTTCTTTGAATGGATGGGCCAACCTCTATATAGGACCTAGTGGTGCTAAAGGTATTTTTTAGGATTTAAATTCCATTACGCTCTAAATCCCTACTATAAAGGAAAATGGGAGTTTTTAAGTTTTTTAAAACATTTGATTTTGGCCATAATAATTGAACGAATTAAAGAAAAAATAGTGTTTATGTTATCGGTCAAATTTTCCCTTATTCTTTTCTCTTCTAAATATTTGAGATGTTTAAGATTGAAAAATTTTCAAGACCAAGACTTGACCCAAGACTTTAGACTATCATTACAAGACTCAAGACAATTTTTGGTCCCATGGGGCAAAATTTTGGTTTATTTTTCGTTCCTAGACTGAGTTTTTTTTCGTGCCTCAGATAATGGAAAGGTGCCAAAAATAAACTGACTTTATAATAAGATCCGTTTTAGATATTAATGATTTGAAACATTCTGGAAGGCAAAAAACACATAATGGACAATTTGAACGAGTTCAAACTGGAGCTACTTTAAATGAAAGTAAAATAGGAAACACACAATTTATAAACGATTTTATATACTATATTTTTCAGAAGAAAAATCGCTAGCTATCGAATTGGCGAAGGCATTAAGAACTCATGTAAAGGAATCGGTTTGGAAAAAACAATTTGACAGAAGAAATATTAGATGCACAATTTACACACACGGGTGGTTTAGATGAATATCCCAGGATTTATTTAGATTTTTCCCGAAGCCAAATTCCACATTTAATTTGTTGTACACTTTGATCTTTCAAGCAATAATATACTTAGTATGTCATATAAAAATTTTCTTATGCGAGATGGGAATTTTTGAAATTTGCAAAATACGCAGTGGTAGAAAGCTTTACTGAAGAATTTGTAGTTGCCAGTTGTTTTGAATCGTCGGAAACTTAACTATCGAATTACCTATATATTTTTAAGAAATTGACACGATTATGTTTTTCGAAGTAAAATTTAGAGAAATTGATTTAAATGATTTAAACTTGAATGTATTACAATTTAAAAGTACAACTTGAAAAGTATTACGAGAGGTTAATGCATAAATAGAGCCGAAGAGGGAGTTTGTACCTCCAAACAGATCATTTTGAAATAAATTAAAGTCATCGTTGAAAGTCAACTCTCACCAACCATCCTCAAACAGGCTGTGTCTTTGGAACTGCGGTTGATGGCTGCTGTGCACCCTTCTAGAATTTAATAATATATGAATGAATAATCTGGCAATTTACCTTGTTCATGAGGTAGCGATGAATGTGCGGAATAACTCCCCCACCAGCAATGGTTGCTTTGATAAGCGAATCAAGCTTAAAAAGAAACGAGTAATAAAAATTAAAATAAACATGCAAAAATCGAAAAGGGTTTGAATAAGAATAATAACAGATCTACCCTACAATAGTGGATTTTATAGATTTTCATGTAGCTTGGCAAGACTGGGTTGTCCACCAATAATGATTGAATGCCAAAAACAAACTAGTAATAGAGAAATAGTGAAATTCATAGAATAAACCAGGATAAAATCTAATTTAGTTTATAAATATATACCTCCTCATCACCTCGAATTGCAAGGTGAAGATGTCTAGGCGTAACGCGCTTCACTTTAAGATCTTTAGATGCATTTCCAGCCAACTCAAGAACTTCAGCTGTTAAATATTCCAGTATAGCGGCACTATATACAGCAGCAGTAGCGCCAACACGCCCAGTGCTTGTTGTTCTTTTCTTAAGGAAACGATGAATACGGCCAACAGGAAACTGCAAGCCAGCTCTAGCACTCCTCGAAATAACTTTCTGAAAATTTTTTGTAAAACGACGACAGATTTGCTGTTTCGGTAATCCCTAGGATCATTGGTCCCGAGAAAAATGCTCTTCCGATATTTTTGAGGCCTGCGTGTAGGCAATTAAGTGTGCTGAGTCCGAAGCTGAGCTTGTAATTCGCTTATTTAGAATCCCGGACCCGAATTCGACAAAGCCGAATTCGGGGTAAAAATCGAAATTAAAATTTAAGGGTCAATCGCAGGCCTCAAAAAGACGGAAGAGCATTTTTTGCTCCAATGATCTTAAGGATTACCGGATTAACGATGTCTATTTTATTGATCCATAAAAAGACTCATAACTACTTCAGAAAAATGCTAGTCTAATTTCATGGATCAGAAGAAAAAAAAACATTTTATTAAACATACCTTAGATTTTGCTTTTCCACTATCTTTTCCTGCTTTTCCTTTTCCTCCAGGCATTTTGCTAATTAATAACAAAGAATCTGTCTAAAAAGTTTAAAATAATTAATTTTAAATAATTTTAAAATCTAAAGTTTAAAATAAGATAGTAAAAGTATTATGTAATTAAAATTTTTTGAAGAAATTTAAAAAAAAAAACTAATACCCACAACACTACATACTACATAATATGCACTGGAAAATAAAACACACGCCAAAAGATAATTTTGTAAAGAACAAACACAGCGGGTCTACAACGTTTACGCACGCGCGAAAATTACCTGCTTACTATTTCCTCTTTTTTCTTTCTCTAAAAGAACTCTCTTACGGAGGGGGTTGAAAAATAGCGTTTTACTTTAAGAGAGAAATTGCGGACTGGGACAATTCCGTGCCAAACCAGTTCCGTGCCGGCCGATTTCGAGCCCGGGCACAGCTAAGTAGGCGCGCGGCCAAGTAGGCGCAAAGCCATAACTTGCTTCAAGATTTCGGAATCTTAACAATTTTAGTATTAAACGATTTCTCTCAACGAGCTAAAGAGATTGATATTGATAAGGATCAGAAATTTTCAAGGTAATTATGGCTTTGCGCAAACGCGGCCGCGCGCCTACCTGGGCGTGTCCCTTCGAGCCCGCTGTAAAACGGACGTTTCTGTGCCAATTTTATTTTTTCTAACTTTTTCTTTTTAAAGTTCAATTGGGTCCCCATGATTGAATCCCCTTGTATTTTTGCAAACCGATAATTTTATCAAAAATCTAATAAATTTTTAAAAAATCATGCGTTCCAAATATCCTCAAAAAGTTTGTAAGAATACCGATAATCACGGAAAGAAGGCAGCTAAAATTTAACAAAAATTTCTATGAACATAACTATAAACAAGTAGAAAAAACTCAAAACGAAAAAATAAGGCCGTTTATGTGGGGTACAGCCCAAGTAGGCGCGGGCCAAGTAGGCGCGACCGAGTAGGCGCAGGCCAAGTAGGCGCAAGGCCAAGTAGGCGCACGGCCCAAGTAGGCGCAAGGGTAAATTTCTTAATTTTTACCCAAAATTTTTTTTATTAATCTTCAACTAATTTTGTTAATTAGTTGGCTGAATAATCAAGCAACTTTATGTGGACACTGGACTTTTTCTAAAACTGCCCTTCTTAGGGAAAAAATTTATTAAGTGAAGCTCGTTGATGTTTTTATTTTTTGATAAAATTTAAAAAAATTCTTTTAATATTTTTCTCATAAAAGCTCCATACTTAGCTGCTGATAAGTTTTGGATTATTTGCTAAGTTTGTTAATTAGTGAGAGCCATGCTGCTTTGATAATTCCTGTGGCTTACCAATGTTATGAATACTCTAACTAGTTCAACTAGTTTAAGGGGGACTAACTAGTTAGCCTTTAGGAACTAACCAGTTTAAGGGAACATGAAGTATATACAAAGGTACAATTAACAATCAAGATACGACTATCAAGGCGTTTCACAAAAAAGTCCAGCTACAGTTAGGAGTCTTTTGATGATTAAAAGCTTTTAATGGATTAAAAAATAAATATACACTTTTGAACTGCCTAGTTAATGCATACAGTACGAACATATACTAACAGGGTATCGATATTTAAGGTGTCTTTCTTCTAAAATAGGTACCTTTCTTCTAATTTTTATCAAGAATCTTTCTTCTAACTCATTAACATAAAAATATTTATACTGACTTATTTTTTAATTTGAATATTTTAAGCTAAAAGATTTGCGCCTACTTGGGCCGTGCGCCTACTTGGCCTTGCGCCTACTTGGCCTGCGCCTACTCGGTCGCGCCTACTCGGTCGCGCCTACTTGGCCCGCGCCTACTCGGGCGTGTCCCGTTTATGTGGTCATCGATTATTTCTAACAGTTATCGATTATTATATCTCAATCAGATTCTACCTGATTTTTCTTTAAATTTTCATTATTTTTTGTATTTTAGTTTATTTTATCGATATGAATGGTCAGCCAGCTTATCGTAACATAAGTCAGAATGTTGATTTGAATCATGATGCTCTTGGCGGGTTAGATGATATATTTCTGAACTTAGATACATTTTTTATCTTTCAGTGATTCTTTGGAACGATTGATGATGAAAGATGCTTTAAGAGCTGTTAAGGACAATCAATACGATTTCGATGCTTGGACAAGGCTTTTAAAGATAGTGGAGAAAGTCGTATGTTTTGGATTTTATTATTTTTATACATCTAATATTTGCTTTTTAGAATGATGAGAAGGCATCTCGCGATGCTTATGATGGATTTCTTCGACGCTACCCGTACTGTTATGGTTATTGGAAGAAATATGCCGATTTTGAGCGCAACAACAAACATTATGAAAAATGCTTGACGGTAAAGTTTTGTGCGCTTATTGACTAATTACTATATTGCTCTTTTCAGGTATATGAACGTGGACTCGAAGCAATTCCATTGAGCGTCGATCTTTGGCTTTCATATATTGCTTACGTGAAGGAGATAGCTCAAGGACAAAGGCAAGCTACTGCAAAGATTAGAGAGTAAGTATTTAGATTTTTAATCTCAAAATTTGCTTTCCTAAAATAAGAATGTTTTTCTCAAATAGCACTTTCAGAGATGAAGCACTTGCTCATTTTTCATCTTTCGTGAAATTTTGCCTCCCGAAGGGCGGGTTTGGAATGAAAGAATAATAGAAAATTTTGAAAACACGATAATTTGATAATTTCCCCAGCGATCTCGGGCTTTATACATTTCTTTTATTGTAAATAGTGATTATTTATAGTGAGTATTTTAGTCCCAGAATAAATTCCTTTTTTTGTTTTTAATATAAGGAATTGAAAGATTGTGTGGTGTTTACTTGTTAGCGTGATTTTTCCTTTAAATTTGAGAATTTTACTTAACATTCGGCGTCATTTTTGTTTCTGATGCTTTTCTGATGTTTATTTATTTTAAAAATCACTTTACAAACGAAGAGACGATGTAAAACAAGAAAAGAAATTTAAGTGATTTTAGAAAGATTTATATTATTCAGAAGAGATTGATATAAGTAGCAAACTTCATTCTTTATTTTATATTTATGTTTTCCTAATTTAAAATTTTTCAACATTATTTTTAGCGTATATACACGGGCGTTGGAGGCTTGCGGTTTGGAATTTCGTTCAGATAAGCTGTGGGTTGAGTTTATCGATTGGGAGATTAGCAATGGTGAATTCGACAAGGCGATGATTCTTTTTGATGTTCTTATTTCAACTCCTATAGCTTTGTTTGCGAGTCACTTTGAAAAGTTTAACAATATTTTAATTAATTTTTATATTAGCGTTTAGATTCAAACAGTTTGTAAATAGTCAAGAGCCTGACAGAATACTTACTTCGGAAGAGTACAATGCCATTACTGATCTGATTTATCCAAAAATCAAGGACTCTTTAGATGGAGAACCACTCTTTTTTATGGAAGAATATGAAGATGATAGTATTCCAATGGATGGAGAAAACATTGAAGAAGTTCAGCCGAAGACTGTGAGACGCAGGAAGGTTATTATATTTTAAATTGATCCTCAAACTTATAAATTTAGCACAATGAGCATGCTTTAAAAGCTTTCCGTGAGGAGATTATAAATCGTAAACACCAGTTATATTTGGAGAATGAACGGGAGGTCAGTATTCGTTGGGTCTATGAAAATGCTGTATGTTTAATTTTTTATTTTTAAATATAAGTACTTTCAGATAAAAAGACCGTATTTCCATGTTAAACCATTGGAGCGTGATCAATTGCGTAATTGGTATTCTTATTTAGATTTTGAAATTAGAACAGGCAAAAAGACTCGCATTTCATTTCTTTTTGAACGTTGTATGATTGCTTGTGCAAATTATGAAGAGATGTGGATTAAGGTGGCTTGTTAACTAAACATTTTACAAATTAATATTTAGTATGCTAACTACTTGGAGCAGCTAGACGATTTGGCATCAGCTCGTGCCATTTATAAACGGGCAACTGGTTTAATTTATTAAAAATTTTTTTACAAGAATTTTAAGGAATTCATTGCCCTAGAAAACCTGGAATCCATTTGGCATATAGCGCTTTTGAAGAAAAGTTGGGTGATATTGAAACTTCTGAAGCTATATTGACGGTGAATTTAACTTTCTAATTCGGGGGGGGGGGGGGGGGGATATTTAGTGTTAGAATATTAAATTTTCTTTCACAACTACAGGAATTTGATCGGCGTCATCCTGATTACATTTCAATACATCTACGACTCATTTCAATTGAACGCCGTAAAGCCAACAAAAACGGGTATTTATGTTTTTCTTGTGTAATTGTAACTTTCGAAGTATCCAATCGATTGTTCATATTTTCCCCATTATCTATAGTATATTTTCTAATTAATAACATTTTTAAAGAAATCCTGATTATTCATCATTGGTTGCTAAATATGAGCGTCTGATTCAAGATTCTCCTTCGAAAAAAGTTGCTTCATTTTGGGCATTAAAATTGGCGCGTTTTCATACCAGATTTCGTCATGATAGAAAGTTGGCTAAAAAAGTCTTGAAGGAAGCTATTTCTAAAGATAAGGTATTTAAGCTCGAAATACATTTTCAATATGATGTAATTGTAAGATGCAAAGAAAACAAGGAAGGGCAAAATTATTGAAAAATAAGTATTAGTACTAATTAATTTTAAGCACTTTGCATATTATTTTTCCGTGACTCCTGTACTTAATATTTTACATTTTATTAATTTTGTATTCCGAATATTTTTTTATTTATACATTTTATTTTTTAAAATTCTAGGATAATGTGCAGCTTTATCTACAACTTGTGGATCTTGCTTACAGTTCATCTCATTCTAGAGACAGTGAAATAATAGCAGCATTTGATACGGCTGTTGACAGTAAGGATCTTGGTTTAGAAGAACGTTATCAATTTTCACTTCGAAAAATGGAATTTTTAGAGGAAATGAGTGGCGATATTTCTCGGTATTAATAATTTTTTCCTCTTTAATTTTTGAAAATTACAGGTTACATCAACACATTGAAAAACATTTAGCATTGGAGAAAACATTTGATACGCCTCCTCAAATGACAATCTTTCACGGAAAACGAGTTCCTTTGTTTAAAGAGTAATTCCAAATTTGGTTATTGTAAAATAAATTATTAAATTTAGAACTTTACCTCAACATTTGGTTGATCAAAAACATTTGAAAGAGGAAGAACCACCAGAGAAACGTCCAAAAACTGAAATAATGGATTAGAATGAGAAAAGTTCTTTTTTAACCAAAAATTTTTTCCATTTTAGCTTTGCTATCATCTTTTTGTTATCTATTTCTTAATCATTTAAAATATATTTCTTGATTTTGGTATTTGGAAAAATTATTTTAATAAAGTTCAATGTTACAATCTTAGAAACATTTTTGCATATTAAGAAATAGAGTGTTTGTTTGAGTGAGCCCCCAAATAGGAAAAAAACCCAAATCAAGAAAATATGGAAATTTCGACAGTTGAAACCACCATCCTGATTAATGTTGATATTTGTTGGCTATAATAAATTTTCTCTTTAATTATTCAGACTACATATATGTATAATTACGTATTACTCGTTAATTAATACATAAATAATTTAAAATTTTTATTAACTATATTTTAATTCAGTTATGGCAGAAATTGATGGTTATTTTAGGTCAGGAACGGGTTTGACTTGTTTAGCTTGCAGATTGGTTTTTGCAGATGCTATAATTCAGAAACAACATTATACAAGTGATTGGCATAGATATAATCTTAAAAGACATGTGAGTTTTGATGGTTTCTAGTTATGGTTACTGGAGGATATTTTAAAATCTTTTGAAAAATCTGAAAAAAATATTCTTACAAATATTACCAATCAATTCTATAAAATAAAAATTTTAAACTTCAGGTCGCAAATCTTGCTCCGATTAGTGAAACTACATTTTTGGAGAAATCACTTCAAGTTGCTCAGGTTTTGATTTATACTATAAAATTAAAATAATAAACGTTTTAAGGATTGTGAAAAGTTTAAATCTTCTCATAAAGAGATTTTTTGTTCTCATTGCCACAAAAAATTTCAATCTTCAAAAGCACTTGAAAATCATTTTAATTCAAAAAAACATAAAGAAAATATTCTAAAGTCTGACAACAATGTTATTGACAAAAAAGAGCCTATGGAATATGAAGTTTCTCACAAAATCATTGAAGAAAATAAAAATTTACAAAAAGAAGAAGATCTTAATGAAAATAATGTTAATATTTTAAATATTTTTTATTTATTTTTTAAACTTTTAGGGAATTCCAATTGGCGATTGTTTATTTTGTTCTTCATCCTTAAATGACTTTGATTCATGTATGCAACATATGTCAAAGGAGCATGGATTTCTAATTCCTGATTTTGATTATTGTTCGGATATCTTGGGATTAATTAAATATCTCGGTAATTCGTTAAAAATTTTAATTTTTTTAAAATAAAATTAGGTTTAAAAATCGGCGCTGGAAAAACTTGTATCCGCTGTAACAGCTATCGTTTCCGAGATCTAGATGCAGTTCAGAAGCATATGCGTGACAAAAATCATTGCAATTTTCGAATTGATGATACAGAGGTGGTTGAATTTGTGGATTTTTATGATTATAGTATTGAAGAAAGTGATGATATGTCAACGCTGGTTAATGTTATGAAGGAAGTTTTTGAGAGTTGTTCAGCTGATGATGATGCTTCTTTTATTACTATTCCAACTGGTAATTTTTTGAAATAAAAATATTTAACTAAAAATTAAATTTGAGGTTCGTCTATTGGCCACAGGTCTTTAATGCGCTATTTCAAACAATCTTTGAGGCCGAATAATGTTGGAATCAAAACTTCAACAAATCGAGCTCATGCCAATTTTTCATTAAAACAAATCGGTTTAAATCAACCAACAAGTTTGTTTATATGTATATTTAGATGAAGGAGATTGAGGGTGGGTAGCAAATATTTAGGCATTAAAAATCCTCCTACATCTATCACTTACTTCCTCCAAATCCTCTTACACCTTTTAATCCAGATCTCTCCATATCCCCTATATCTTCCTTAATCATTGTTCAATCGATATCCTTCAAATCCATCGATATCCTTCTTAATCCTTCTTGTAACCCGATATCCTTCAAATCTCCTGACTTTTAAATACCAGTACTTTTCGGTACTATTAATGGTATTGGAAAAATCCATTTGCCTACCACTATTTATTCTATTAATTAAGGCCTATTGGCAGTTAAATTAGCAAAGGATACTAATCGAATTAATAATCGAGTGGTTCAGAAATATCAACTTAAAAAAGGATTGGCAAACAACAGAATATTTGTTTCAGCTGGACGTAAAGACCAAATGTGATTAGTTGACAAATATTTTTGTGGGATATATCTTATTTTCGTCTTGAAATTGTTGAGTGAATTTTGATATTATATTTTGTAATAAAAAATCATAAAAATGTGTCTCAATACAATAAAACTGTAGCTAAAAGTCTTGAATCGTTTCAGGAGCTTTCGGAGAAAGAGAGGGTAGAAGTATAGTTTGTGTTTCTCTTTTATGTATGTTTGAGAATTATTAAATTTTATTTTCTACTATTAGTTTGACCATTTTGAACCTTTTTAAGGTGCTTTTTAAGGTGCTTTTAAGGTGCTTAATTTTGTTATAATAAAGAATTCCCCATTTGCCCATAATGAAGAAATTTTAAGTAATTTTAGGAAAAATTAAGGGGAATTTAGTATTTTCTTTAAAAAAATCAACCATTTGCCGATCGTTGACTCTACATGCATATATGTATTATAAAGTATTTTTTAGTGTTACTTTTCAGTGCTTTAGAATAGAATAGCTAAATGAAAATTCGAGAGAATCATCACCTCTAAGAATTTAGCAGACATATTAAATTAATTTATGTATATATGACGGGATCATCAAAATATTGGGGCGAAGAAGAATATCCTGATGCAATTTATTCTGTTTATTTAAAAAAAGTTCGTTATGTTTCTCCAATTAATGATGAAGGAAATTCGGTATAAATTTATTTTCTCTATAATCTTAAATTATTTTTACACAACAGTTTAATGACAAAGATTCAACACAAGATCATTTACAGTGGGAGACGATACGGGAAAAGGTTGTAAAGGCTGGAAGTTTAAAAAGAATTGTTGTAAGTTTTTTATAAATATATTTTTTTAATATTTAACTAATTATTTTGCAGGAATCTTTGCTTGATTCTGAAGGGAAATTGGATTCAAGACAGGTTAGTAAAATTTTATCGTGAATAATTGTAAAAGATTATCATTAAAATAATTTTTAGAATATTTTACCTCTTAAATTAAATTACAAAATATTTTTAGTTCAATATTTTCTTTACAACATACCGATCTTTTGCAAAAACTGAAGAAGTGTTAGATTTAATTATTGAATGGTATTCCTGCCTTTCAAATGAATTATTGTTAGATTCTTCTAAAAAATCAACAGAACGGTTAAAAATGATGAAAAGGTTTTTTTTTATTTTTTTTCTAAATAATTTCTTAAAATTTAGTACATTAAAATCAATTCTTGTTTGTTGGTTAGATATGTATTCAGATGATTTTTATGTTATTAATTTCAAAAATTCTTTGGAGAAAGATAAAAATGAATTTATTCTAATTGAGAAAATTATATTATTTAGTAAATCAAATGGATTAAATGATATAAAAAGTAAAGCAAGAAAATTGAGAGAATATTTTAAAAATGTTTTGGGAGAAGTCGGACTTTGTGGTAAATTTAATAAATAAATTTTTTATAAATTATTTGGCACTATTTGAATATTTTCCTTCCTTGTAGAAATAAAATAAGTTACTTCATTTACTTGGTCAGGAGGGAAAAAGAAAGAGCGTTCTGTCCTATGATTTAGGTTTTTATTAAATTCGTTATTTTATTTTCTGTTAGGTTATTTGAAGCCCCAACTAGCTATAAAGCAAAGTTACTAAACTAACAATCCATTTAATTTTTTAAGCATGTAAATTAATTTATTTTATCAAAAAGGAAGGAAAAAAATTTTTAAAAAATATTTCGAATATTGCCAATTATTTTTCAGCACAAATTCCTTCAATTGCTCGTGTTAGTTTTTCTTTAACTGGCCACGAACCTCCAATAACTATTTCTTCACCAATTTCTTCAAATAATTTTAAATCTAAAAATATTTTCGACGAAAAAGAACATTTTCGTTATGCTAAAGCCCTTGCTGAAAGTCAATCTAGAGCACAAATGTTTGATGTTGCTTGTGATAATTCTTTACAAATTGCTGAGCAATTAACATTTTGGGATGCTTTACTTTTTAAACAATTAAAGATTTATCAATGTTTGGTAAAAAATAATTTTTTTAATTAAAAATAATTTTTTTTAATTTAAAGGGATCAATTTGGGGAAAACGACATAAATTAAATTCTGATTATGTATATAGTGTTCGGGCAACTATTGACCAATTTAATTCTCTTTGTCAAAGAGTAATGACTAGCATTGTTTTGCCTGATTGTAAAATAGAATTTAGAGCACAAATAATTGAAAAATGGATTAATATTGCTAAAGTATTTTTTAAAAATAATTTTAAAAAAAAATATTTATTTTTTAGGAATTACATTCTTTAAATAATTTATCATCGCTCAAAGCTGTTCTTTCAAGTTTGCAATCACAGCCAGTATTTCGACTTAAAAATGTTTGGTCATTAGTTTCAAAGTAAAAGGCTTTTTTAATTTATAAATAATTTTAGAAAAATTTAAAATTATTTTTTTAGAAATTCCTTATCTCAATTAAATGAATTATCATCAATTTTTGAGTCAAATATTGAGGAGGAAGATTTTTCAGAATATCAAAATGATAATTCTTTATTAGATAATTTAACACCAAAAAAGCCCCCTAGACGAACAAAAAGCGATTTAAATATGTCTTTTGAAACAACACAAGGAATTTGCCCCTATTTGGGTACTTTTTTGACAGAACTTGCAATGATAGACCAGGTTATTTTTAAATCTATTAATTAATGTTTGTCTAATTTTCTAGGCTCATCCTGACAAAACAGATAATGGACTTATAAATTTTGAGAAACACAGATTTGAATTCGAAGTTTTGGCAAAATTGAGACTTTACCAATCAGCTGCTAGAGCTTATTCATTTTCTATGGATCAAGCATTTTGTGTTTGGTTTCATTTTTTGCCTGCTTTAGACGAAAAAGAATGGTAAAAAATAATTTATTTAATTAAATTAGTTTAGTTATTTTCCGTTATCTGATCTCATTTTCCTTTTCTCCCTTCCTCTATTTTTTGAGTATAAATGTTGTCTTCCTCACGTCAGCTCGATAAGCTCTTTCGAATGAGTTGTCATTTGTACCTAACCAGGAAAAGAACTGAGAAAAGGAAAATAGTGTCGGATAACTGAAAATTACACTGATTTTTTTCAAAAATTATGTAGTTGTCTTTACACAATTTAATTTTTTGAAAAAACTTTTTAGTTTTGTTCGTTCACTCGACATTGAGCCTTATACAAATGAACAACAAATGACACCAGAAACTGCAAGGAGGAAAACTCGCGACGCTTTTATTCCGGGGAAGATTAATTCTTTGAGTAAAATATTTTCTGGTTTAAATTCTTCTCCTAAGGAATTAAGTTTTCCTCTTGGAAATTCTTCATTTATTGAACAACGACAAAAAATGAAAACTTTGGGTAAATTAATTAATTAAATATATTTTTTTAATTAAATATTTTATAGAAAAATATAATTATTCAAATGAAAGTAATTATCCCCCTTCTGGTAAATTATTAGAAAAACCTCCAAAAAGTCAATTAAGAAGTCGAAGTCAAGGTTCAAAGAAAGATTGTAGATATAAAACAAAAGAAAATAATATTAATGGTTATTTAACACAAAAATTATCTGAGAAAAGAAACGAGGAAAATGAATTTAGAGAGGAAAGATTTTCAAGTAAAATTTAAAAAATTTAAAAGAATATTTTCTTTTAAAGGTTCTTGTTCAAAAGAAATTATGTTAGGGAAAGAAATTGCTCCGAATTTTGTGGTTGGTTTTTTTAAATTTTAGTGGATTGACTCGAAAATTCCATTAAATATATTTTTAATTGTAAATTCTCTTTTAAATTTCATAATTAAAAACAAATTTAAATATATTTTTCAAAGGCTCACAAAAAATCCCCTTCAATGTTACCTTCAACTTCTACCTCTTTTGCATCCTCTTCTCTTTGTACTCCAAGCCCAATTTCAACAGAGCCTACTACAAGTAGTAGTAATGGAAAATTTAATAGATTTCCTACGACAAATCAAAATATTATAAAAGAAGAAAATGATTATTTAAAAGAAGTTTTGGAACGAAAAAAACATTTTCAGGTTTTTATTAAAATTAATTTTTGGGGGGAGGAGGAGGGAGGTAGGGATTAATTTTTTAAATTTCGGTTAAATATGTGTGGAACTAAAAAATAAAAAAATATATTTATTTCAAGAAAACAATTTTTCTTCTCGATTTTTCCAATTTAATTAAAAGAAAAAACAAATTAATTAATTTAAGAAATCTACAACAAGTTCTTCTTCTTCTCGTTCATCATTAGGAATGTTAATTCAACAACAACAAAATAATTATTTTGGAGGTATTTCCCCATCATCTATGTCTGTCAGTAATTGCCCAAGAGAAGAACAAAATTTCCATTTAGTTCGTGTAGGATTAGATGATTCTTTACAAAATGAATTAGAAACAACTACAAATACAAATTATAAAGTAAAAATAAAATATTTTTTGAAAAATAATTTTAATTTTTTAGTGTATAAAAGTTATAAATGGAGATAAAATGATACAAGTTGTTAGAAGAGCTCTCGAAAAACATTTGATAGATCCAGAGGAAGCTTTAGATTATTGCTTGGTTCAATTACTTCCAGATGGAGGTAAATTATTTAGAAATAAATTTTTGGGGAGTTTAGTGAAGAGATTTCATTCTTTAGTTTGTAAATTGTTTGGGGTGTTTTAATTGAAGTTGAAGTTTTTGTTTGGATTCTCTCGATTCCAAAAGAAATCAAAAAGTTTCGAGAATTTCCGCAATCGTTTGCCTCTCACTCAATATTTTTTCAATTTTTAAGGTGAATTAGTCTTCCCTGAAAAATGCAATCCTTTTTATGCTGTAGCTCCAGATCCTTTATCTCCAATGACTAACTGTATTCTAAGAAAGAAAATATCAAAAACTAATTATATAAATACTCCAAATTTATCTTCAACAATTTCTAATTCAAACCAACACCCTGCTGAAATTAAAAAACTTAATAAACAAAAACGTAGCAATTTACTTCGTTGGAGTAGTGGATTTTTGTAAATAAATTTTGTAAATGTGTTAAAAATAGAATTTATTATATAAAAGAAAGGAAAAGTATTTTTTGCATTTTTGAATTAAAATTTGCAAAAATACTTTTTTGAAAAGAATTTTTTTAACTTTTTTACACGCAAAATTTTCTTTTAAAAATTTATTTTTGGAAATTACATGCTAATATTTAAATATATAACCATTCAATTTTCTAAATTAAAATGCCTTATTTTGCCAATTTGCCCATTTTATTTATATTAATTAATTATTATTATATATTTTTTATACTTTTATACTCTTGAATCTTTTGTTTTGATTGTTTTCATTAGGGCAAAATTACTTATTATTATTGTATTCTTTCCTAAATTTTTATTAATATTTTTTGTTTAAAAATTATTTTACGAATTTCCTTTTTGTTTTAATAGTTTTGTTTATTATTAAATGAAATAAAAAAATAAATTATTATGAGGTAAGCAAAAGGATAATTTAGGAAGAGAAAATTAAAAAATATTAAAATTAATAATTAAATTTATGTACGTATTTTTATTTTCTATTTAAAATTTCCTATTTCTAATAATTGTTGTTGACAATCTTGGGCAAAGTTAAAGATATTTTTTAATAAAAATAAAAGAAAAAGTACAAACACAGTAATCATTCATTAAATTAAGGGGTTATTTAAATTAATGTTCGGAAAATGTTTTTCGAATTTTTGTATCGATAATATCGAAAAAAGTTTTGTAAAGTTAGTCTCGCTCTGAACATAATTCAAGTAGAGATTATTTTATTAGAGAGAAAACGGTAATAATTACCATTTACCGGTTCAAAAACAGTTGCCCATTTGTTTAAAATAATTATCTAAAACTTTCATTATTTTTTATATGCCAACACAATTAATATCGTGTTACTTAAAATACAGCTGCATATAAATAATTAAAAGTTGTCAAGGAGACAATGTTAAAATCCAAAAAAGAATAAATAAATTGGTGCCATTCACGTAAAAGTAATTTAATATAGGCAAGTAAATACAGTTAATTCTTTTTTTTTACAAGAAAATATTAACTTTGTTTAAATTTAAAAAATCTTCCAAAAATTTTTCAAATTAACATAATACAAAAATTAGGTATTTAATTTTCCTTTATATTTTTATTAAGTCAAATTTGTTTATTTTATATTCTTTTAATTAACATTCTTTTAATTATAAAATGCGAGAGAAATTTACTGCACATTTTGTTGTTTTGGTAACATTCTCCAAATTTGATAAAATTTTCCAAAAAAATTTAAATTAATTAAAATAATATTAATTTTTATTACAAAACATGTAGCTAATTTGCCATAATTCGTGTTTTACCGAGATTCGACTTAATAAAAGTTAAAATTAAAATTTAATAATTTATCAAAAAATGGTGGATATCCGCGGATTTGGATTATAATATCCGTATCCATCCTATTTTTAAAAATATTATCGATTTCCGTCCGTATCCGGATATATCCACGGATATCCGGATATTATCCGTATCCAATTTAAAATTTACTACTATTTTAGTTATATGTATTTTCTAGACAATTAAGCCTACAATAAAACAAAATCTGACAAATTATAAATATTTAATTCTCTTAATTCTTTTAATTATTTTATTTTTAAATATTTCTCTCATTTTTGCTTCTCTCATTGAGTAGCAATTTTAATTCTCATGAAAAAAATATTAAAAATGGGAAATTGTAATACAACAACACAAGATGATAAAAAGTAATTTTTTTTGAAACTTTAAAAATTATTCTTTTTCAAGTCAAAGTGATGTTAATTTCCAAATTCAAAGACAAATCGAAGTTGATAGAAGAAATAATGAATCCACAATTAAATTACTTTTACTTGGTGCCGGGGAAAGTGGAAAGAGTACAGTGTTAAAACAATTAAAAATAATTCATGATAATGGATTTTCTGATAATGATTTGTTGTCGAAAAGAAATTTAGTTTATGGAAATGTTATTCAAGTAATTTTTGAAAGAAAAATATTTTTTAAGAAATAATAATAATTTTTTTATAGGCAATGTTTTTTATTTTGAGGTAACAATTTTTAAAAACTAAAAAAATATATCCATATATTCTTTAATAATTACCCTGAGTCCACCACTAAAGACGTACACCCTCTAGACCTTTAAAGACTTATTTCACTGAAGACCTACAAACTTTTGATCAACACTATTTTTTATTTTTTATTTCTTTAAAATTTAATCATGAGGATCAGGAGGGATTAAAGGGATAATGAGGAATTAAGAGGATATTGGTGGATTTGGATGGATATCGAGGGATTAAGGTTGATATACATATGTGAAGTAGGGGATTAAAGGATTTTCTCCTGATATCCCTCCAAATCTGCTAATATCCGTGATCTCTTCAATCTACCGATATCCCTCCAAATGTCCTGATATTCCCGACATCCTTCCAAATCTATCAATATCCCTCCCTTCTAATTCAGCCAAATCTCTCATTATCCCCTTTAATCCCTCCTAATCCTTATGATTAAAGTTTTAAAGAAATAAAAAATATAAATGGTGTCGACCAAAAGTTTCTACATAGGTCTTTGACCCCATTACCCTGAGTAATTACTGTTTAAACTTCTCGATGGAGGGGTAATTATTTGAGTATCAGTATATGTATATTTATTTTTTAGTGGAATGCATAAACTTAAATTAGCCTTTGCTTCTCAATCATCACAAGTAACTTTAAACAAATATTTTTTTAAATTATTTTAATTATTAAAAAAGGAACATTGCCGATTAATACATGCAATAATGGCTAAACATGCAGAAACTGAAGTAATTAGTAAAACTGAAGTAATTAAATTTTAATTATGTATTTTAAAGCCAATGAGAGAACATATTTATGTTGCTTTAAAAGAATTATGGACAGATAAAGGAGTTCAAGTATATTAATTAATTTTTTTAAATAATTAATTAATTTTTAATTAAAGTCTGCAATGAGCAGAAAATCAGAATTTTATGTTCCAGATTGTGCTCAACAGTAAATAAATTAATTAATTAATTTTTAATTGAAAATTTTTTCTAAAAGTTTTTTGGATTCCCTTGACAGAATTAATGATCAAAATTATATTCCGACAACACAAGTTTGTGTTGTTTTTTAAAAAAAAAAGAAAATATTTTTTAAAGGATATTCTTTTCCTTAGAGTAGCTACAATGGGGGTAATTGAAGTTAGATTTCAAATTAAAGAAAAAATTTGGAGGTAATTTTGAAATTAAAAATAAATTAATTTAAAAAGAGTATTTGATGTTGGGGGGCAACGTTCACAAAGGAAAAAGTGGATACATTGTTTTGATGATGTTAGAGCTTTAATTTTTGTAACGGCAATGAGTGAATTTGATCAAGTTTTAATGGAAGATGGAACTACTGTATTTATTTATTGTTTTTAATTTTAAAATTAATTTTTTAAGAATCGTTTACAAGAATCCTTACAATTATTTAAGCAAGTTTGTAATAATAAATATTTTATTGAAACTTCTGTAAGTTTTTAATTAATTAAATAAAAATTAAAGCAATAATTTTTAGATAATTCTTTTTTTAAATAAAAAAGATTTATTTGCTGAAAAAATGAGTCAAGGACGGTCTTTAAGAATTGCTTTTAAAGAATTTAATGGTAATTTAAAAAATATTTTTGTTGGTTAAAAGACAAAAAAACTCCTCTTTTTAGGTCCAGATAATTACGAATCAAGCTCTAGATATATCGAAAAGAAATTTTTTATGGCAAATGAAGTCCCTAATAAATCAATTTATTGTCACCATACTTGTGCAACAGACACAAAACAAGTAAAAATTAAAAGGAAAAAATAAATTTCTTTTAATTTTTTAGGTCCAATTTGTTCTCGATTCTACACTTGATGTTATTTTAAGTTCAAAATTAAAAGGATGTGGATTATATTAAATAAAAATAATTATACATACTTATATAAAAATCTCTATTTTTAATTTAAAGTATTTAATTACCGTAAATTTTGAAAGCAGAGGAAAGGATTGAGGGGGGAGTGATGGGGGTATTTTATACATATTTCTAAAATAAAATAATTTTATATATCCTCCTTCAAAAGGGAAACTTTACTTAAACGGTGACTTTACCTCAATCGGTGGCTTTATAATTCAAAATAAATTTTATAAATTAAAAAATCTTTTGACTTACTAAATAAAGTTCTATTTATATGTATAAATATTAAAAATACATTTAAACTTCATCTTGAGATTCCAGAAATTTTTTCTTTAGAAATTCCAAACTCCTAAGTTTGGTTAATGTAAATTTCTTAATAAATTTTTTTCTCAATGTGTTCCATAGAGAGTTATGACATTGAATGTGATGTTCTTCTTACGACAAGTATCCGTGAGCAACTGAGCGACGTCTTTACCGACTACTTCGGAGAATTATTGGGATTAAGGGACAAAAAACGGAACTTCTCTCGTGCAATTGTCAGATAAAGCAAAAGGGACCATATATTCTTGATTAGGGAATAAATGCGTTATTATCATTTAGGTGTGTTTCGGTGTTGGGAAAAATCCCCCAAGGCCTTTTATGATTGCTCCGATCACACCCTCCCCGTTACGTTATCCCTTAATATCTGGGTATGGTTAGATCAAATATTCGATGCCGTGAAAATTGTCGTTTTTCTTTCGTTTCGTAAAAATGAAATTTATTTTTCCGTTTTGTTTGTTGTGAGCAAAATTTTATTTTACCCATGTTTAGTGTTGTCCTCCTGGGTTGGACCCAATACAATTCACCCTTGTATTTCTTTATTTTTAATCTCCAAAATAAAAAAAAACTTTTTTTTAAATTATTTTTATCAATAAATATATTTTAAATTTATTTTAATTGTTAAAAATGGAAAGACGAAACAATAATATATTATCTAATATGATAAAAGAACATAATATAAAACAAAATATTTCAAAAGAAATGCAAGGCAATTTAATTAATTTTAAATTAAAAAATAATAATTATTTTTCTTAAAGAAAAACGTAAAAACGAGGCAATTGTTGCTGCCCATCAATTAACAGAAATAACTGTTGAAAATTTAAATAAAAGGTTTTTTAAATAAAATAATTTTTAATTTTAATTAAAAGAGTTTCATATGCCTATAATAATCAAAAAAGACTTGATGTTGAATGTAAAAAATTAGAAAATAAAAGTTGTAATTTAATTAAATATGCAGAACAATGGGTGGATTTGGTTGAACAAATGAATCAAACATTAAAGGTAAAATACACAAAGTAGGCATTTTAAAAGGCAGAATATTTACCTAAAAATAATTCTTAAATTTAAGCATGTTAATATGTAGTTAATGATAAAATTTAGTTAATTAAAAATTAATTTAAAAATGAAATGTTTTTTTTAAATAATTTCAAATTACAAATTTCCTGGAGGAGGGGGGGGGGGCTGATACGAATCGGGGCCTAAAGCGAGTCGAATATACACAAAGACATATCCACATACACAAAAAATCTTTCTTTTATAATTCCCTATTAAAAATATTTAAGGAAATTGGCGACGTTGAAAATTGGTCTAAAGTAATGGAAAGGGATGTTATAGCAATTACAAATATTTTAGAACAAACTAGAAACAAAATTTAAAAAATTTTTATTTTTTTTTATAAAATTAATTTTAAAAGAAAAAAAATAAAAGATTAATTTATTTACATTTTATTTAATTTTTCAATTAAACTTTCAATTTCTTCTTCAACTTCTTTTCTTTTTGAAATTTTTTCTAATTGATTTTTTTCTGGATTTTTAAGTTGCCCACTTTCTATTTTTTCCTTTAAAAATTAAAAAAATATTTATTTAATTTAATTTACGAGAAAATACTTTAAGTTTATCAATTTCTTCAATTTTCTTTTGAAATTTACTTATTTGTTTTTGAACAAAATCTTTTGGAGTAATTGGGGCATTTGGATTGTCGACAGCTATTGTTGGTTTAGTTGAAGTAGTTGATAAATTATTGTTTTTAATTATTTTCTTTTTTTGTTCTTTAACCATATCAACAGGGGACCAACCAACTTTTTTTAATAAAAAATTTTAGAAGTCTTCACAAGAAAAAACCTGGATAATTAACAGAATTTCCGCTTGTTTTCGATGTTTGTTTAAATTCTGATTGAGCTTTACATTCAAAACGTGGCTGTTCATCTTGTGGAATATGCCCTTCTCTAACCTTTCTAGCTTTTCGCCAAGTCCCATCTGGACGTTGAGTTGCGGGAATATAAACTTCCCCTTAAAAATAAATTTATTTTGGGAGGTATTGTTTCCAAAAATAATCAAAATTTATTTTCGCCCTTTAGTGCACTTCTTTTTGGAAATTAACTTCCTTCGCCCCTAGTTCAACTCAGTTTTCAGATCTCTTTCGAATAACCCCCCTTATTTATTCAAATCAATTTTTCAAAAATAATAAACTATATACCATTACTAGTTCTAATTCTAACATCTCCACCATTTGCCGTTGAATGAGAAGTTTTTGTATTTGTATTAGGTTGATTATGTTGTTGTGACATTATATGTATGTAGTTAATTATAATTAAAATGTAAACTAAATTTAAATAAAAAAAACTTTTAAAAATATAAAAATTCTTAAATTTATCTCAAACACTAATTAAATATCCGATGAATTGTTACTTTAGACAGAACTCAACGACTGAGTCCTGCCAACTGTTCCAACTCTATTTAAGTAAACTTCCTGCCTTGCGCCAGACAAGTCACGCCAAACTGGGCCACGCCACATAGTCCCTATCTTGTTAATATTGTGGGAGGGCCCAACTTTGTCCCGTCCCCACTTTGATTTAATAAAATCACATTTTCATAATCCGTTAATGAATAAAAATTTTGATTTTAGTTTCTTTCTGTTCTGACGTGTCATTATAATTAGTATATTTTATTAGAATTTAATGGCTACAAATTTAAATAAACTAAATGAAAAGGAAAGATTACAACTTTGTCGTCGTTATTTTCTATTAGGATTTGCATTTCTTCCCATTTTGTGGCTTGTTAATTTTATTTGGTTTTATCGGTAATTTCTACATTTTATTTGTTAATATTTTTATTTTAGATATACTTTTGGTAAAAAATATAATTCTGATGAAAATGTTGGAGAAACAAATAATAATTTAATAAAAGAAATGAAACGTTATGTTTTGTTGTCAGCAATTGGAACATTAATTTGGGCAATATTATTAATTTGTTGGGTTTATATTTATCAAATTGAACGTTCTTTAGGAAATGTTTATTGGGCTGAATTGTTAACTTATATTTATCCTATTGGCTATGTTTAATTTTTAAGTAATTTTAAATATGTTTATATAAGTTGTATTTAGTTAAGAAAATAGTCAATTATATATACCTATGTTTATGATATGTATAAACATTAAAATTTACATTTCCGAGAGATAAAACCGATCAAGGATTACTCTAAATCAGATATTATGCCCTTTATCAATTAATCAGCAAGTCTTCTTCAATCTTCCATTTAATACCCAAATAATTTCCTTAATCACCCTCTCATTAAAAATAATAATTTAAAATTATTCCATTTAAAATTAATTGAAAGATAACAATGAAAATTTAAAATTTTATAAAATTGGCAAATAATTTTCCAAACTCAAAATAATTTTGTCCGAGGCTTTCTTCTAGATCGTCCAATAGCAAGTGGACATTTTTCTGATATTTCCTCAATTTTCATTTCTAATGCCGCTTCTTCTGCCTCCATTCTTTTTTCTGCACAATCAGAACATTCAAAACGAGAAAATTTATTTTTAACAGGCATTTTTTCGAGTGGTGGATCTAAACAACCAATATGATAATAAAAATTACAAGTTTCGCAATTAATAAGAAGATGAGGTTCTTTCATCTAAAAAATAATTTAAATTTAATTTTAAAAAATAAATTAATTAACCGATTTGCATTTAAAACAATTCAATAATTCCTTTTTTTCGATTGAAATTATTTTAAATTTTGAAGGTGTTCCTCCTCCAATATCAGTTGCACGTCTTTAAATTACAAATAAAATAAAATTTTAATATAAAAACCTTTTAAAGTTTTTTGTATTTATTTTATCATTTCCATCTAGAATAGACGATAAAGGTAATGTTGTGGAAGAAATTAATCTTTTATATTGTTTAGAAGAAGAACCAAATTTGGAAGAAAAAATTGTTGTTGGAATAACATCTCCAAAAGTTTTAGATGATTCTGATTGTTTTGGAGAAGATTGGAGTGATTTGATAGAAGGCAATCTTTTAAATAGAAAATTATCTCTCTTGATCTTGAACTCTTGTTAGTATTGTAAAACTTTTCGTAAGTCTAACTAGAACTTGGGAAGTACTGTTTACTTCGAGTTTTATGGCTTCGGCTCCGAACCTGTTCAAATCTGGACTCAAAACCGGAGCTAAGTTTTTTGGAATCGCTCCATTATGCAGAATTTCAGAACAAGGCTCCTCATTTTAGCGTCGCGGGCACAATTTTTAGAATTTTAAAAGGCTAAAAAGCCATCGGTACTGTCGGTTATCTCCCCCTGTTACTAGGTTTAAAAACTAAAATTTTTTTTACATATTTGTTGAATCAGCACTCAGTCTCGAAATACTGTTCACTGCTTTATTCCAATTCTCTGGTTTCTTAAAAAAATTTCAAATTAATTTTAAAATATAAATGTACCAATAAAGATTGTCTTCTATTATTTGTTTCTTCTTTAATTAATGAAGGCGAAATAGAATGCAAAACAGATTTTAACTTTTCAAATAAATTGTGTTTTGAAGTAATTCTTTCACACAATTCATTATGACTTTCTTTTGCCTTTAAATTAATATTTAATTAATTAATTAATTAAAAAAAACTTTTTGAATATTTATTTCTAATTGTGTTTGATTTTCTAAAAGTTGTTCTTTTTGATGTTGTAATTTTGGAATACATTTTTCTTCTTCACTCAAAACAACATTATCTCGATATGTCATATAACTTTTAAAAAATATTTTAAATAATATTTTCTTTTAAATTATTTACTTTATAAAATCAACAGAAAATGCAGGTGTTAATCCCATAGGAAGTTGAGAGGCTGGAACTTTATAAAATTCTTCTTCAAATTGTTGTCGATTAATTCCAAGCAATTCAGCTTTTTCAGCAAATTCATTTAAGTATTGAGGACTTGTATGTAATAATTTTACTTTCTTCTTTAAAAAATTTTTTAATTTTTTTTTAAATTTAAAATAAACCTGAGTAAATTCTTCTGGAATTATTAAATCTTTCTTCTTTTTAGATCTAATTTCTAATTGATGTTGCCATTTTCTTTCTTGACGCGGGTTTAATTGAATATGTCTAAATTCCACCATTCGACGATCTTCTTGTTTCATAAATTTTGAAAATCCAAAAAAATTTTAAAGAATTTTAAAATTTATTTTTAAATATTTTACGCAATTTTTTGTGCATTTATCATTACTTCATGGCTATTGTGCCTTTTACCTAAAAAATTAAAAATAAATTTCTTATTTTAAAGAAAAATTTACAATAAATATATCCAATATCTGGATTGTTTGTTGTTCGAGGTAAGTGATTCTCAATTAATAAACCCAATCTAAAAGAGACTTAAATTTCAAAAAAATATTAAAAAAACCTTTGTGCACAGGTAACATGATAAAAATTTTTGCAAAGGCCGGCATCACATTTTACAGTAATTCCAGTTCTAGAATCTAATTGATCAATACAAGCACCACATTGTTTTCTCCCAAAATTTCGGTAATCAATATTTTGCCAACTAATGCCTGACAAATGTTCTTGATCAACAAATTGAATACCCGGAGTATAAAGAGCACAAATTAAATGAACCCAATTATTTGTGATATCTAAAAAATATTTATAAAATAATATTTTAGAAAGAAAAACCAGAAAGTTTAAAAGCTCCAAATCTGTTTGGACAAAGTTGACAATAAGGAATACTTCCATCACCAAACAAACAAGGTTCACAAAACCAGGGTTCTGTTGAGGTTGAAGAACTTTGACTGTTGCCAGAAGAGGATTCAGTTAATTCATTAGCAACTCCATAACAGACTTCATGAACTAACAATCCACATCTTAAATTTAAAAATAAAAAATAATATTTTAAAATATTTACTTGTCACATTGAATTAAATCTCCGAAAATGTCAGATTTTTTATCATTAAGGCATATTGAACAAAGTTGAAATGATTTCTTTTTATAAAAAATAATTTAAAATTAAATAAACAAACTTCATTTTTATCAATTAACCAATTATTTTGACAATTTGTAACATTTCCAGATGAAGTACTTGGAATATTATCCTAAAATATTTTGTTTAAAAAAGTTGAATAATTTAATAATTTAAATACAATTTCATCACTCACCTCTTCATTCATTTTGCCACTTTCAGACTCCTCAGAACCACTTTCATATCCTGTAGCACTCTCACTTTCTTCAGAACCATTAGATTCCCCAGAAATGGAATGACCGGAATGATCTTCCGCTAAAATAATTTTTTTAATAAATACTTTTAATAATTATCCAAAATTTACCAGTAAAGTCCAAATCTTCATCATCATCACCGTCAATTACTCCATTATTAAATTCAGCTTCAAATAAAGCAACACTTGGCTTTATTTGCCTCTTTCCTGGAGCTCGAGTCACTAAAAATGCTAGATTGAAAAATTTTAAGCATTTTTTAAACCTGCGCCTTTAACGAAATTTTCTCTTTCTTGCTCAAACATTTTGCAAATTTACACATAAATTGATAAAATTTAGACTAATTTATTAAAGTTTTTGCAATTATTAAAGTAAATCTAAAAATAGGTAATTGGAATATATGTATAGTAATTACTAGAACATAGTCTTTCGGATAGGATCATCCAAAATTTTTAATATTTTACATACAGAATTTAGCCTTTTCGGGTTAGTGAGAGGCAAATAATTGTTGTGATTTCGATAACAACGAGTATTTTTTGAAGAAGTTTAATTTTAAAATTATGAATAAGAGCGTGGATCAGGCCACGCGCATGTCTTTCGATCTTACTCCAAAAGGAATGACAATATATTTTTATTCGTTTTAACTGTTTCAAAGATTTGAGGGGATTAAGGGGATATATATGACGATTAAGAGTGAGGTGATTTCTGCTTAATTTGCTTGACGGATTAAGGCGATTAACCATATTGCATGTTCATAAATTTTACATCTATTTTAGGAAATAACTCTAAATTTTTCGTGGAGTTTAAACGGGGGTGAGGGGGGGGGAGGTCCCAAATTTTCTGTTCAGGACCTACCAGGACACGAAAAATTTGAGGAACCCAACCCAAGTTCAAGAAAAATTGGTAGAGACATTTTCTTAGAATTATGCTGACATATACTAAGGTATGTATAAGAAATACTGTACATTGAGTAATAGAAAATTAAAACAATAAGCATGCTTTTAATGTTCACTAACAATTGCGAAAAAAACAATGTAAAAACGATTTTTACAGAATTTAATTATTTAAAATCTCAAAATAACACAATTATTAAATATTCTTTTTTGTCTTCTCTTTTACATCTTTCATAATATTTTGTAAACGTTTTACAAATCCAAGACTCTTTCCAATAACTTGATGTCTAAATGGTTGAATATCTAAAATAGAATTTTAAATACTCAATTTAAAAGATTTTTGTCAAAACTTGCGCAAAACTATCAAGTGAAGGTTTTCTAACATCATAATTAATTTTGTCGTTAAAAATGAGCTTCTCGGCAGGAATTCGCATTTCATCAATTATTTTTCGCTCATCATTTATTTTTTGATTATCTTGTTCTATTACTTTTTCTTCATCTTTTTTATCTTCATTTGTTAAATTTTTATTTTCCTCTGGTGGAATATGCATAATAGTTGTAGCAATTTCTTCCTAAAATTGAAGAAAAAACACTTCACATTTTTATGTTTACTAAAACCTTTCTTCTCCGAACAACAACATTTGTCTCTAAATCAACAATTCTTTCACTAGGTATTTCTCCATCTTCAAGGCCATTACTATTTGGCCGAGTATCGACTATTAGAATATCAGAATCATCTTCACTATCAGAATTCCTTCTCTTGTTTGAATAATCCAATTTTGATTTCTTTGGGTTAGACGGGGATTCTGTTTCTTTTTCCATTTTTTCAACTACATCCATTTGTAATAAATAAACTTCTTGAACATTAACAAATTCATTCCACGGAGGTATCCGATAACGTTCTTTTCTTTTCTAAAAAATTATTTATTATTTTTAAAAGAATATTAGCACATACATCTCTAAAATGGCCATCATCATAATTAAACCCCGCATATTTAATAATCTTTTCTGGATCAATTCTCAAATTTACATCTTCTAAATTATAAAAATTAAAATTCTCTCACATATTCCCCCACCTTTAATTTCATCATGTTTTCGTTTTCTATCAGCATTTTCACCAAAATGCATTTTAAAAACTGATAGTTCAGTAGCACTAAAAATAACTTTAAATTAATAGAAAAAGTCTTTCCTAACCATTTTCTATAAGCAGGAGGATATCCATGAACAAATCCAAGTCCTCGCATTCTGTAAATCCACTCAGGCAAATCCCTCTCGCTAATCCCCAACGCTTCTCTCAATCGTCTACTTATTTTACCAGCTGCTAGAGCATCTGTTTGGGTATGTTCGTGGAATCTACCAGACTCTCTTTTTTGCATAAAACTTTTTCGATTTTTTGCAATACGTCCATTATTTATTGGATGGGGGCATTCACGAGATGTGTGATCAAAAGAATTACAATTGAAACAAGCCTAAAAGGTTTTTTAATTGAGAGAAAAAAATACTTATTACCCTATCAGATCTGCGATTATTATTTTTTGGTGTGCTATCACTTGGAGTTTCAATCAAATGAGATAGAATATTCGAGGAATTCAAAATTCTAAAAGTAAAAATATTGGATAGACTTATTGATAAGATAAATTATATTTAAAATTACTCACCCGTTACTAGTAGTTGAAGGAGAATCTTTCTCGCAAGAATCAGTACAAGAAGTGTCAATGAAAAAAGAAAAACCCGAGTCTGGCTCAGGCATCACATTGCTTGCGTCAGCTTCGTAAAGTACTTGAATATCTGAATCCGAATCAGAACCTCTGAAAGTTAGGAATTATGAATAGTTTAGAAAAATAAAACAAACTCAGCTTCGTCACATAACTTTAAAACTTCGCCGCTATCTTTTCCCATCAAAATTCTGTAACAAAATAAAAGAATGAAATCACAAGCACGATTATATCAAAATTATAAGCAAAATTATATCCGAAATTTTTCGAGATGCCTTATCTTTTTGATAAAACTGTTAAATACTCTGAAACGGCCAATTCTGAAACGGCCATATACTCAAATGGACTTTGGGGGACAGTAGAGTTTCATTTCGGAACTGAAACTCGGATTCTTTTGTTCGATTCCAAATATCCAAATCTTCTTGTTCTTGATTATATTTTGTCTCATTTTTCTTTCTGCTCTGAATTTGTAATTCTTATGATATCCTTATTTTTATATTTTAATTTTATAAAATTAAAAGTTTAGGTCAATTTCAAATTATAAAAATCAATGTCTAACGGACTTGACGTTTTCAATTTAACGGATGACGAAGCAATGAAGTTGCTTGTTTGTGAGTCTCATGTTGGAACCAAAACTTTGGATTATCAAATGGAGAATTATGTTTGGAAGCGACGTGCTGACGGTTGGATTTTTATCAGTGTTATTCATTGCTGAATGTTTAAGGTGTTCATATCATTAACATTCGAAAGCTGTGGGAGAAATTGCTGTTTGCTGCACGGGCCATTGCTGCCATCGAAAATCCTGCTGATGTTGTTGTCGTCTCTGCCTTGGGTGTCGCGCAAAGAGCCATTCTAAAGGTTACTTTGGATTTTTTGTATAAAGCACAATTATCTTTAGTTTGCTTCACATACTGGCGCTACACCTATCGTTGGACGCTTTACTCCAGGGTCATTGACAAATCAAATCCAGAAAAACTTCAAAGAGCCACGTCTTCTTGTTGTCTCCGATCCGCGCATCGATCATCAGGCTCTTACTGAGGCGTCTTATGTAAATGTGCCTGTGATTGCTTTTTGCAATACCGATTCGCCTCTGAAGTTTATCGATATCGCAATTCCTTGCAATCTGAAGGTTTTTTTGATTATATTTTAGTGTACATATACTTCTTTTAGAATAAATACTCAATTGGTTTGGTTTGGTGGTTACTTGCTCGTGAGGTTTTGCTGCTCCGCGGAAAGATCAGTCGTCAAACTGGCTTTGTTGTTGATGGTAAATATGTCATGCCTGATTTGTACTTCCACCGTGATCCGCAAGAGGCAGAAAAGGAAGAACCGGTTGAATCTGAGCATAAGGAGACTTGGCCTCAAGCAATAGAGCAGGCCGATTATGTTGCACCGACTGAACCAGTTAAACTGGACTTCAACGTTCCGCTTATTAGTGATTGGGCTGCAGCTTCTGAGTGGCCTCAAGAAGAGGAGGCTCAGGTTGCACCGACTGCACCAATTGGTCAGCAACAGCCACAGCAGCAAACTCAACAAGGAGGTGATTGGAACTCAGGTACTAGTGGATGGTGAAGAGCAGGAAAATTGATAGAAGAAATTATTATGGAAAAAATGTAATGAATGTTGTTGTCTGATTTGTTGCAAATACAACAAGTTTTATTTTGTTGTTTATTTAATAAAAGTTTTGTTAATTTATAATAATTTCATATATTGGTTTTTTATTTAACCTTTATTTATTAATTGTTTTATCATATTTAAATTTTTGAAGCAATTTTAGTTAATCTTTTGAAGAATGACGAAAGGAACGTCTTCGTTTGGAAAGCGTCATAATAAGACGCATACGCTTTGTCGACGATGTGGCCGTTCTTCTTACCACATCCAAAAGCATAAGTGTTCATCGTGCGGATATCCGGCTGCTCGTAAACGAACTTATCAATGGTATGATTTCGTTAAACCGTTTGTCTAATGGGCAAATTCCTAATTGAAAAATTCCCAACAGATTTTGTCAATTTGGTTTATTGTTGATATTGTTTTCACCCTAGCTGCTCTATCGCTCTTTATTGAGCGGCTAGGATAATGGAAATACAAACCTATATAAGATGCCTTAGAGCTTCGTTTAGGCAAAAAATTCCTGCGATAATGTAGATATAAAAAAGAGGAATTCTGGAATCAAAATTTGCTTCTAATTTTAAATGTAATATTTTAATGTTTTTATTTAAAGGTCAGTGAAATCTATTCGCCGTCGTACAACTGGTACTGGTAGAATGCGACATTTGAAAATCGTGCACCGTCGTTTCCGAAACAACTTTCGCGAAGGAACTGTTGCGAAGTCGACAAAGAAACGTAATTAAGGGATAATATTTTAAATGAAATATCTGTCATTGAATTGTTGTTGATAAAACATTGTTGAATATTACTTTAAATTGCTCCTAATGAATTTAAAATAATAATTGATTGCAATTTTTTGAAAAATGCAAGCCTTAGAGACGTCCATGACTTTAGGTCTCTCGATGGATGATCTCGTAATTTTTATCATAAGCATCGAGCTGATTTAACATACTAGTATTTCATCTTTCGGGAGAAATTTCATAAAATCTTATTTTATTATTCTCTAAATTTAATTGAATTCCAGCAACCGACTGAGGTAAAGTAAGTTTTCCCTCAATTTGTTCATTTTTTCCTCAACAGTCCACTATTCATTTTTCAATATTAAACCCGATTTGATATTCACCTGCACGAATTTTTCAGCAAAAACTTTGAAAACAAGCGCGTAGAGAAAAGCAAAGGCGCAGAAACGTTGAATTCCAGCAACCGACTGATCCTTTTCATTTTTGCTTTATTTGCTAGTAGGGTTGTACCCCGTCTTAACATCAAGAGTAGAGCTCGGACGTGCCGTGCTACCGACTGTATTTATTGGGAGTACGGTACGGAATACCGCCGGGTGAAAATTTTAAAGTATTGTTTTATTTTAAGGGAAAAAATCTTGAAAAAAAGGAAAAATGTGCCAATGGGTTGAAAATATTTTTTAAATACGTTTACCCCCGGTTTTCCGTTAATTTTCGGATTTTGAGATCTCGATGCCGCGAAAACTAATACTAATTTAAGGATTTTTCTATTTCCTTGTCTAAGCTTTTGATTTATCGGGGAGAATTTATTGATAAAATGTGAAAAACAAAGGAAAATTCATAAAACATCTCAAAAACTAAAACATCTTATAACATGTTCTTAGTTAAACAAAACTCTTCATCATTATTTTACATTAAATTAGAATGATCTTTCATTGAAAACCCTTATTTTTTGTCAAGTTTTTGGAAAAGGCTCTTTAAACAAGATATAAATTAAATTTATTTTAGCTTTGTAATTAAAAATTCATTAAATATTTAAAAACATATTTTACACCCTAATTAATTTAATAACATAATAATATAAAAACAATGCACATAATTTTCTTCACAAAACTCGTACTTTCTCTCCAAACATTTTAAATTTCCCTTAAAAATAAATTTAATTGGAATTTTATTTAATAATTTACGAAGTTTCAAGCCTATCATTTAAAATTAATTTCATCAATTCATTTTCATTACTATCATCTGAAGTATTGCCACAATTTGTTGTTTTCTAAAAAATAAATAAATAAAGATCCAAACAAAATTAAAAAAAAATATACTTTTTTATCTTTAGAAATAGGAGAAGATTGGCGATTATTGTTGTTAATATTTACTGGCTTTGCGGGAGGTGTTGGGGGAATTGGGGGAAGTTTATTTACTGTTGAATTATTTTGTTTATTTCTCTGATTTTTATTCCAAGCTTCTGTAGAAGTATTTGAACTCATAGCACCAACTCTAGGTCTTAAACTAAAATATTCTTCTTCATTTTGTTCTTCAATTTGTTCATTTTTCTCAGTTTCATCTTTATTAAAAGTAACACTTTCAGTTGAGGATGATTGTGGTGGTTGGCTTAGAGGAAGGGGTGGAGGGGACGGGGAATTTTTATTTTCCTTTATTTTTTGTTTATTTTCAATATTTGATTGTTCCTTCATCTTTGTTTGTTCTTTATCAAGTTTTTGAATATCATCTTGAATATCAATTACAAGTCTATGAGGCTGAATTTCAACAATATTTTCATCAGAAGAAGAATCAATTAATTGTTGTTGGGGTGTTTGTCTGTCATCTAAATCTGTATTATATTCTGCTATTTGAAGTGTAGATGTTGTTGATGAACAAACAGAATTTGATGAAATAGAAGAGGGTTCTCCACAGGAAATGTGTGCTGTTGTATTAGAACTAGCTGTTTCTGTTGAATGATGGGAAGAATGTAAAGAAGAAGCAGAAGATATTCCTGAAGAAGAAGAAGCAAAAGATTCTGAAGATAAACAGGACATTGTTGATTGTGAACTAAAACGTCTTCCATTCTTTAAAAAAATAAAAAAAATATTTCAAATATATTTATTTATTCGAACCAATTCTTGTAATTTTGAAGATATTTTCTTTGAAGAGCCACTCATTGCGCTTGAAACATTCCAAGAAAAACGTTTTAATATTCCACTAGCATTAGAAGAATTACAAATATTTGAAGGAATTTCTGTATTACAGACATTACTTGAATCTGAGGAATTTAATATAGAAGTACATTCTCCTTCAACATTTGTTAGTAAATTGTTATTACATCCATCTACATAATTAGAAAATAATTTTATTTAAATTTTGAATCAAGTTTTATTTAGCAGTGAAATGAAGGAAATCTGGTTTATGGTGGAGTCCCTTTGGATGGCAGTAGGAATGGCAGTATTGCTAAATTACAAAATTTTATTTTAATTACCATTTGTACAATTAATTTTGTTTGCTAAAGTAGAAAATTGTTTTTGTGTTTGGCGTCTAACTGTGTCAATTTCACCAACAGTATGATAACGTTTTTCAAATCGTCTTTGATTATTAGTACTTGGTGAAGTATTTGGAATTGGGGAAGAAGAAATATTTTGTTGAGAATCTTTAAAAGAATTAATTTTTAAAATTATTCTTTCATAAAAACCATTTTGAGGTAAAGAAGTATTTAAACCAATATTAGAAACAACAACAGGTGTAACTATAGCAGCAGCAGTATTTGCTGCTACATTCATTGCATGCAAAACAACAGAATGATCTGTGGATACAGAAGAGTCCCCTGTTGAAGTTGGAATGGTAGAAGAATCTTTATCTGTTGGACTTTTATCTAAAAATTGTTAAAATGAATAAAAAATCAAAAAAGAGAGTTGAAATTTACAGATATTAATGACAATTCTACATTATATTAGGTAACTCCATCAATATCCCCAAAGAAAATTTTTAAGAAAGATACCGTCTTCCCCCTTCTTTTTTATTTCCTATCAAAAAAATCACCATTTTTATCATTTTCAATATTTTGATCAAAAGAAGGCAAGGATTCTTTATTATTTGAATTTCCTTGAAATCTTTGTTGTCTTCCCAAACGTTCCCTTCTTTTTATTTCAATTTCTCCCCCCTCTTTATTTAATTCTTCAACAAAAACTTCTTTCTCCTTTTCTTTTATTTCACATTGACATAAAAATTCTTTATTTTGTTTTTGATTTAGTGAATTAATTAAATCATTATTATCCAATAAATTATCACAGCAAAGATCACTTGTTGTAGCCATTATTACCTTAAAAATAAATTTATTTTTTCTTAAAATTATTTAATCTTTTCCAACTTGTGAATCCATACTCCGACTTTTTCTGTGTAAAACATTATTAGAACAACAATTACAAACAAAATGTTGTTGTTTTTGTTGTTGTTGTTGAACAACTTGACGAAGAGTATCAGCAGAAAATGTACAGTTTCTATTACAACAATTACTTGTCATTTGATTAGAATAATTAGTTAAAAATTTTTCACCAAAAAAATTATCTGAAAAAAATTATTTTTTTAATTTCAATTCAATTCTAGCCACCATTATTTGTTGTTGCTGCAGCCCTTAAAGAGGCAAAATCTTGCTGTGCCATTGCCATCATTTCTAACCACCTTCTAGTTTCTTCTATTCCAGCAGTAAACATTAAAAGAAAATGTGAGGGAGATTCGAATTCGTTCATACAAATTAAATAAAAACCAGCTAGAAATTAATTACATATTTAAATAAATTTAAACAAATTAAGCACAAACTTCCTTCACTAAAATGGTGAAATCTAAGATTAGAAATATGCATTGGTTGTTTTATAATTCTTAATCGGTCATTACGTCTTGACACAGATTTACATATTAAAAGCATATCAGTAAATAAAATACAGTGAATTTCTTGCTTAAAATTAATTATTAAAGTAATTTTAAATAAATTTTTTGTTTCAGAAGGGAGAGTGGAAAAAAAGAAGGGTTTAAAAATTTTTTGTATCCGCCAGAGGTGGGTTGGAACAGCCAGAGATGTCGGAAATTGGAAGAGCCGGAAATCGGAATTCAAATTTTTTACGGAAATCGGAAGGGAAAAAACGTCGGAAATCAGAATTCCGACCTACCTATGGTACCCGCTCCCACTTACAGAAGGAATATAAATAACTAAAGGTAACCCAATATCAGACTGGATGTTGGCACAGTCGATTGTGCTTCGATCAGGGTTTATTTCACGATGATTCCTTTTATTCAATCTTTTATCCAATTACTTTTTCCCCAACATAAACACAATAAAAATAATAATCTTTTTTTTTACTTTAGGATTTTGTTTTCCTTCACGCATTTTTAAATCTCCCCGTGTATACATCCTTCTAAATTTTGGTTGTTGTAAACCAAGAAAGGGCATAGGTAAAAGTAAATTAAAATGTGGGGGAGGCCTGTTAATTGCAGCAAATAATAATTGTTGTTGTTGTTGATAATTGTTATTTTGTTGGAAATTATTAAAATTTGTTAAAGGAGGAAGGGGGAATAATCTTTCAAATTCATCATTATCTATAACATCATAACTTTCAATTGTTTTCATTAATTCTGCTAATTGTATTCTTAAATCATTATTATTCATTTCATAATTTAATCGAAGAGTTGCTGCTTCAACACAATCAATCATTGACTTTAAAAATAAGAAAAAATTGTTTTTTAAATAAAATTTAGGTATTTTTATTGGCTGAACATATGAATGTCCAATCAAAAATTCCTTTTAAAGATCTGATTTTAACAAAAATTTACTTGTAAAATTAATTTTTCCTCAGTATCAGCAGCACTTCTTTGTACAGCTTTTAATAAAAGTGAATATCTAGTAATTCTTTGCATTGGCCCACTGAGTGCATCAACAAGTTTTTGTCTATTTAATAAAGTATGTTGTTCAGCCCAACGAACAAATTCCCCAAACATTTCATTTTCTTTTTGTTTCTTTTGAACATATGAATGACTTTCAGATAAACTAATATTAAAATCTATATAACACAAAGACCAATCCAAAATTGATTCAAAACCGTGCCGAAGTAATAAAGCATTTAATGGATCTTTTGTTTCTCTTTAATAAAATAAAAATTCTTTAAAATAATTTAACATCAACTTATTCTGGCTCAAAGCATTTAAGTTAAAATCAGGTTTTAGAAGTAAAAAAATGGGATGGGAACAGATATTTTCTGGGATATTTTTTTCCTCTTTTTTATTTCACCTTGATTTTTGAAGCATAGGTCCAATAGCAGAAGCCCAAAAATGTAAATTACAACGTAATAATTGAGAATAATTAAGAAAAACACAATGTCTGTTAATATCTCTAAGATACCCCTGACGTTGTAATTCAATTAAACACCATTCTAAATCTTCAAGTAATTGAAGTTGAAGAATATAACGCCGTTCTGTGGAAACAATTTCCCAAAGAGCTTCTTGTTGTTCGCTTTGACGTTTATTTTGAACTTTTTGAATATTAACAATTTCTGTCCAATGTTGTTCTAAATTTAGTAGAGAATTTAATTCTGTTTCTTGTGAACGACTAGAAACTGCTTGAACAAATAAACGTTCCAAAATAGGTGTTAGTTTCTCCTTAAATTAATTTAAAAAATTAGAGTGAGAACTTGACTGAATACAAAAATGAATTACTTAAAAGGAAATGGGTTTGAATAATTTGCAACTGTCTTAAGGAATTAGAATCATATTCCGGTACTTTGCGGGTTTAGATACGCCAAAAATAATTTAAAAATGGATGGGTACAAAATTGTTAGTAATAAAATTTTTAATAATGTAACAAGTGGCGACAGTCATCTTGACGTGTTCGTGGTCGACGACCGTGGTCGTGGTCGACGACAGTCACTTGACGTGTTCATGGTCGACGACCGTGGTCGTGGTCGAAGACAGTTATCTTGACGTGGTCGTGGTCTACGACAGTCGCTTGACGTGGTCGACGACCGTGGTCGTGGTTAACGACGGTCATCTTGACGTGGTCGTGGTCGACGATCGAGGTCGTGGTCGACGACGGTCATCTTGACGTGGTCGTGTCGACGACGGTCATCTTGACGTGGTCGTGTCGACGACAGTCGTCTTGACGTGGTCGTGGTCGACGACCGTGGTCGTGGTTAACGACGGCCATCTTGACGTGGTCGTGGTCGACGACCGAGGTCGTGGTCGACGACATTCATCTTGACGTGGTCGTGGTCGACGACGGTCATCTTGACGTGGTCGTGACCTACGACAGTCATCTTGTCATCTTGACTGTCGGTTTATTATTAGAGTTAGACGAGAGAAAGTATCTCTACGGGATTTTGCGCTATTATCGCTTCCAAATTCGGATATCTGAACTAGAGAACGGATCGAGACGTGATCTCGAACGAAAATCTCGATTATCGAGATCGAGTTTTTTCGAGACATCCCGTACGATTGTCTTGCGATAAAAATTTCAGTTTTTCGAGATTTTTCAAGATTCGAGACGACAATCGCAGTCCAGTCTCTAATCTTTTTTTTTGATTTACAATTTTTGAAATATATTTATTTATATACAGCTTCATCTTGATCTGCTCAATTTAGTTAAAACTATTCGAAAACATGCGGAATAAAGATTTTTATTCAAAATTTTAATTATTTTTATATTTTTAAAATAATTCCCTATTTTTGCCCTACTTTTGACCGATTTCGCCCTATTTTTTCCCTATTTTTGAGTACCTGCGCCCTATTTTAGTGGTTTGGAAAAGGCCACCCTGGTCAGCCTTATTCAACAAAGTTTGTTAATTTGATATTTGTGAACTAAGAACCAGACTTTATTAATGGGTTTAAAATTTTATCCACCTTAACAAAGAAAATTCCTTTTCTTCCAATTGTAGTACCACCACAAGAATTAATTGTTGATTGAATGCTGTTTACCGTCCCCACAGATCCAACAGTGTGTTTCCGCCTTACAATAAATCCACCACCTCCAATTGAGTGTGAATTTAATGAAGTATCATCACTACAATTTTGTTGATGTTGAAGTTGTAATAGACTACAACTTGTTGGAATCTGTTGAGAACCAGAAATCTAAAAGAAATTTTAAAAAGTAATTACTTCTCTAGATATGGCTAAATTTACCCCCTTATGTTCTTCTGACATAAATTCGTCCATAACATTAGAACGTCCATGACGATTTAAAAGAAAGTCACTATTACTGTGAGAATTATGTGCGGCACCACCAAAAATAGCAGTTAAAGTTGGAGGAGCATCGGCAAGTGATGCCGCGGAATTTAAAGAACTTTTACGTTTTTGTGGTAATTGAGAGGAAGAATTAATTATATTAGAAGGATTTGGGCATAAATGATCAGGGGAATCTAAACAAGAATTGGTTGTTGTTGTTGTTATATTTGTAGAATCTGAGGGAGGAGGAGAAGTGCTTGGACAAGTTGAGGGACATCGACCATGTTTGCCCATCTAAAAATAGGTATATTAATTATTAAAAAAGATTCGAGATATTATATTGAGATGTGTTAAAATTTGGAAAATTTTAATTTTGTAAATTTATAGAGAATATAACAGATCAAAAATTGGTTAAATAATCTTAAGGGTAGAAAATTTTCTGTTAAAAAAATAGAAAGGAATCTCAGATGTGGTAAGCGGACAGTAAAAATTAAAAAAAAAAGAATTAGCAAGTAAATGTTTGAAAGAAAGAAGGTTGTTGTTAATAGTAAAGGAAGGAGAGCATAATAATGACAACAATGTAGTATTTAGTATTTGATGACAAATGAGAATACAAGCTGAGAATTGAGGAAAAGAGAAGAAAAACTTAAGAGAAAACTCACAATCATCATTCTGCTCCTCTTTTGCGTGAAGGACGATTTTCGCGCGGCTGCGGAGACAGGTAGTAATGTCGTCACAGTTGCCTTTGATATTGTTGTTGTTGTAGGGATTCTTCCTTTTTCACCTCCTTCACTGACCAGAGGTGAAAGGGAGGAAGAAGAAAATGAAGAAGAAAATGAATTTATTGGAGTAATAGGCCCCGTGGTGGATGATAACGATAAGTTAAAATTATTTTTTGGATTATTTGTAATTAATTTGCCGCTACTAATATTTGTTGTAGATGATCGAATAGAAGATAAAGAAGAAGAGGAATTATTACCACAACCAGCTGAAGTTTTACCAGATGATGAGAAGAAGGATGAAGAAGAAGAGAATGGACCTTTTTGCATTCCTTCAATTTTCTTATTAATGTTGCTTTTAACACAAATTTTTTCTTCCAAATTATTTTTATTATTATTGCCGTTCTTAGTCGTTGTTTGTTTGCGCAGTGTTCGCCCTTCTTTATCGGTTGTCACATTCTTATTATTATTTAGTTTGTTATTATTGTCCACTAGTAAAATTCCTTCTTTTGTAGACAATTCTTCTACTTCTCCTTCCTCAACATTATTATTTTCTTCGAATTTTTGGTCACTAATATTTACTATATTATTTTCTTGAATATTTTTGTTGTCTATTTGAGAAATTATTTCTTTCTCGCATTTTGCAACTTCGCAGGATTGTTGTGTAATTTTTGTCTCCCTTCCATCTAATTCCTCTTCTTTTGGAAGAAGAGGAGTTGTAAAAGAAGAAGAAGAATCTGATGACGTAGTCATTATTGTTGCTGATTTTGTAGATTGCCCCTCAAGCGATCCCATACATCCACATTCCCTTCTCTTTCCACAAATATTTTCATCTTTATTTGTAAAAGCACCGAGAAAAGTGCTAACACCAGAACAACGACGACGTGTCTCTCGTCTGGGTTGTTGTTGTTTTTGACCGCAACGTTGTTGCATTGCTGTTACTGAAGAACCAGAAGACCATGTACCGGCGTTTGCAGCGGAGCTATTTTTAACTAGAAAAAATTTTCTTTCTTAAAAATTTTTCAAGTAAATATTTAGTAATTTATTATTAGGGATCGGACTTTTAGGTTATAATCTATTTATTTTTTCCTGGAATAGTTGTGGTATGAGAAGCTTAAATCCGTCATTTTTTGAAAATTTTATTTTTACAGTAAGTAATTGTCACCTATTCAAGTACCTACATATACATATATTTTTAGATTTTTCCGACCTAAACATCCTATTTATTAAAAAAAATAATTTATTAAAAATAAATTTATCAAGCACCTCTAACAAAAATTTTATGTCCTGCAAGAAAGAAAGAATCTGAAGTTTCAGGTATTGGTGTCGTTGATTTTTCTAGTAAGAATTCGGCACACCCAACAGGTATTCCATGTCTTTCCAAAAATGGGCCCAAACAATCAATCAGACGCCGACCAGGAATTGCTTCTATCTTTAATAAAAATATATTTTTTTGAGATAATATTTGAGATTTATTTATTAACTAATTGTGCAGTTCCAGTATCCGTAACACTTCTAGCATTTCTATTTCCAACATTTCCTCCTCCACCCCCACCTCCTCCTCCATTATTTCCAACACATTGTATTGTAGATCCAAATAAATCCACACTAATATATTCTACATTTTTACAATTATTAATTGTTGTTGGGGCAACAGCACTAACTGAAGATGCTCTTTTAAATTTTGCAGAAATATTTTGTCTAGTAGAAGAAGAGGAAGATGAAGAAGAATGTTGAGGAAAGACGTTATTTAAAAGGCTAGAAGATGAATTATTTGCACTTTTTGAACATTCACGTATTTGTTGTTGATCAAATCTCATATTTATATTTAAAAAATATCTTAAAATTTTTAAATTAAAAATTAAAAAAGTTATTAATTAAAAGGTGTTTATCTGAATATTTTTTTTAATTAGAAAAAGAATTTAATATTTCAATAATTCAAAATTAAAGGACAATTAATAAAAAAATATTTAAGTAAAAATAAATATTTGTTATTATTTAAAAGTTGCGTAATGAAAAAAAGAGAAAAAAATTTAAATAATTATTTTAAATAAAAAATAAAGGATTAAAAACAACAATAATAATACATATGTACATAATAGTCTATAAAAATAATAAGGCAACTATGTCGAGACCAAAGGACGAAATAAAAAAATAAAAATGAGGTATATACTATAATACATAGTATACACTCTGTTAACTAATTACCGTTTACCCCGATTTTCAGTTGATTTTCGGATTTTGATATCTCGATGATTATGTACACATTGCTAAGGATGTTCTCAAGTCTGAAAAGGAAAAAACAAAAATAAAAAATGAAAAAATTTTAAAAAATTAAAAGAAATTTAATATTTAAAAACTATTCTGTTTATTTCTAATATATTTTATTTTTGAAAAAAAAATTAAAAAAAAAAGGGTTAAAACATCTGTGAGGGAGTAAAAATAAACTTAAGTAAAAAATTGTAATTTTGTAAAAAAATCCAAAGAAAAAATAAAAATAAATACTTAAATATAATATTTCCATTTTTGTGTATTTTGTTCGTCCCGTTTTTTTTTTGTTGTAGTTTTTAGTTTTAGCAAGTATTAAAAATGTTTTAGTATTAAATTTCAAAAATAAAATAAATAAAAAAAAATCAATGCAAGAAAACACAAATAAAAATATTTATTTATTTAATGATTTTTGGATTTTTTTAAAATAAAGTTTACAACTTTTATGAATTAAAAAAATTTTTTTTGAAATTTGAGTTAAATTTTTATCTTCTCTTTTTATTTAAAAATAAAAAAATGATTTTTGATGTTAAAAAAAGATTTTTTTTAAATAAAATTTTAAGTTCAAAAAATGATTCTAAATAAATTCTAATTTTTGCAGAATGCCCAGAAACGGGGGTTTGCCTTATTTTTAACTTTTTCGCTTCCCCCTCCATCCCCCATTTTTAACTTTTACAGTATTTTCAAAGAAAATGAAAAATAATTTTTGTTTTGTGAAATTTTAAAAATAATTAAATGCGGCGCTAAAACAAAGATTTGTCTAAAAATTTGTTAAAATATATTTTCAGTAATAATGTCTTTTTTTTTTAATTTTAGTGGTCTAGAATTGGCCACCTTGAATTTCCGTTTGAATATTTTCTAACTATTATCAAAAAAAAATAAATTTATTTAAAAAATATTTAAATAAATAACCAATCAAATAAAAAAGAATATTAAATTGATTTCCCAATAAATTTTAATAAAAACGTCCATTTTCTTAATCAATTTTATAAACTTAAAAATAATTTAAAGGGAATAAATGATAAAAATATAAAAGAATATGCGGAATTTAAAATGAAAAAAGATTAAAGGAATTTGGGGACACGTAATAATTAAATAAATTTAAAAGGGTAGTTTTGAGGGAAATAAAAGGAATTTTTAATTAAAAAATGTCAAAATATAATAAAAAATACATGTATAAAAGTGATTGGAAGTAATAAATATTATAAAGAAAATGTTTAAAAAAAATATTTGAAAAAAATTTATTTCAACAAAAATAACCTTTAGAGAGCTGTTTCTAATTAATTATTTAGATATTAAAAATTAAATTAAAAGAAATTTAAAAAAAAACGGAGAAAATTATTTTTTATTGTAAGTGAAATATACAAAAAAAAAATATATAAAAGTTGATTTAATCAAACAAAAGAAAAAAAAAGAAAATATAATTTAAAAAATTATTTAATGTTAAATGAAGTGAATAAATAATAAAAATAAAATTAATTTAAAATAAATAAAAGTTAAAACGGGTAAAAGTTCCGTGAAAAAAATTAAATTAAATGAAAAAATAAATAAAAATATTAATTAAATTTTTAAAATAAAAATTAAAATAAATAAATTATTGTTTTGTATTTTTAAATAAATTAATTTTAATTTAATTTTCTTAAATCTTATTTTTCGTAGCAATTTTAAAGAATACATTTTTGTAAGGATTATAAGGAACAATTGACACAAAAATTAAAAAAAATATTTTAATTAAATATTTTATTTTCTAAAATTTATTTATTTATTTGCAATATATAAAAATAAAATTCCAATGACGGAGAAATAAAAGGGGGTTATAAATATATATTTAAATTATTGCGTAAAATTTACGGAGGGCGCGTAAGGTGGGGGAAGGGGGGAGGGCAACATTTTATTTTCCAATTGTGCATGTAGAGGAGAGTGATTTGCATCAAAATTCCAGTAAAATGCACACAATTGTTTAAACATTCCATTCCGCTGAATAAGTTTAAAACAAAAAGAAGCCCTTTTACTTTTAAATTAAAAATATTTAATTTTAATTTCTAGAAATTTTGTAAAAATAATTTAAATAAAATTAATTTAAAAAATCAATAATATCCCTGATTACCTAAAGTAAATTAGCTAAAAAAACAAAATCGGAGAAAAGAAAAATAAAAGGATAATCTTTTAAAAATAAATATATACAAATTTGGGAAGAATATTTGAGAAAAAGAATTTAAATTGAGTAAATAAAAATCAAAAAAAAAACTTTTTCTCTCCTCTCTCATTCAATGAAAATCTTAAAAAGAAGAATCTTTTTAGAATTAACCGGTGCGGACATTCAACACATAAATAAACTAAAAATAATGGACTGGATCACGACTGGACGTCAGTAATAATCAAAAAAAGCAACATTTTTAATAAAATATTTTTAATTGTGTCGAGTAATTTAATAAAAAGAGGGGGAGAAAGAGGAAGTAACTTTAAATTAAATTAAAATTCTGAACAAGAAACAATTCAAAAATTAACCAAAACTATCTAAAAAATATTAACAAAATGTGCCTTTACTTAAATTATTTGGGTTTATTTATTCAAATATTCCTTAATAAATAGAAGATTTTTCGTGTATGTTTCTGTGGAACTAAACATAGCGGTAAATCTCTTTAAAGGAAAAAATGTTAAAAAAAAAGTAAAGAAAAATGTGGGAAAAGAGAATAAGTAAATAACATACATATATGGGCAGCTGATCGCTACCTAAAAGCTTTAACAAATATAAAAATAAATTAAAAGCTGTGTTTGTAAAAAGTAAATAAAAACACACAAATATTGACTGCGCGATTTTTAATGTTTTTAATTTTAAATATATTTATATGGAAATTAAAATATACCTAATTATAATTAATTAATGAAAATTGTGAATATTTTAATTTAAATTCAAAATTAATTTAAAATTTAAAAACAAAAATATTCAAAGGAATTGAAGGAAAAATTTCAAAAAATTGTCAAAAATATTTTTATCCTTAACTTAAATATAAAGATATAATTTTGTTTAAAAATTAAAGCTTTAATGGCTAAATTTATTTTTAATCAACAAGTTTATATATGATGGCGGCTTTCTTTGTAATATAAAAAAATTAATTAGAATGAAAAGATGCGCACAAATAAATAAAAAAAATAAAAAATAAAATAAAGGTATGAGAAAAAAGTTTTTCTTTTTATTTTAAATAAAAATACCTGTTTTTAAATAAATTTATTTATTTAAATTTTAATCAGGTTCAATAAAAGATAACAAAATAATTAGAGACTTTATGCCACCCCTCCCCCACTCAACTATTTAATGAAAAATACACAAATGAAGAAATCTCATTCTCCTGAGGAGTCCAACAGAAGTAATAATCTTAATTTGATCAATACCTTCATGGATGATTGGTCTAGTTAATCGCTTATTTGTGTTCAAATTTCACCTAATCTCGTTAATTTTTAACTCAATTCGGCGAGCCGCGTTGAATGAGCTATCATTTGTTGCTTTCAAAATAAAGCCGTATAAATGATTGATATTTAATTAAAATTTAAATTAAATATTAATTTTATATTAATTTAATATAAAAATTTAAAAAAAAAGTTTAAAATAGCAAGTAAATAAAAAGCTTTTGTCAACTAAAATAAAAATGAGGGGGAAAAATCGATGATTGTTTTGATGTTTAAAATGCGGGAGAAGAGGGCATTCATTCAGTTTTAGCAGAAATATATAGGTGGACATTGAAACAAAAACAGAAATATTTTTGGGACAGATGGTTGTGGGGAGGGAGGGAGAGAAAGGGAGAGGAGGAGGGAGGGAGGAGGATATTAAAAATATATTAAAAATATATTTAATATATAAATGTGTTTTGTGTGTTTTAAATATATTTTGTGAAATTAAAGTAAAAATCTGTTAGATATAAAGAAAAGATTTTTGGAAAAATAAATTTTGGAAAAGACGACATATGGTGATTTAAAATAAAAATAAATATATTTTTAATTCATGACAATTCTTCAAAAAAAATTTTTTGATTTTAAAATTCAAAATTAAAATGCTGCAAAAAGAAATATTCGAAAATGGGTAAAAGTTCTTTGTTCTTTTAAATTTAATTTATTTAAATAACTGGTTATTTAAAAGAGGTCAAACAAAATTATATTCTAAATAAAATAATTATTTATATTAATTAATAATTTAATAAATAAATTTATTAAACAATACAAAAGTTTATTTAAATATCTATTCAAAATAGGCACTCGAAAAGCTCAAAATAGTAGGTATGAATAGGTATGAAATATAATTTTGAACACATTATAAATGTGAAAATCCTCGCTGAAACAAGCAAAATATTAGAGTTCGAACTTTTAAAATTGCCGGGCCGGTATTCGGGCACAGACATGATTACTGCCTTGCTGTGTAAAGGCTTAAATGCATGAGTACCTATGGAGCAATAAGTTAACTTTATTAGAGCTACAAGTGAAATTTTTGGGTGTCGAAGCAAGAAGAATTGGGCAGAAAGATAGAAAATTTTACTAAATTTTTTCAGAAAAAACTTGA